AATGCTAGTTTGAATTAGTAACATTAATTTACCTTACTGACAGAACTAACTGTAGATAGTGGTTACTTCTAAAGGTATTGAGTTATTTTGAAAGATTGCTTTGTTGTATACTATGGTAATTATTACAAAACACGAAGGTAACCATATACTGTGAGATTTCAAATTATAAATTTAAAAGTCTGACGAAACAAAATTTTGACATAGCTAAGTAAAACAACCTATTTGGTTTGCAGTTACAAAACCAAGCAAAGAGATTCGCTCAACATTAATGTGGTGTAAAAATAGTCTTTTGCCTGTTGTTATGCGCCAAAGCCTTGCTGCAAGTCATTTTACTATAGTTGATGAATCAAATTTTTGGATTGGTTACTGGGGGCGGCACTTGAAATCAGCACAGTATCGAACGATTAAGCCATATCAGAAGGTGTCTTTTTTTTACGTTTTTGCAATTTACATTAGTTACCAGCATTGTTAGAGTTTATTCTAACTACCAAAGTTTTTTGATTTGGACTTTCTTAAGTTATTTAAGTTTCCATCATAATTTGCCTAAACCAACATTGCCATAGGTTAATCATTTTCCTGGTGCATTTCACATGGGACGAAAGGATCGTCTCTGGCAACATATAAATGAAATGATTGCTCTGTGGGGCTTGGATGAATATCACATTATGCCAACGACTTATGTTTTACCACGGGATGCCAAGAAATTGAAGGCTTACCTTCACGGTAATCCCCCTAATATCGTCATACTTAAACCGGTATACCTCACTGAATTCTATATTTTTCTAATTCGTCCATGTTTGTCGTATTTTTAAACAAACTTTAGTTTACAATTTGCTGACCGGGGATTAAAATGTCCAATAGTAACTATGTTGCTATAATGGATAAATTCTATATTCATCTTCTCGCGGTCATTTATATATCATTCATTTATATGATAAAATTTTCTTGTTGAATTAAGTAGTGTAGAGAGTTATGGGTTGGCTAAAATCAAATTGAATTTTAGAAAATGGGAAATTCAAAGTCACTATTAACTCTATCAAATTATTTTTTATAGCCTGCATCTGCTCGGGGAACAGGCATCAGTATTGTTAGCAAGATTAAACAAATTCCAAAGAAAACATCACTTATTGCTCAGCAGTAAGTTTTCATTTTGAGAACTTTTTATAAAATATGAATTCCTTAAAAACATGATGGATTATTTAAAAATACAATTTTCAGTTACATTGAACGGCCGCTAATTGTTAATTCTGCAAAATTTGACTTACGTTTATACGTCTATTTGACGAGTCTCGACCCTCTGCGTATATACTTATACAATGATGGCCTCGTTCGATTCGCAAGTATCCCGTAATTTTCTTTGCTTTTCATGACAAGGTTTTTATAAATTAAAAAAAAAAGAGCCCATTACAAATTTTATAAATTTTTTCGATTTTTTATATTAAACTAAAGTGAATCCAAAGAAGGTTATTTTTTGCTTCGTTATCTTTTTTTAGTTTTGAAAACTCGTCATATCTTGAAATACAAGCTATGTGTTTACAGCTATTCTTCTGCACTTAGTTCGATGTCAAACAAATTTATGCATTTAACGAACTATAGTATCAACAAATTGGCACAATCAGCAGGCGAACGTACAACGCCTGTACCGAAATGGAAATTATCGGATTTTTGGGTACATATAGCTGAACATTTTGATGTCAACGCTGTTAAGCCAAAGATTACGGATATCATTATCAAAGCTGTCCTTGCGTAAATTTTTTGCATATCTCTTACTGTTAACCTGAAGACAGGAGCTTGTGTTACTATTTGATCTTTTGTTTGACAATAAATTAGCGCAATAGATTTGGTTTAACTTCGAATTGAAAATTAAACAGTACAGATGAATTGTGTACTATTAATTAAGCAAAAGTTAAGGCAGTTACGAAATATGGTATTTGAAATTTACCGTCTCAATTTTTCTCCATTTTCAAGTAGTCCTGTTTCAGTTGTGAAAGTCATATTCGAATGCATCAAAAAAAACATAGTTTGTATGCTTTCACAAGTCATGAACTTTATGGAATGGATATTTTACTTGATGACACTCTCAGACCTTGGCTATTAGAGGTAGCACATTTTTACATTTTTTATTAGAAAAACCCTCTGACTAAAGTTCAAATATACGCAAAATGAATATGATAGTTAGGTTTCCATATAATTTTCAGGTGAATATTTCACCTTCACTACACTGTTCGACACCTACAGATATAGCCGTCAAAACAACGCTTGCAAAGGATGTACTGAATCTCTGTGGTATCCAAATTCCACCAGACACGTAAGTATGAAATAACGTAAAGTGCTAATTTCTTGTTCAGTGTCAGGAAAATTTTGTTGGAAATTCTGTGAAAGTTTCAGCAGCAAAAGTAACACATTGTCAATGGATTATCGCGTGAAATCATTCGATGGTAATAAAAGTGAAGAAGATTTTAAAAAGGAGCGACATCACCTCGAATATTTTAAGAAGAATAAGGTGAGAGATTCATTCGTTCACTTAAATCATGAATCTCTACATTCCTGGTCTAAGATCACCTCTCTATCCCTTGTTCTAACAGAAATTATAGGCAGACTAGATTTTAGTTCTATGTACAAATTCTCAAGGTTCAACTGAAACTGTAGGCATTTAAAGTCTTTGGAATGTGTATTTTTCAAAAAAAAAATTATAGAAAATTGACCGAAGGATACTGGATGAACTAACCGGTTGTGACGCACGAATTTTGATTGAATTTGAAGACGAATTAGACCGTTCCGGTAATTTCGATCTCATATTTCCCACTGTTGAAACGGTTGGTTATGTGAAGTACTATAAGAGCCCGTTAACCTACTCAAATCTGTTGTTGGCGCAATGGCAAGTGGAGCAGGAGGCACGTGGGCGTGAAGTTGGTATAGGTATTTTGGAAGATATTTCGAGTAAAAGTGAACATTTTTCTGATACAGACATTTTCGAAAATACTAACTTGAACAGTTGATAGTTATAGCTGTTATTTTAGACTTAAAATGGGTTTCAACCCAAAATTTGTGAACAGAACAGAGTGAGTTGCATTATAATATTAAATTATAATTATAATATTAAATTATGCGCCTTAGTATTATAAATTTCTTTGACACTCTGTGATTCGACCGTGAACTTGGTTATCCAGTTAATTCCGTCGTACAGTACAACTTTTACTACATCAATCCATCAAATATCTTTTTAAACAGGTTGTTATCTTCAGGCTTTTCATGTTGCTCATGTTGTGTTGAAGCTGATCTGATTTTTTACAAAAATTTTGTGCCTCATATTTTTATTCGATAACAGTTTCGGATGCTTTGTTTTTGTGGCATTTGCGCCACAAAACTTTATATCTGGTACATATTTTTAGTGTTTGCCTTATAACATACATTCTAAGGTTTGGAGCATTATTTCACTTTTTGAAATGCTGTGGAGATATGTTCCAGGACATTACGTAGAAAATTTATTCTGTATTCTTAACGAACGATATATATTCCAACAAAGAAGCTGTCACTAAAAAAATAATTTTTGGCGAAGTAAGCTGAAGTTCCCTACACTAAATTAATACAATTTATGAAGGAATGCGTGGGATTACATATTGTTTGTAGTTATTCTTACATCCAGTCGAATTCCGAAACTTAAGGTTTTTTACCTATAGTTAGATTCTGAATACATGCATGCTTAGGAATGAATTATTATGGGGAGAGCATAATTTGCAAAGCAGCTAAGTCAATGTCTTTACATCATTAGAAAGACTGAAGTTATCCGATGACGGTCCAATACATCATACATGCATGTCAAGAAAAATCTTACCACTAATTTTATAATATATTCGAATTCACATCTGCTAAAAAATTTTTTTCACATCCATTTATTCTGCATGGCAGAATTGTTAGTTGGACTGTTGGATCCCAAAACATTTTCTTAATGACTTTACTTCTGGGCCAGCTAGATTTTGGCTCGAATTTTGTGTTTCTTGAAGTTTTCCACACGTCCTGCTACCATTTATGCAAATGGAGTGGTTTGGAATGACTTTAAGCTTAAATTTTAATTGGTGAGCATCCGGTCTTTTTCAAATTGTCTTTTTTAAATTATGTCAATATGTTTTTTGATACTCTGCTTTGTGTCCTTCATTCGTATTTTAAGCATACACAGCGATTAAGTTTTCGGTGAGTTGAACATGATATTATGCGTCTTTCACTGCATAATCTATTTCACTGACTTCCGTAATCATTTGTACTTTCTTATATGGTTAAATTCCACTTTAATTCGAGTTTCTGCAACACTTTGTTTGATTCAAATGTTTCTAGATTTACCTACTTTTGCTTACCATTCATACATTTTCAATTTTTGACATATTTTTTTTCAGTGGTAATAAATATCCATTTTCAATGAATGCCTTTTTTAGATATTACATTACCCATAAAATATAGTCAAAAAATAGCAAATTCTAGATTTGAAGCACGACAAAGTCTAAATTCTAGGTACTTTATTCTCGTTAAGAAGTTTTTGCAGCACGTTGATTGACCGATCCAACAAATATTCCGTTTGTCCTTCGGGGAAACATGTGCTTTAACTTTTACTTTTTTACAAGAAATAAAATGCAACAAAGTAATGATAACAGACATATTTATAGCGACTAGAAGATCAAAGTTGGTCTGCACGGAAAAGCGCAATAAGTAACATCACTATTTCAAATAATCATATAGTCTAATTTCTCATCAAAAACGAGACTTTAGAATAACAACCGAACAACTTTTAAGCCACACTATTCAATCATCCAGAATTTAGGAGAGCCGAGATCTAACCATACCTGACAATGCAGGACAGAAATATATAACAATTTTAAACAATGAATGCCAACATATTTGCCTCCAGTTCTAAGTTAAACTCATATACCACAAATTTCCCTTTCAATAATCCTCACAAAATAACCACAGCATCACTCATTGTGATAATTAAGAATCAATGGTCGTTTTTAAGGCTTTTGAATTAACCGACTGTTGGGTAAATTCAACGCCTGTAGCAAAACACGTATTCTCTGTGATAAGTTTCCATTTTTCAATAAAGAATTGACACTGGACAATATTTTTTTTAATTTTTCTTCGAACTGAGCAGTTTGAGACGAAGCATGAATTTCTGACAGTACCTGCAATGTAAAGTTTTCAAAAATGCGAATTCAAATCTTATTAAACTTTTGGTTTTGGTTTTTTTCTTTTTGAAATTCTTGATTGAATACACTGTTTTTTGAAATTAGAATCAGTAAATGGTTGGGAACAAAACTAGTGAAATAACTGAATAACATTAAAATCATACAATATAATTCAGCGCATTACCATACATTTTTAAAACTTACTTTATTTAGCATTCCAAATATTTCTGCCCATTCTTTCTCATTAAGCGATGACTCTTCTGATGCGCTCATTAAAAACAATGACAGAATTCCGGATAGTGCTAGTAGAAATTTATCAGGTAAATAAAGCGGTGACTTTGATTGCTGTGGTTGTGAACCGAGCACACAAAAATCGATCAACGGTTGAATTGTGGAAGTCAAGTTAATCTTGGTATACTGTTTATTACGAAAGCTGAACGATGCAACATGAAGAGGTCCAACTGTCGTACACTCTTCTACCAAGAAAGCTCGCAAAAAAGCATGAGCTCCATCAAGCAATAACTGAAAAGTCTAATTTTCAGTGACCGTATAACTTACTAAAAATCAGCACGCTAATTGTATGAAGGGTAGATTAAAAAGTTAAAAAACAGATGAAAAAGTTTTTCTACCATTATATTAAAATGTCGAACAGTTTTACTTTTAATTTAGTTTCATTTTGGGCTTACAACAAGGAGAGACTTAAATTAAAGCTCAGTTGTATGACGATGTGAATAGGCTATGCGGAATTGATCGTACTATTGACATCTACTTCTATGTTAAATATTTTGTCTTCCTCTCAACTCTTCTTAAGCAGTTAGCATGATCTTAACCCTTAATGAATATGTGAAAATATTTAAATAAAAGTGTTTTGAAGAAAAAAAAAAGAGTTCGCTTTGATCAAACTCAAGCTTCTCAGTAATAAAAATCTCAACCTTTCTGTTCATTGGAATCCTTTTACTATTCAAAAATTCCAAAAACGAATCGAATAAATCGATGCTATTTCGACAAAGCCCAGGATACGTCCGCAATAGTAGCGTCAGAATGGTAAGCGCATAGATCCGTACGCTCATCCTGAGATGTGTTAGGGCCCGAAGGGTATGAGCTATTAACAGCGTGAAATGGGATGAAATCATCGAGGCATTAGTCGTGCATAACAATTCTAGAAGAGCACGCAATTGAGCATGAAATGATGAGTCGCTCTTCTGAAATTGCTTCATAATTCATTATGGTATTTAAAGTTTATTGGTAAATTGTGAAGAAAAGAACAAAAAATACTTTGAAGTTACTTGAATTGGACCCATTCAATGTTTATAAAACTTACATCACAAGCAATCAGACGTCCGACAGCTGGTATCAATATGTGCAAATGTCTCGGAACAAGTTCTGGATATGAAGAAAGTAACTGCCTTACACCAACTATTGAGTCTCGTCTCACATTTATGTTATAATGGCCGAGTTGACGACATAGTTCATCCAGTGATAAGCCACGATGTGACAAGCAACTATTATTACTTTTCGTTAACTGATCCACGAGTACAACCTAGAACGTTCAGATAAGATACTTTTCTGAACTTGTCATATGAAAACAGAATTGTGCTTAAGCAATAAGTTATCTTTACTGATATAAAGCTAAATGGAACAGTTTCGTTCTCTCGGAACATTAAACAGACTTTTTTGGAATGAATTCGCGTGTCAGTAACTGTTGTTTTCTTTAATTTTTTTCCAACTTTTAGCTTAGCTTTAGGAAAATCTTTCTTCTTTTTGCTCATCGCACCAACAACCTTAAATAAAAAGACAGATAAAAAGAATTCACTGGTGATCTGTTTGAAAATAATGTGTAAAACTTTTTCGCTACACAATTATAAAATTATGAGAATATTCAAAAAAAAAAAACACCGTTACTCCAAGCATTCCTGAAATGTAGATTAAAATAATAGAAATTATGGATTCTCTTCGCCAGGTCATACTTTTAGAACTTAATCTACCAAATTGCACCAAACGCCACGAAGATGATGTCTATGATTTAAGAGGAAGTGTCAAAGACTGCAGCTTTTCAAAAGAAATTCAGTTGAAGTAGTAAAGGACCGAGATTGCTCGTTTATGTTGAAGGAACTGATAGAAAGCTTGGTAAGAATTAAGCTAAAAAGAGCTAACATTCTTTTTCTTAAAATGTAGAAAAAAATGCAAAAAGTTGATTTTTTCATAAAGAAATTAGCAGTAGATCTGCATGGATATGACGTACCGAAGTAATTCACAAACACTGAACTGGTTTTTATCATTTATAACAAAGCAATGCACATAAAGCAGCAATGTGTACATGTAAATTTGAAAGATTTTAGGATATCACATAGGAAAAAGCGTCACATATGACAGTTGGTTAAACGCAATTGAGAGAGAAGTCCCGCTATCGCGTCCATATCATATTTCAGTAACTAAGAAGTGCATTGAGAATTTTCTTCAATTTAATTTAATCCATTTTCATTCCACCGAAACTACACTCTAACAACAAAAAGTATAACTGACAGAAATTCACATAAAATTCACTTCCGATAAAGCCATTCGCACCGCTATTAAGTCCTTGCTGCTTGGATTCTCGGCAACTAACTGTTTTAATTTCTTCATATAAGTATCGATGTTTTGTGAGGTTGGGTATTCTCCTACAAAATAATGATTAACAGGAGTGGCATTACGAAAGGATTGAAAAAATAATTATGAAAAAAAAATAATCAAAAAAATTATAATTACCAGAAGACTAATTATTTCATCAAAATGCATAAAATTTTGGATCTTGGCATAAATTTTTGCGAAATTTGATGGAATTTAATATATAGTGAATTTTGATCTAAAATAATAAAAATTTTCATTGAAATAATCAGACCTTACCATCAACAGAAACGTATGCAAGAGAATCAGTCAATAACTTTGTCCATCGTTGTTTTATTTTTGTAGACCAATGTACTGTTAGAGGTTGTTGTCCGTATATTAATTTCATCTTCTCTGATAATCTATAAAATCAAGATTCTTAAAGCTTCGCTATATGACACAAAACTAATCAAAGAGATCGGCCCAATAATGTCAACTTTTGTATGTTCAGAACAACAGTCCATGTCAGTCTGACTTCTAATTTATTTTACAGAACAAAAGTTTTGCTGCATCAAAATTAGCTGTCTTATATGCGATACAATATCCCCTGATTTGGTTAAATGTATTGTGTTTATTTATCAGCATATGCAGACCACTAAAACATTAATGAATTTTAAGGAAAAAAATACATATATGAACCCACTTCGCAATGTCAGCTTTGAGGAGATCATTTTCTTCTTGGAGAGCACTTACCATTTTCCGCAATTTTTTGCATTTACTTTCCTGACCTAGAAAGAAAAGTGATTTGAAAATATCTTAATCAATGTTTATGAAAACAATACAATATGTTCGGAAATGTTAAATATACAGTTCATATAAATATATTAAATAATGAAAAGTAATGTTAACAATCAAAATAATAAGTAAATAAAATCCTCATTCAAATCCAATAAAATTTTATTATGGCTATGACCTCAATCATTTTCCAACAAAACAGTTAAAAGATGTAGCATAATTCTTGATAGTTCGATCTAAATTCAATCGAATGTTTTGTACCATACTTTTATTGTAGGCAAGAAATTCTTTGCTGAATATTGGAATGTCATCTGCAACAACTGCTTCATTTTTGTCTTCTTCCTTAAAAAAAATCTTTCTTCACAATCTGCCAAATTACTCCTAAAATCCTAATTATTACAAAAAACAAAAAAATGCTTTCGAAAAACCAAGCAAATTAAGGAAAGATCTACCTCATCATCACTGGATTTCACTTTGTTTTTGTTTTTGCGCCTCTTCAACTCTAGCATTCTTTGCTTCATTAATCCTTTTTTCTTAACTGAAATTCGATTTCCTTTTACGCTCAAGATTCATTTCACATACTAGAATGAAAAATTTTTGCAATAATTCACTTTATTCTAACGGAAACAATTGAAAAATCATTTGTATAGTGTTTAGAAAATAATTGAGCTTTTAAAAGAACTTTCTATTCATTTCTTACTTACCAATGAATAAATGAAATTCTAGAATCAGTCCTTAGAACATATGTTATGCGCACATAATTAAACTATGTTTAGTATCCCCAGATTACGCCATTCTTTACAAAATGATAGTTGACAATTTTGATGGAGAAAAGCAGATCAAATTGTTGAAGTATGGAAAACAAAGAAGAAATAAACCGATGGTGATCAACAAAACAGAAAAGATGAAACGAAGGAAGTAAGAATAAAATATATTCTGGCTACGACCATTTTTGTTTGCTATTAGATGGCATGTCGGATATTTATCACATTTCAAATTAAAAAAATTTAGAAAAAAATTATAAACCTTGGAATTGATTGTAAGCCTCCGTTTTTTTATATTCTTCCATAGCTTTCTCGTAATCTTCATGTTCTCTAGCTGATTTGTCGAAATAAAACTTAGAAGAAACAAAATCATAAAGAAAAATAACATATCTGCTGAAATCTGGCATAATGCATCAACTTTTAGACATATTAGATTTCAAAACTTTTTATCATTAAATTTTTACTACAATCGGTATATAAACCCAAGCAATCAAATTCAAAGGAGACGCTCTATTCTTTTAAAAAATAGTGCTGATGCCAATGTTTAAATTATTTCATTCTTTTAGGAAAAGTCAGAAAGTCGAGATTTTACAACCACTGCTGTACTCCTAAAAATTCATTCAAAACTTTAAACAAAATCAAACCCAACCTTTTTTTGATCATCCGGCAAGATTTTCCATTGCTTTCCAATGTCTGCAAGAAAACTACGGTGACGCAGTGCCTCATGGCTGCCAGAGTCCACTAATTCCTTCCTTCGCGCACTGCAATTTTCATTTTTTTAGGATCTTATTTTCAACTTTTATATCTATTATTATTATTAATATTACTATCATTGCCAATATTATTATTGTTGTTATTACAATTATTATTATTATTATTATTATTATTATTATTATTATTGTTATTATTATTATTATTACTATTATTATTATTATTATTATTATTATTATTATTATTATTATTATTATTATTATTATCATCATTATTATTGCTACTGTTATTATCATTATTATTATTATCACTATTATTATTATGTGCAATACCAATCTTCTACACTCCTCATACTCCGAATGATATGACAATAACATACTTAACAAAGTGAACATAAGCAGTACGGGGCCGTTTTGGAGCATTTTCGTCGATATAAACAATCCTTTTTTTCTGCCGTCTGTTTTTCGATGTTGTCTTATGTAGTGTTGCAGACATTTGGTAACTGCTACGAGAATGTAAGATATAACATAAGAAAGCTATGAATTATATTTAATGGCAGTGACATTCAGAAACGTTAGTGATACATTTGGAACAAAGCGATTATTTCTTATATTTCTTATGACGACGAAAACTAGAAATAAGAGAATTTAGATAAGCAATAGTAAGTGGACAACGAGGTAGAATAAATCCTATGCAAATAAAATCTATGCAACTCAACTACCAAAGTCCCAACACCCATCCTCTATCAGATTCCTTCTCAATTGCAGCCACTACTGAAAATTTTAAATCCCATCCGAAATTCAGCTGAGATTGATACTGGAAGCTATTGCTATTCAAAGGGAGTGAATGATTTTAGGAAATATTTCCTGTTTGATGCTAAATATCTATAGGGAATAGAGATGTGGGAAACGCAGAACTATGAGAACTTGCGTACATCCATCTGGCAGAAGAAATCATCCATTCTAGAAGGTAAGGCCTCGAATTCTTATTAATGAGGGAGATAGGATAGGTACAAGTTAAGAGTAGGATCGGGATCGACTGAGGCAATTTAATATCTCTGCGTCCCTTATTGCAAACATAACCTTGAATAGGGCGAAAATTTACACATGGCAGATAAAATTCAGTCGGATGCATTGCTGCTCAACCAAAAATTCATTTCAATTAATTCATTAATTTGAAGAGATATGTCTTTTTTCACACAAATACATGTACTTATGTATACAAATGGACCATTTCATGTGTAGCGAAGTATTTCTATTTCAATTCAAAAACAGATAAGTAGTGCAAAACATATAGAAATAGTTTGAAAGGTAGAAGAAAGACAGAATGGTCACGAAAAAGACACTATTTCAAGAGGTATGCGTAGAACGATTTACGTCAAATATCCTGCTGTAGCTTTATCAGCGACAAATGCGCTGCATTAACTGATCGAATTGTTGTAATAATTAAGCAGAGAAGGCATTATGTGAAATGGACGACTTAACATACCAAAAAGATTCAAGTTTTGTTTTAATATGTATACGAGACTTATAAGAACATATAAGAAAAAATAAGCAACATTTTGAAAATGGAACGAAAGGCGCGATGATTTTTACATTGAAATCAGATTTTTATTACAGAAATAATGCATAGCATATATTTTTAAATGTATAATTGGAATTTTTGAAGAAGGACTCAGGGTAGGAAAGGCATAAAATTGCATAGAAATTCAATTTTTCTTAGGATCCGAGAAAATCCGCATTTTTGAAGTTTTCAAAATCTTTCACAAATAAGAGATTTCAAAAACCTTTTGAAAGATATTAAGCTTAAAGTAGGTCTGGGCCTCCGAAATTTGGAAGGATATGAAATCTAACAAAAATTAACACATCCTTCAATATAGGGATGCAGTAAATGAAGACCCGTTGTTAATGGCATATAAACAATATTTTTGAGACGTCTTTACAAAGCGATCATAATCTTCACTAAGATAATAAATAAAAATATACAAATCTACAATTATATAAGGAACGACTTAGTGTTGACGCCTGATAAACGCGATTGTATTGGACTACTGAACTACTGTGCCAGTTGTCACGGCATATCCACGATGTCACAGTAAGAATAACCTGTTGTCGAACTAGCCCTATGAGATCCCAAAATTTTCCTTAGATGCCAGGTATAGCAATTAACTAAGTGCCAGGTATAGCAATTAGAATGAGAATAATATCACTTAGGCAAATAAAAAAAACACTTTAAGTTCAGTAACAACAGAGGAATTTATGTTCCAAAAAATATAAAAAATTAATAACCAAAAAGGACATTTCAGCCAAGATTTTTATGGCTTTTCATTCTCTTTTGGAAATACCGATACTGTACCTGCCTGCAAACAAATAACTTTGAATTTCATAACCCAAATTTTTTCAAAATCTAAGAAATTAATACTACTACAATAAAGTAATACCGAGTACGCTTAACCAATCCAGGTTAATCACTTGGGACTAATTTCATCATCTCATAATTTTCAAGATTATTATTAATTCGTTGGAACGCCAGTAATCTCACTCGCATGAATTTAACTGGTTCGAAGCAACACTTTTGCAGTTGTTTTGAAAATTTTGTACACAATGTTCTCCGTAAGTCTATTGCTGAACTCATCCTAATGTCGTGATCGGCTAAATTAAGCGTCAAATGAGAACACATGTCGACAATAAAATGAAACCTTATAAGAAAATGAAGTTATGAGAAACCTGTACAAGTAATGTAGGCTGTCCTTTCCTCCGTATTCGATATTGCGTTGGAAGTTGTGATGATCCAGAATCGGAAATCGACATGTGTTCTTCAGATGCACGTGAACGTTGTCGTTCCATTGCAGCACGACCTGCATAATAATAATAAAATAAAAATAAGTAACTAATTAGTGAAATAAGGTGAATAACTTTCTCTAGAAGACTCCTTTCTATTTCGGTCTCAATGAATTAGTGAATTAATTTAATAATATGAAGCCTCGATTACCAGCGCGAGTACGTGGTGTTCTCCTTGGTGTCTTTCGTTCTGCTCCTTCTAAATATCCTGCTTCCAATATTTTCTCAATTTCATCCACAACACCCAAATCTTGTTTTCCTGAAATTGGAACATTTTTAAACGACAACAATTGAAAAGTTTCGAAAGAACTGAAGCCAAACTTTTTCTTAAATAAGAAAATGTAACTGAACAGTAAATAAATATCTCACGGCTCTTAAAAAAAGAAAAAACTCGATAATACAGCCACACTGCTATAATCTCTTAGTTCCACTGTTCTGTTGTATGGTTCCGCAACAACAGAAATAGTCAATTACTGAAGAAATTAAAATTCGGTTTCAAAAAAATTGACCGCTGTAAACCCAAAAACCCCAGTAATTTTGAAAAAGAATTACCCTTAACGTGAGTTTCTCAATATTCAAGGCTACGAATACTAAACTCTTACAATAAAATGCTGTCGAGGCTGTTCAGTGTACTATGACCGTAAGATCTCCCCATGGATGGTTGAGTATCCTTGTTTTTCAGAAAAAGGATACTCAACCGATTGCTGTTTCAATAGCAGTATAGTTAATCCATCAGTTAAGTGTGCAGTATAGCTTAGACGACAATGTCATATTTATCTATAATTCTCTCTGATATTAAAACTGCTGTAATACCAAACCTGTTTTCAGAATTCCTTCGATTGCAACAGTACGATTCAGTGGAGATGCCGCAACTCCTGGTTGCAGTGGTTTCAATGGTAGTCGTTTCTTCCTTTGTTCCTCGCGTTCTTTTATTTCACGTATTTTTTCCATGTCATGGATTACTTTCTAATATAAAATATAAAGATAAAGTGCATACTACTAACTCAACTTATTCTTCACTTATTATTAGAGTCTTGGGATTTTTACACATGCATTGGTTTTACTATTCAAGTCTCAGCAATTCTGAAATTACGTGAATTCCTATTACAGTGTCCTCAGCTCCCATTCTCCATACTTACCTCGTAATCCTCTTTGAACAATTTCAAGTCACCAAAAAATGTTTCCATGCTGTATTTTTTCGGGTCAAATGAATAATATTTCCTCAAAGACTCCCATTTGGTATTCATTGTGTTATACATCTGCAAATCACTTTTCTCTCATATTTAAACTCTATTAAAAATACTACTCAATTATTAATTCCGATGTTTGTCCAAAATGTCCACCGACACCTACATTTTCCAAATTTTTAAATTAACAAACTTTTTCTACGATTTCGCATTCTGTTTTCGCTTTTGATAAGAATGGGCCCATTTTTTCAGAGAACAAATCATTTTCTGCTTGCTTGACAAATGCCTTAAGCTGATTTTCAATCTGTAAAGTAAGGTCTGCAGTTGATTAACACATCATAATACAAGTATGAAGTTTTTGATATGTTTCCCATGTTTGAGTTGACCACACGTCAAAAATAGCCCAAACTTGTGATATATAGAGTCCAGTTCAATACCAAGTGTGATATTGGATGTTAATTGAAATTATTTGAGAATATTAGAGATTAGACAATAAAAAATTACCTTATTGAGAGCATTTTTCAGAGCCATAACGCCCCTAGCCACTTCATCTGCATTAACACGTGAAGCTTTATCAACATGGAGGAATTCATCCTTCGGGAAGTTTGCATACAAACCATTCGCTTCAGTAGACATACAACTTACGAGATAATGTAGAAGTGATTCACCGTTGTTGACATCTTTCGTACCACTTAACTATAATCGAAGTCGTAATGGTTAAAAGTCAGAAATTGCAAAGAAACAACTTTCGACGTCAGGTTAAGACATATATTAAACGTTCAATAGTATTTCAAATGATTATCTTATACCTTTTTTAGTACACTCATTTCGAATCCAAATATATCCTTATATGTTTTCGATGAATGTCCCATATAGTTTCCAACCAAAAGAACTATTTCTAGAAACATTTTGAAGCCCCTTGATGTCCGAATTTCATCACATGCTTCTATCACAGCCGATATAGTCTAAAATATATCCATATGCGACGAAGTCATCTACATTTTACAAAATTACATTTTTTATACTATCCTACGCATCAGATATGAAAATCCAAAGGAAACTATAGAAATGGATAATGAAGTACTGATATCACAAATATACAAACCGGTTTCAAGTCGTTTAGGGTTTTATCAAATTCAAGCATAAAAATCATAGAATCCAATCGTGCTGGCAATCCTCTTATTGAAGCCAGTGTTGCAGCAAACTAGAAAATTAAGTTGGATAAAAAACACTCCAAATATTAAGAAAGTTAAACAACAAAATCTTCTAGTTCTCAGATATGAAATATCTACTCTAAGTTACCTGTTCCCCTTCTGGCATCTCATTGAATTTGTTACCAGCTAAATTCTCAAGTTTCTTCAACGTGTCGAATGGTGGCAAAGCATTCCTCAATTGCTGCATTGTTCCCGAAGATATTACTTGATCATCTATTTCCAATAAAATCCTTTTCCATTCCTCCAGCGGTATCTTTTGCGATCCTTGCAGAATGGCTCAAAAAAAGGAACTTACTGCACAAGAAATATCAGTTTAGAATTACTTTAATTATAAAAAATTATCGCGCTAAAAATTCGGAAAATTGAATTCTTTAATACCAAGAGATTGCAAGGTCTTTTCGTCTTGTATGACTAGTGGTTTTCGGACTTTCTTCTTCGGCAAACTCTTTCCACTCGTTGTTGAATCGAAGTCAGTGGTATTTTGTCGACTACAAGAAACCTAATGCGATTTCAGATTATTTTTAAATTAAGTGAAAAATAACTTCCCCCTCTATCAGCTTACGAAATCATCTGCTTAGCAACTATCAACTTCAGAAAATGATAATTTTTTTTATGAATCTCAATACCTATATGTTGGTACGGTCATTACACTGGGATGTTAAAGATGATAAAGCAAAGAAAGAGTTATTAAAATTCTTTATCTCTAATGAAAAAGCTGAAAAACTCTACTTCGCTGCAAATTTTTTTTTTAATGTTTCAAATAACCGCTCATTCGCGAATTTCTCCTCTGTTGTTTGCGCCCAAAAGGAGTCTTTACTGATTTCCTTGGGTTTGATCTGAAAAAAAATTATATATGAGAATAATAATCCTAATACAATTGTTTCACTTTTTATAAAAATTTGAGTACTGAGAAACCTACCGTTGCCGAGCTCCATGGAATTTTTTTCATCGGCACATTTACTTCACGATGTGGTTTCTTCTTCAGATATTCTGGCAGTTCGGGGCTTGCCACTTTATTTAAGAATCCAGGTGGTGATGGCGGTCCAGGTGGACCTTGTCCGCCTGGAAGTGGCGGTGGTGGCGGTGGAGGGAAAGGAGGAGGAGGATAGCCTCCTGCAATTGATTGGTAAAAAAAATAACATTGCATGTTTCTAAAACTTTTGAAAGAAAAACTGTTTTCTCTTAATGTGAAAGTTTAAAACAAATTTACCAGATGAAAGTAGAGGCGGAGGCAAAGGTGGAGGCGGAGGTGGTGGTGGAGGAGGACCTCCTGCTACGGCAGGTAAGTTCTTATTTACTGTTTCAGCATAGGTATCTGGTGGCGGTAAACGGCTTGTTGGTGGAGGAAGCGGTACATTTGGATCTTTTATCTGGAAAAATAAGACACATGGTTTGGAATTAAATCAGTATATAATCGAAAATATAGTAGACGAATGGCGAAAACCTTACATGGTTTCTAAGCTGTTCTGTCTCATTTGCAAACTCCTCCATTCTCCTGTAATATTGGCTCAATTTGGCTAAGGCCTCATTTTTTGCTTGTGTTGCAATTTCGACACGCTTATTAGCTTGCCTTCCTTCCTCGCCATCTTCTAAGGTATCTGAAAGCAATTGTTCGAAATTGCTAGAAATTATATGGAGAAATGTGATCGTATAGAAAAACATGGCTTTCTAAATATTGAAAAACAGTAATTGTACAAAAAAATATCTGCTGACCGAGGAAATGAGTGATATCTTGAGTAAATTCGAATTTCCCACGAAAATCAGGATCAACACATGTTTTCGGCAGAACGATTTCTGAGATGCAGTTCTCAATCAATCGAAAATATTCTGTCCTGTTGAAATAAAAGTAAAACATTTAACATTTCAACAGTACACAAAGCACTTACGATTACATTGAGACCTTTTGCAATTTATTTGATAAATTTTCACCTCACATTATTATCGTCCGTTACCAGAAGAAGGTGTTGTAGAATGCTCAAAAATGGCCCTTCGGCTCTAGTGTTCTTCACACCAGCTAATAAAATGCCATAGCAGCAGTCAGGCTCTTCATATTCTCCTTTTCTGAAATATAATCCTGTCGATTCAAGTTCTGCATGTTCTATAACGAAAGCTATACAACTTTTCCAGTTTGTCCAACTTTTTCAATAGCGTAAAATAAATCATGTGAATTGAAAATATTCATTGACTGTTGGTTGCTCGTTCGAAATATCGCAAATAAAAAGTCACGACACAACGATAATAACGAACATTTGTTCAAACCGATTTACAAGTTCAGCAAAGTCGGCTTCTTTGATTCGGCAGAAATTATCATACTGTTTCTTGATTGCTTCCAAAGTGCAACTTTCCAAAAACTATAAATATAAACTGTCTTCTACCAACGCATAATAATGGGATATTAGTCTAGCAGCTAAGGTCACCTTCAGCTAGTTTTATTACCAAAAAACCCTTCAGAATAACTATAAACTTACTTAATTTGACTCATAAGTGCTTCATTTTTTAATGGTGTTCCTCTCTCAATTAAGAGCTTTACTCATGTAGCACAAAATAAATTTTCTGATGTTCTAAATGTATATCATATCGTACTGAAAAATGTGAAATAACTTCAAAGCATTATTTTTTATCATATGTAACCGATATCGCTAACAGAATAATAATATAAACGAGCATGAAATTCAATGTATAATCTAATTAAATCAAAATTTGAATAAAACTGAATCTAACCTGAATACAATCGTACATGCCAGCGCGCATGAATTCACTTCTCCAGTGCATCCGAATTTGCCAGGCAGCTTCCGCAGATGCTCGACCTTCCTCTGTAGTTGTATCATCCGGCTCCGGCACATCCAACATTACATTTACCAATGTCATGGCTTTCTTCTAAAATGACTGATTAGCTTGTATGAATTTCACTTTTCTAATGCTGACTTCTTGGAATTACTTTGTATGAAGAAAGAAATCAAACAAAAAAGTTTTAAAATCCGAATCAAATCACAACTGACCACTACATCGAGGCGGTTTGATTTATTTAAGCAACTGACAATGCAGCGAAATCTTTCACATTTTCGTAATCGGGCTTCTTCGGTTAAAGCTTGCAAGAGCGTCTCGCGTCTACAAATCCAAAGTGTTATCTACGTCATAATTAAAGTGAACGATATTTGAATTCCTTACAAACCTGATTTTACAACTGATAAAAATCCAAAAATAAAATAATCAAAAATAATATTCCATTTGTTCATTCAATCTAGAATCAGCCTTAATATTTCAAAAATAATCTACCCTCTGAGCTCAAATTTATCATCATTAACGAAAGTCACGACGCCCAAGAGGCTCACTGTTACAAATTTCAGTGAATCCCAATGATCCAAGAATGGTTTGCCGGAAGCTACGGATAGCACTCCAACCAAGCATGAAAACATTTTCGACTTCCGTCTGAAGCACATTTCCATTCCAGGCTTAAAAGAACAAGTAAAATTAGTTAAGAAAGCTAATTAAAATTTTATTTAACGTGGTTATTTCCAAAAATTTGAACTGTAATCAAAAAAAACTGGTTGACCAAATTCGGTAGACTTAATTATTCACTTCTAAAATTCTTAGACTAATATTCCAGAATTTTTTTGTAGCTCTTTCGGGTAATGATCAAATAAATTTATATCAAATAAATACCTACCCATGTATTGACAACGGATTTCAAACACTTGACACTGTCATGAAGTTGCAAAGCATACTCTTCCTCCCGTTCAGAATTCTCAGATAACCGCAGGGATGCGATGAGATTATGCATTATATGGAACAATAACTGAAGACCACCCTGGTTGCCGAACTATAAAAACATATGAAAAAAACAAGCATTATTTTCCATCATAACTCATATAATCTGCAAACGTGATAAAACAATAAAATCAAATTTTAATTATCATACTTTGATTTTTACATTCTATATCACTTAATTTACTTTTTTCACAGCCCATTTTTCTGCCAGGCGCTCTTTATTCAATTTCATGATAACAAACAGAAAGATCAAAATTTCTTTAAACAACTCATGCTAAAATGTGAACCTAAAACTAGTACCTATTTCTTTTTAATCGCAATTAGCAGAGTTTTTATTACAAAATTACCGAAATCAACATCATCATATTATACCTCTTTAATCCAATCCACCTTCTGAACGCTAAGCTGGACTTTCAAGTCTTTCAATACATCTTTCATCAACCTAGCCTCTTCTCCTGATGCCAGCACCCTTTCAATGCGTCGAATCAGATCAATGGGCCGCTGAAAAATTTTTCGCAAATCATTCCATGAATCTCAGGTGTTACTTTGTAAAGTGTTTATTCGAAGCCTTGTGATCCATTTTAATGTAAAAAAGGATAGCAGCTGAACAAAACATTGAATAATTCAAGGAAAAACCTTGGAATTTTCTTGAGTAGCCATATTAAGTCTTTGAGATTGACAAACCATTTGCCGCTTCTTTTCCATATCATTGTCTGCCAATAAGGCACGAAATTTTTCATCTTTTATATTCATTTGCTTCTGAAATTCAATCAAAAATTAAAAACCAGCAAATTTCTCTAGTCAAACTATCCTGCACTTTCAAAGTCTGAAAAGTTTTTATCTGCCTTTATTATCAGTTAAAGTCAAGAGATTTGACCTCGTTAAAAAAACTTTTGCAAGCATTAACGAAGACTTGTCTACTTAGTTAAAAATATATCTTACAAGTAATTCGGCAAAAGCAGCATTAACTTGATCATCGTTCATCCGATTAACCTCATAATAATCGGATTCCATTGCTGCTCTACTTGTTTCCGGTAAGTTTGTGCAATCTGTTTCTGGCTAAAATTTGGTGTTAGCAACTTATCAAAAAATTAGGGAAATGACATCAATAGTGATAATGATAAACATTTACTTTATTGGCTAATAAAGAGTAAAGCAAAACCATATTGAGAATTCTATTACAAATCAAAATAGAAATCTAATGCAGTCGTGCAAATTATTTTACCATGCATGGGAAACTAATTTTCCAAAGAGCGGATAGTAAACATGTCGCCGTGTATAGGAACTCAAAATTTCAAGAACTTCATTTCTGAAATTTAAATTTGAAGTCTCCCGCCCAATGTCATTAATTACAAGTAATGCACCTCCGAAACGCGACGAATAGGAAACCTCCGTTCGAAATTTTCTAATGTTGAAGGGCTTGGTACCTCAGATTTTCTCTTACTTCCCACCTTTTTTCCTCACACTTATGTGATTTTAAACTATCCAATAAAACAAAATTAAGCAAAAATTACGACTTTAAAAATGTCGTTTAAAACTCTTCTACTTATCAACATAAAAATTTTCGAAACCGTAAAATTTACATGTTCATATTTGATATGAAATCGAAGAGGTCTCTGAAAAGGGTAAGCTTGTATAAGTGCTAATCAGATTGACATAACAAACACTTATGGTTAAATGAGTGGGTTGAAGGAATGAACAAGAAAACGAACCAGAGATCGGATGGATAAACCTGAGAAGATATGATAATGATGACCATTTTCCGGCCGGAAACTTCGCAAACTTCCGCTATCCTTTCCTTTATACTTCTTTGATCCGAACATAATCGAATCAATCTGTAATATTTACAACTGCAACGATAATTAAGAACTATTTTATTGGTGAGAGGAAATTCTTAAATTAATGAAATTTGGAAGTCTCTCGAATTTCTATCCGGAGATGAACAAGCATAACCTTCATAAAATTACCCTATTAATATCAATCACTTCTTTGTTCAGAAAACGAAAAAATGAAAAGTAACTGTCTCACAACACATCTCCCTGTAACAATCATTAATCATTCTTATAATGTGAATTGCCCATGGGGTGATGATAATCGTTGCTAATGAGAGCTGGAAGGAGTCTTTTTCATTTTCAAAGAGATGAATTTTAACTTTCCCATCTATATGACCTGACGGTAGGAATATCGCACTCACAATCAAATGAAAAGAAGTTTTGTATTCGAAATTGAAAATGAAAGTGAATCTCTCCTCCCTCTTCTCATTCTCTCTCTCTTTCTCTGTCTTTCTCTGTTTGGTAAAAAAACCAATGAAAGATTGTTGTTTCCACAGAAGAATGGTATTGAGGATGGGAAGGTCATATGGAGTGATGATATCATGATGCTTTTTCTTTCTGCGAGAGCTACAAATGGATCTAACACCCTCTGGTGACCCTGAACCAAGGATGGAGTCCAAATATTACCCTCATATCCTCCACAATATGCTCTTTTAATCTTTCTTCTTTCACTAAATCTCAATCTCTCTCTCTCTCTCTCTCTCTCTCTTATTACCATAAAATACCTGTTCAATATTAATTCCTATTGTAAAGTACTTATATTAATAAATATATCAGATATCATATTATACCATATCAGAACCATAGAAACGAAAAGAGATACTTTCAGTATGAGAAATTTTCATTAAGAATGAACAGATTTTAAAAAGATGAAAGTGTTGCAATTAAGAAAGAGTTTGAAGAGTAGATTTGATTCATGGGAAATATCGGAGGACTTATGGATAAACTTCTAATGCACTCCTTAATTCCTGTCTCCAACTTTCAATTTCTTGTCATTGCTTCCCATCTCAATGTATTATTTTTCAATGTTTGATGATTACAAATAATTGCAGTAGAATTGAGGAGACAAGAGAAACGGGAGAGCGGGGGAGAGGGACGGGGATCGGAGGAGATTATGATATATATATATTAACATTTCCTCATCAATCTAAAACATTTCCATATCATATACAGTGATATTCATTTCAAGATCACATGAAATCGTCATTTTGCAGAGCCACGTTCTCTGTTTTTCCGTCCATACTTTCAATAGTCACAACAATATCACAAAATCGCAAATCTATAGCATACAGAAGATCGCACATCCACAAATGTAAAATAGCCATAGCGATTGATATGATATGATTTTATCACATGCAACTTTTTCAATAATGTTATTAGAAATAAAAAAAGAAAGAAATAAAAATGAAAGGATGAAATATTTTCACTGGAATCAACGAATGATAGTAAAGATGAACGATATTTGGTTATTCATTTATTGATTGGTCCTGACTTATTTTGAAACAGAATTCTATTTTAAATAAGGAGGATGAATGATGGATGTAACCTTTAACCTTGGAAATATTCTTAGAAATATAACATTTCTTGCTAATTTAATTTTTACAACTTTCTCATTTATTTGAAAATTCCCTGTGAAGTGTCATAAGTCCTTATCTTTTTTCCAATGAATTTTCAATTTCATTCGAAAAGATTAAAGCATGAAAATTTGCTAAGCGATAAATCGAATTTTGGAGATAATTTTTCCCTCTTTCGTTTTTCTATTCCTTTTCATTTCAAAAATATATATCTATAACAATTAAATTTCATTATTATTAATCATAATTTTGTCTGGGAGAGTTTTAGCTTTTTTGTTCTTAATAATTATACTTTAGATATATCTATTTTTTAATAGTGAATTTTTTAATGGACAATTTCCGGGTGATACAATCGATTTATCAGTTATTTCTCATTGTTAGTAGAAACGAGTTTATAGTAGCAACAGGCTATTATATCCTTCTCATCCGGATGACCTGATAATCCATTATTCAACTATCTGAATAGTCTTGTTTCTTGAGTATTTCGTAAGATAAATAATATCTCATTTGTTTCATTCAGTAAATTAACCCAATAACCCTTTCTTGATAACCCTTTCCTAACCTTTCCTTTTCCTACTCTCTAATGACCCTTTCCCTTTCCTACTTTTAACCTTTCCTTTCCTACTTTAACCTAAATAACCCTTTCCTACTCTCTCTCTTCCTCTCATTGCAAAAATTTGTATTAGGGTTTTCAATTCCATTTTATCGGATTTAATATATTTTTATGCTTAAATTCAAAGTAATAACCTATTGATATTATCTACATAAAAATCGATCATTCTTCAATAACAATTCTACTTTCTACAACATTACAGAATAATTGTCCTATAAAAGCCGAACTATATCAGTTGTTGTTATTATCAAATATAACTTCATCTAACGACATCAAATGTATGCCAATATCTTTTTGTTGCATTCTCTTGGACAACAAGAGGAGAACGGTGTCGTTCTCAGATTTTTTTCAAATTGGCGGAACAGAAAAAGCAACATATTGTACAAATTTATTTCTAATTGAAATTTCAAACATATACACAGATACACTCACACACTTGACACGTAAACACACACACACACACATAACACATATCTCTTTTGATTATTTCAGATATTTTTTCAGCTATTGTCAACATTCGTCGCGCTGTGATATGTATGTACACATGCATGCATGTATGCGTTCCACACATAAACAAACTAACAAAATTCAAATAAGTCATCCCTTCTGTTAGCATTCCATCTCCACCGATCATACATAAATTTGTGTCACATTTGTATATAACCAAGCATTCTCAATACTAAGTAATTTATATATTTGTCGCAAGGAAGTTTGTAATTACATTTTAAATTTTTGAATTTCATTTAAAATAAAACATGAAAGAATCAGATAATCGAATTTTTCACTTTGAAATCTTAAAGATGAAATAATGGGAAATGTAAACAATAATTGAGGAAGACATGAAATTCTAACTAAAATTTACTATATTTTTTACTCGAGATACCACTCAGCACTTATCACTCATGAAAATATCCTAGCCAGCTTACTAATTTTTCACTTTTAATTTTCAATTAGACAGTATCTTCTATTTGCCATACAAATTAAAAAAGTACAACGGCTTATTACTTACAATTGAGATGCTATTCATTATTTGCATCTGTTATTAGTATTCCAAACTTTTTAGATTTTCTAGACGGAGTTTACAATAGCTTAACGTCATGTTTCAAACTGAAAAAAATATGATTGGTGACAGCTTTCTTCACTAGTCATATTTTTTAATAGAGTAAATTAGATTTAATAGTTATACTACTAACTTCAATTTTTGCATGCATATCATAAAACATTTTCAACTGAATATAATCATATATTTTTTTTCACTTAAAAATTCTATTCCAAAATTATTTGCCTGAACTAATGAAATGCAAAAATGATTAGAGAAAGGCATTGAATACAAACATCTGCTTAAGACCTTCCATTCCAATGAATTTTTCCATATGAAAATATCGAGTATGATACTATCATGAAGAAGTGAAAAGATAAAGTTCCTAAGCTGTTGAATGTATCATACTGAGAAAGTATAAGAACGAAATGATACGTCGTCATAAGTCATAACCCTGTGAATGGATTTTATCGAGAACAAATCATTTGGAAGAATGCACCGTGAATATAATAAGATAGAGAAATGAATGGGAATGATTATCTCATGGAGCAACTCATTAGAGTGCGCAAAAATGTATTGAAATTTTAAATGAAAAATATATTTCATTAAGCAAAAGTATGAATATATTTTATAGAAAATGAGCCATCTTAGAAAAACAGGTATTTTTTGATGAGAAATTTTGGAATCATAAAAAAATTGAAAACAAAGAATAAAAGAAACTTGTTTTAAATGGCATTCACGATGAAACGCTAAAAGTCATTTGCTCTCAGATGCACTACAAATCCTTTTCCTGCCATGAAGTATAAAACTAACAAACTATTCCAACATTAGAATCGAATAACAGTGGAGCAGTGGAGCTTAGCTACTGGAATTAGACTGGAATAGTTATAGCTATTGTGTTCCTTTCAAGGAATAGGGTTCTGGAATGGATAGTATGATAAATTACTTTTACAATGGAAAGAAAGCTAAATTTAGTGGAAAAAAGTAAAAAATATACCTTATGACCAAAAACGCTTCTGGATTCGGCCTTCCCTTTCTTGTACTTTTTTGAATCTTCCATTTTCTCAGACGAATCATCCATATCATTGATGGTTTCATCAGTGATATTTAATGAATCTGGTGTTACTACTTGCAAAGCTTCCGAAATGGTATCAGGATTTAAGTTATCTGCAGTTATATTAAGTGAATTTCTCAGTGATTGATTGTCAAGCAAAGTTTTTTGCGGACAACAACCAGAAATTGTGTCTGCTGCTGTGTTTATCAGGAATGACGAAATAACGTTAGCTTCAGAATGAGGAACAGTAACTTTCGTAGTGGGTTCGGAAGAAATTTCGGAAAATTTAATAAGTTCAGAAGAAGGCATAAGTGTCCCCAATGATTCCGTAGATGATTCCGTTAAGGAAGTTTTACTGGAATGAATTGAGGACATCTGTTTTAATTCTGAAGACAAATTCCTTGACTGTTCAGATGATACAGTAGTTTCGGGACGTTTTTTGGTGAATCCAGCATGCTTCCAAAAACCGGCTATAGCTTCATAGAATTTATTTTTCGGTTGTACTGTTTCACCACTATTTGATTCCTCAGAATTTTTCAGTAGTTCTATGTCGTAGATAATTTTGGATTCATTTTCTGATAAATTTTCCTTAGCTTGAGACTCTTTTCCTGAATCATGTTGCCAATTGATTGTTACTGGTTCAGTGCTATCGATTCGTTCACTGCTTTCTTCTGGAATTTCCGGAGAACTTAGTTTTTGGGTGCCATCATCAATAAGTGTCTCACTTATTACTTCATTTCGGACGACAGGATCTTCTGCTGATCTTCCCACTTCATCCGGAATAAGAGACTTATCAGTCTGTCGCAGCGATTCAGTAGTGCAGGATACTGACAGATTCACCACATCTGCAGACGCCTCAAATTCATCTTTTTCTGATTCTTTTGTGTTTCCATTCCTTTCTTCGACTTCTTGTGATTCAGGTTGCTCAATTTTTTCCGTATTTTCCGCATCAACATTCTGATTGCCAACAGCAAAATCACTCACTTCAATCTTGGCTTCAGTTTTTGTGGTGTCTACGACAATACCCGTTCTCGAGTCTTGAATGTTTATGCTACTTGTATGTTTGAGAGTCCTTTCGACTACATCATCTTCCGTTTTATTGGTGATGGTATTCAAATTTCTATCCTTTTCTCCTAATTCTTCGTCCATGTTGTTGGAATTTCGATTAGCTAAAAAATCCACTTTCGGTATTTCCACACTCAATATTTCTGGTATTTGTGTTTCCGAAACTTTTGTATATTGTATATTTTCTACATTATGTATTTTTGGAGTATTTTGGTCAGTTGTTCGCAGATCATCAGTAACTAGCGACTCTGCTATATTTGAGGTAGTTTCATCACGAACATCTGATGAATTACTTTTTTCAAAATCTATTGTTTCAGTTTCCGAACTGTTTGCAGTTTCAGAAGCTTTAATACTCTTCATTTCATCATGTATTTCGATTAAATTTGATTTGGAATTATTTTCATTCACATTTCTCTCTTGAGAAGTTCCTTCAATCATCCAATTGTTTCCCACCAAATCTCTTTTCCCTTTATCGTTTTCATCTGATGAAATGGCAACACAGTTAGGAAATGATGGAGAGGAACATTTTTCTTGGTGGTGAATTTCTGCTTCCTCAATTTCCTGTAGACATGTTTGATCATCATTATCAGCATAACTGTTTGTTAACACAAAATGCAAGACCTCAGCTTCGTTCGATAATTTAGTTTCATCACTGAATTCATTATCATTTTGTTTAGCTTCTGCTTCGGTAATTTCTTCTGTCGCTTTTTGACTATTCTGAACAGCTGTACTACACTTGCTTCCCTCTGAATTCAACTCCTCTTTTCCTTTCTTACCATTTAAAATAGACTTTTTCTTCCTGCTTTTTCTCGCTTTTTTCTTTTCCATAAGTCTAAGCAAAAAATATGTATAAATCAAAATAGATCAAAATAGAATAGCGTATTTTTTGATTTATATTTTCCGTTTCAGAAATTTATGAGATTCACATTACCTGCATATTCCGCAATTCGAGAAATACTCGTTTCAAAAAGTTTGAAAATTGAAATGATATCCACGGTAATATCAAAGTGAGTCTGAAACTGATAATTATTCAACATGTTGCATCAATTACTAATAGTAGTTCCACAAACGAAATGCAGTAATGGATTCAAAATTTAGTACTAAGACAATAATGTTATCATCGACTAAATATAAAAATAATACAAACCACGTTGAAATAATCAAAGTAATTTTGTATTATAGGCTGTTCATCAATAGTTAAATCGTTTTAAATTGTTAAGTTGATCTTTTGTTCACTTAGTTTTCTATATGTTCAAAAAAATTATAATGGATCTCGACTCAGTATCAGCAGTATTAGTATCACTATTGTAATCAATATCACAAGCAGTATTAGTGTTCGATCAATATCACAATTCGTATCAGTATTATGAATGGTCTTCATCACCACGACTACTAGGAATACCATCAATTAGCAACTAACTCTATCCATAATCTCTAATAATTATCTGATAATGGTTCGCACAAGAAAAGTAAATATTCGATCAATCAATCAATAGAACTTTATCCTAAATATATTCATTCGTCTATTGCTTATCAATAACAAAAAATTTCCACTATACCAATGATCTTATATATCAATCAATCTTATAATACTCAATACGGTATACGACAATTTGATACCCTTTCAGTCTGCAAAAAAAAAGACGTAATGAATCGATAAATGAATTAGAAGACATGATACTAAGGAAATGACGGAAAGAGACATTTGCGAAGTAAATCAGTCAAATTTGTCATTGCGTTGGAATGAGCACATTGAAATGTTTACAGTGAAATGAAATCCTAATGAATGAAAAAGTGTTTCATTTATTGAATGTTAGATCATACTGAGAAGAAAAAGGGAAAAGTTTATGGATCGATAGAATAAGTGTGAAAATGTCATTCATTCCTATTTCATAACAACAGTGCGGTAAATTTGTGCTCAAATAGAGAATACTGTGTACTGCATTGTACTATACTGATTTCATTGATATTTCTCATTTTAAACGATGAATTGGAATGGCGCCGATGGAAGAGGAGATTTCATGAGAAAATACCATTATTAGAATCAATGACAATAAATCAATATAAAGCTATTTTCCGTGAAGAAATAAAGAATGAAATCTCCTAAAGTTCCAGCAACTTTTACTCCCAGAAAGGATGAATTGAGTGATATTCAATCAATCGTTCTTCGTTGAATGGCAAAGAATTGAAATGGAAAATGGGATAGTGTGAATTAGAGAAATTGATATAAGATTAATGAAATGAAACAAATTAAATTTAAGCGTAGTTTAGAAAGTTGCAGAAAGTGAGAAATGAAAGAGCGAAGAATGATTTCAGGTTGAAGAATTTGAATAGCGACAGGTATTGTCAAGAACGTGTGGCTTTCAATAGCTATCATATTTTTTGTGACATGACTGAACTTGGTAAAAGATGCTTTGAAAAAAAAATTTCATAATTTCATCCGTTTAAAGAAATGCCTTACCAACTAATTAAGGTTAAAGAGTTAATAATCCGAAATAAAGGGTTATTGTTTCTTTGTCAAACTTCTTTAGCATAATGAGAATTAAAAATAAAGAAATAATTGGCTACAAATTGTTATTCGACAGCATCTCATATTCCTCTTTTTGTTTACAAAACTGCATTCGGAAAGAATGCTTGCTTTAAATTTTGTAGAATTGGCTATTTTCTTTGTTCTTTTTAAGCTATTTATGAAATCAGAAATTGAAACAATAAAGTATTTATCACATTAAATTAAGTTTAAAATAAAATAAACTGCGAGATTTGTTGATAATTATGGAAAAAATGCAACCAATGAAGAAAAAACAATAAAGTACTTTCAACTTCTTCGAGAAAAGCTTAGAAAAGTGATAGAAGGTTATATTGAAGTATGACTTATTTATGTTTCTCAAAATTCAAAATTTTATACATTATGTTGTGTAACGACTTATAAAATATAATTATGATACTATAGTTAAAAATCTTGCCAGAGATTTCGGGTGCAATCACTTAAAAGGTTTTCTAAAAAACGAAAATTTTGATGATTTAATGAATTCTTTTGCAGAGAGAAGACAATATTTTAATTAAAACAATTCTACTAATTCTTCAATGACGAGATTCGCTTTTGCTTTTTAATATGAATACCGAATACAGGTATCATGGCATTGGAAAAGCATCAAATATCTGCGATAACTAGTTAATTCAATTAATTCGTACCCAACAGCAAATATATTAGATAATTCTGGAAACATTTTTCGTTACATGACTTTTAATGCCCCTAAGAATACTGCGTAAAAGCAATACAACATTTATTATACTTCTTTCCAATAATTCAATTAGAATTGTCATGAACTTCAGCATATTTTGTTTGAAAACTGATATATCGTTTCATTCACGATTATTTCGAAGACTTCATTATGTCCAGTATATATAGGTAATATAGATTTGCAAAAAAAATGAATAATTAGACTAACCACTCAGTTACCGGTTTTTTAGATGGCCAAAAATTGGCAATGTTGAAACTTGCAGTGATTAAAATTTTTACGAAACATAATTGCAACACTAATTCAACCAAAATTTATAATAGTTTCCAAAAATGACCTTCCACATTTTCTTTTATAGATTCTTCCGATTCAAAATTGATGAAGTCATTTTTATAGCTTTGCAATTATTGGATGCAAACAATTTGTGGCGGCTTAATATAACTGAAAAATATCGCAAAGATTGTACACTGTGATTCGGTTAACTTAATGGGATAATAAAGACGTAGTGACCTCTAACAATTAAGGGAGGAAGGCACACTTCAAACCTTCCAATCATGCAAAACAGAATGCCCTGCTATCAACTAACGAAACAGGTGTCACAAAATGGATGGATCCGTTGGAGGTATTATGGAAGTCCATCAATTAATACTTTTCCAATCTCATACAATGGTGTTGGGATATTCCGCGAGGTTCTGAATTAGGAAGAAATTAAAATGGAGAAACATAAGGAATTGAGTTATCAGGGGAAGTAGTGAGCTATGAGAGATAACAGGGAATGTTCAACTTGCGATTAAAATATGCAAATTTGTGAAGATGATAATGGCCAAGTGAGAGGTGAATAACAAATGAACAGAGATAGAAATGGTAAGATTTTGGTGATGTATTGAGATGTTATGGAAATATTGAGATAATGATCAGCAGCATTCCACAGAATAACGGATATTTTTTTGAAGTGATTTTTATTGTCAAATCTTTATAGAAAAATTGAAAAATTTAATACTGATTTCAGCGGAACGATCTTCTCTCACACAGTGGAGAGAACCACTTATTATTGAAACGAAACTTCAATTTCGTTCTTATTTCAAGCAATGGGAACATTTAGTATACAACTACCAACAGGTTCTGTACGTAATCTTACCGAAGTATTCATCCTTCTTCGAAATAATGCGCTTCACAACAAGTTCACCTTTGATAATAATACTGCAGTTGCAGCTGGTTAGTGCCATTACCACTTCAAATAAACCTTGGCTTTAGCTTGCGTCTTAACAGTTTACAGAATAGTAACTGTTCTTGCTCAAAGTATTCAGGTAACTAATTTGACAAACATTGTAGTTTGGAAAAAATACCGCGCATTTTCGACTGAATGGTCCGAATGGATGCTCCGCTACAAGCGACATGATTCTGTGAATTGTTTCCTTCTGTTATTGTGCCTTGTCACCATTTGACCTTAGAAAAGTTTGTCACAACGGTTACTGAACATTGGAAGAGATAGAAATTAGCATGCGGAAAAAGATTACCACTGTCAAAACTATCAAAATGAGAGAAGATATTTCGTTGAATGAAAGAATTCATTGATATAGATAATGACAGTGCAAACTTCAAGAAGATAAAATGTTGGAAAATATTCATTCAAGAATTGTGTTTTGTGTTTAGAGCATTTATTTACCCAGCAGATATATAATGTAATCTAGCTTGCATTATTTCCCCTAAGTAAACCATGCTAATCTGAACCATTTCTATAATTTGTTTAAAAATTTTGTCTTATGAAATAATTATAAATACTTTAGACGAGAAAATGTCGCTGGTTGCTTTAGATGAAGAAACCGGAACAGTTCATGTCTCAAGTTCTAGTCGTGTACCACCCGAATGGGTCAATTATCTTGACGAAGCACAATATGAACTTACGAGGTAAACTGCTCTGTATTTACCCAAAGCAATCAATAAATTTGAAAGACGAGTATCAGAAGTTAATTTTCTGCTAAAATTAAAAAAGGCGCTAAAAACAGTGGCTTATTTGTGCATGAATCCGTGAAAGCAACAGGCATATTGAAATAAGTGACAGATAAAAATATTATTATAAGAATGTGAGAAATTATTAGACTGACATGACAGTACAATTATAAATAAATATTAAATAAATAAGGGAAATTAATTTCATTTACTTTTAATATGTTTATTTCACTTCACTGCTGATTTACTTGTTGAGTAATGAAATTTTTTTAATTGTTTGACATAAGATAAATCAGATAATGCTGTTATTTCTGGTGGTATTATTTCTAGATCAAACCAAATTTTTCCTGAACTTATGACATTTTGTTTATGAGGTAAATTTGCTCTTTATTTACTCTGTATTTGATTATTTAAATTTGCTCTATATTTGAATATGATAATATGATAAAAAAATTATGACATTTTGTTTTTATTCTCCTCATTTTCGCAGGATACGATCACGTTTAAAACAAATTCGAGAAATGCAGCAGAATCATATATCAAAGCCAAGTTTCGCAGAAGATTTAGAGACTCAAAAAGAAATGGACAAAAGTACAAATGAAGTCACGGAAATGTTTTCTCACTGCCAGCGCTTGATTGGGTTTATTTCCATTTAATTTTTATCATATCGAAAAATTTTTATGCTTATGCTTATGCGCTCATACACGCTATGTTACTTCATAACTATCACCATATACACTATGCTCATTTCATAACTGACCACACGTATAGCAATCAATAGGCCAACCTAAATTTATTCCAATAATCATACAATTCTAAGTCTTTGACTTTTTCATCCCTTATCTTTTGACTCTCTTAACACCTTACATTAGCATCATTGAATATGAATTAATAGCATCAATGATATTGAAGATATCGTTTAGGACCATTAAAAAGTTCTTGATTTTACTGCACTTTTTGTGTTTTATGCCTGTTGATTTTGTTTAGTGTTTATTATTACTAGTGAAGTGTTTTACTTTTCAAGATCATTTTTTAGTTTTATCGAAAAGGCCAATGTCATCGAGAGCATACAACAGTCTTTGCTACGTGGAAATGTAGTTTCAACATTGCGGTTGACACTGAGTAATTTAGCTGGAGATTTTCGCACGAGCCAGGCAAAATTTTTAAAACAAATTGAAGCACGTAAAGAAACTGTCAATTCTTACCTTCTCGCATCCACCAATTGGGTAAATACCGAAGTTCTTGACGATGTCCCAATCGATGCGTCACGAGATGGTTTGTTTTTTAGTAGTCAGTGATATATTTATATGGAATTTTCCTCTATTATTTATAAGATAATATATCCTTTGTTCTAGCTTGTTAAACTTTCTGTAAATTGAATCTCAGAGCTTCCCATCTAAGTTGATCTTTTTGTAGTAAAGTAATGCTGACCGATGGTGATTTTTGCTATTTTATTGTCTAAATAACATTATTGGATTGGTGTAGTTTCAAATTAATGAGTTTTCTTGTGAAAATACAATTAATGTGACATAATTCTATAATTAAGTTGCATATTTTATAATTTAAGATAATATATCTAAATATATATTTTGTTGTAGTTTTCATCCTGGTCAAAACCTAATGCAATAATGCTGCTCATTTTGTTCATATTATATAAGAAACTTGAGAATTTTATAATAAACGAAAAATTTTAGGTCTTACCATGGAGCAAATACAGTTGTTGCTGCAAAATGCTGATATGGTAAAGGAACGTGAACGTGATGTAATGAGTGTCAGTAAATCGATTGTAGAATTAAATTCTTTATTCAAGGATCTTGCTTCCATGGTTGTTGATCAGGTACTTGAAATAAGTTGAAGTACTGAGCGAATTTTGCAATGAAAACTATTTTATGGTTTATAAAATTCATAGCCCTTAGTAATGCAACTTTATAATTATTTTGGATTGTGACTAGAGCAAATGCTGGAGAAGTTAGACTCTCTGTTCTTATCCTGGTAAAATATTACTTTCTTAAAAAAGTTGTGCGTCAAGATTTCGAATAATTTAGTAGTTGAGAAGTATTTCTGTTTTAAAACTCTTCAACTTTCTATTCAACTTCTGCTGTTGATTGTAATGCTTATGCAGGTTTAAATATTTAGAAGTTCGGATATTTTTTTGTTTTTAATGTCAGGGCACGGTTTTGGATCGAATTGATTATAACGTGGAACAAGCAGCGCTGAAAGTTAACTCGGCCTTATCAAATGTGCAGCGTGCTGAAAGGTATCAACGAAGCGATAAAAAAATGTACTGTATACTTATTTTGTCTGCAACAATCATTATTTTACTTATTCTTCTTATTGTCGTGAAAACTTGATGTGGAAATGTTTTTTTGTTTGGACGTGGTAATTTTCTTGTATCTTTATCCAACTAAATTGTCATCTCTTCGGAAGAATATGCTAAGTAAAAGAGAGAAGACGAGAGTTGTTATTTATCACTGTCTTTCTAGTAATTTTCTGCTCAGAATAAGCGATAAATGTAAAGTGTTTATTGATCGATCAAATTGGTTTATACGAAATTATAGTCTGATGGTATTTAAAAACAGCTGACTTCAAATATGAATGGAAAATTTTGTGAATATATTCTATTATGTCTGATGCGACCCTTGTTTAATTTTCATTTTCGGTTCGTTGGTTTGTTCTTTCTAATTATGCATTTTAATATAAGCATATTTATCTGTTGTATTGTGGAATCATTTCACAAAACTTTCTACTTCTCTAAGTTAGGATATTTGTGAAGTTATTAAATACGTGGATTATTTTTAGAGAAATGATTTGAAAGAAACTTTTGCAGGTTTTTGCTGAGTATTGTGCAATAGTGTTTTGTTAATATTGTGCAATAGCGCTTTTGTTTTCGTCTTGTTCGTTATTTGTAGATATGTGACAAATTAATGGAGTATACTACTAACCTTTGTTGAGATATTTGAATGATCTCTAAGTATAAAAGCGCGATGGAACAAATCTTAATATCGTTAAAAGTAATTGACCTATTTTTCCGACCGAAGCTAAATAGCTGACAATATTTAATTGACAATCATGTCAGTGGGTCGATGAATAAAGATGTTCGATACCTGACACAATCAATTTCTTCTGGTAGACCCTTAACTGGGTGTGGTTAATGCTCATTTGGACGGATAAATTGACTAAGTATTTTTAATATTGTTGGGAGGAACAAGTCATAAACTTCATTTCTTTTATGTTAGATGAATTATAAATGTTAGCAATATTATTTGTCCCAAGACAATTCAGAATGATGAGGGAATTAAAGTATCTACTTAATTGAACGCTACGCAGAATTCCCGAGATACCATGGGTCATTTGTACGGGACTGGCTGTATTAGAGTAATTCTCTCGATTTGTCTAATGGGTACACTTCTCACACGAATTATTGAAGTGCAAATTCCTTTGAATTGAGGCATTTCCATGTAAGATGAGAACTGACAGAGAAAGATTAAAAATTTGAATAATATTTTGTTTTGTTAAAAGAAGGTTAGTGGGAAGGGATTTCGGTCATTTTATACTTATACGTTCATGTTAGTGGTTTGGTTCCTTCTAGTTGGCTCATGCCAACTAGTTGATAGTCGATTTCGCCTGCTTGGTGCGTTGTATTAAAGTATTTTATTAAAAGTGAAAGGACTGAAATGACGCTTTATATTAAGCAGTTTATGATTCCCCTGGAGTTTAATTTTAAAAATTTCATTCATCAGATGCTTCATTATATATGGAATGTACACATCATTTACGATGTTCGGAAGCAGATCGTATCCGTTGGTTCGAGTTACGCGAGCATGTTCATAATCTGATAGAGTTAGGTAATGTGGCACGAGAAGATGGCTATATTATCGAGTTTGTTCTCAATACGTTTATTCCTCATTTTGGTATAGATGTTCTTGTCGAACGCAATGAGAGAATAAGAAGAATCAAACAGCAAGAAAGTGTAGGAAATGAAATTGAAACATGTAAAAGCAAAATTAAGTAAAAATTAGTAAATTAAAAGAGTCATTTTGACTTTTTAGGAAAAACAAACTTCGTCATTCATTGCGATATCGTGATTATCTGTGCACTGAGTATCGAAGTAGCGGCTATTTACTTCAAAACGATAGCAGTTATCACTTGCAAGTTGCATGCATGTGGGTGGGCGGTGAAATGAATGCAACTTGTGGTCTGATACCATCAACTGAGAAGCCGTTTGGGTACCATGAACCAGAAGAATGGCGCCGAATGCTTTTTGTAAGTTCTTATCAACTGAACGAAAAAAATTGTTAAATTATTTGTAATTTAAATCATTAAATTATTCACTCTTCCATATCATTAGGTATTTCTTTCTTCCGAAATCATATCTGAACTGAAATCAAATGTGAAAAAGTATAAAGCAAAGAGTTTACAGTTACTGAAATTCAAAATCATAGAATCATCTCCCTTCCTTCCAAGAAACATCCTCTCCTCCGAAACATACCTGCGTAAGAAAACCCTCAGGCTTTTCCTTACAAGTGTTGATAACGACATACTGCTGCTGCCTTTTGAATTGTCATTGCTACAATGACCTTATCTTTTTTGTCCTTTTATTTATTTTTTTTACTTTTGTGTACTTTTTCATTTTATCATAACTATCTCTCTCTCTCTCTCTCTCTCTCTCTCTCTTACTAATCTTCTAATCACTTCTTTTTGTCAAAAAGTTGCATTAAAAAAATTTTTACTGGTACGTTTGTGTAAAAAAAAAATTTTTTTCTGATGCCTTAAATTGTTTTTGGCGACGTATCGGTGCAATAGCACTTGAAATTTTCACTCATTTCAATTTTCAACAAAAAATGTGATGATAGATAGAATATTACAGAGAAGTATAGAACGGAATTAAAATTTTAACAGCGTTGTCCTGAAGACTGCCATGTATGGGCTTAATTCATGATTTCTTAATAGCAGAATTGATAACGCTAAATTCATCATGATCATGATGGAAGTAATTGCAAAGTACACCTTCTTACCTCATAAATGCAGCATTATTACATCGAAAACTTAATTAGTTAACTTCTACGAGCGATATATTGCATTTTGCTAAGAATCATGAATATTGTTGCATATAAAAAGAAAGAAGTTCTTGAATTCGTCCAATTATGGAAGTAATACGGTAATATTGTTTATCGAAATTTTGCAGAACATCTTAATTTCAAATTTTGGATTTTACAATAATTTTCGCACAAATATTCTATTATAAAATTCAATATGTTTTCTCTTTTCTTCTTAGATGACATCCGACCAGATCTGTAAGCAACTTTTTCTCTTTAGCTATCCCACAATTCACAAATCTAAAATTTATTTTCATATATCTTCACTACCCGATCGTCTTAATTGTCTTCATTTCTTCAAATTATGAAGATAACAACTAACTTTGGAAATCCCATATTTTTTTTCAACTAAATTATTTTTCGATGTCTGTAATTTATGTTAACTCTTAGAAGAAAGTAATTACATTCAACAAAGAGATATCTTCATTAATTTTTTTCCTTAGTAAGCAAGAAATGATCTATTTTAGTGATGCAGTTTAAAAAAAATTAGAAATCAGGAATTATTTTAAGGATGGGCAGTTAAATTAGCCCATTATCATTTATTTGAAACAAGAAGACTTTTAGCAAAGACAAAAAATAGACTAGTTTCTGACCAGAGAATTTGACTCTGCGGCATACTTCAATAAGAAAAGTACCTATTTCTTTCATTTAAGTTAATTACTTGTGGTTGCAGATACTGCGTAGAAGTATCGGATGTTCGGATGATGAAATACGTGAAATCAGAAAAGTAGGTACTTTTTTTTCTTCGAAAAATCTGTCATTATAACTTACAATAGATTAAATAATTATCGATGGATGTCACAACAGATATGTGCAGTAGCTTTCATCCATTCCTTATTTATTTCCATTTTTTTACGAAGGATCAGGCTTAGGAATTGTTTGTGAAAAATGAATTTTTTAATTTGAAAGATTTTGTGTAATTAATTTGGATGAATGAACAATTCCAACATTCAGTTTATCGATTTACTTTTTCCTTGTTTTTCGTTCATATTCAATTTTTTGATTTCCGGATAAATGATTTATCAGTTAAAAGCACTAGATTGCAATCAGAATGATATACATGCAATAAGGTAGACTGTTGCTTGACCTTTCTTGATGAAACATAATCCTATACTCCCAGCCTGCGTAGTCTTTTAATTCTAAACTAAAAATTTTTAAATTTGTTAGCAATCCTTTCTTAATGCCTACCTACCTCATCAGATTTATCAAATTTTCATTTTCAATGATTGTTTTTCCTCCATAATATCTTTTCAATTCAAATTTACCTGTAGCAATGCTTTTATTTAATTGTAAGCATTTTTGGTTATAATAAAATGAACGGAAAAAACATTTGTGATTATAATAAAATGAAAATCAGGAGGTAATTATTTTTTAATCAAAAAGCGGTAATGAAAGTGGAACATTTACCGTTGCGTAACGTACTTCACAATTAGTTTAAATAAGAAGTACATCTGAAAAAAGTGATAAGTGAAAGTGTATGTGCGCAGGTAAAATAATAAGATAGAATTGGGGAAGGAGTGTAAATGTGACAAAACTGTAAAAAAAGTAAGTAAGCGGATGATATATTATTATACGATTGATAAATCATCGTTTTTTCATTGAACGAAGTTCTAGAGAATTTTTATATCAAAGCAAAATCAGAAATGATGAATTATTTCTTAATAAAACTTTTTTCATTTTTGGAAAGAAAGAAAAATGTATGAACGAATTATCATTTCAGTGAAGCATAACATCCTGTTTTTTGGATTAACATTTGCAAATGATTACCGAAATGCGTTAATGTAGTAATGTTTTTCTTTGCCAGCTGAAAATTTGGTAGTAGTGAATTTTTTTCTTATTTGCTATTTTAAATTTTATAATTTTCAGGTGTCAGAATTATTCTACTGTACAGAACGTTGTATTCAAGCTGGAATTGGTTATGTACCAATGATGTTGATTATGGCTTCCGTGATACTATCATTTCTATTATTTTGCTTTTCTTCATAATGCAAGTGATAAAACTGCGTTAATTTTACGAATAGTTAGAAATGCATACTTATTAATTACCTGTCAACAACATGTGTATAGAATAAATAAATTCAATTTTCTCACTTGTCACTTTGCATCTATTTTATGATTAAAAGAGTTGTTGTAAAAGTAAATGCTTTGTTAGTCATTCGGAAAAAGAAAAATTAGTTGTTTTGTTACTTAAATAAATCAAAAAATATTACTATTCTAAACATTGGCAAAGATTCATTTCGATAATGTAATCAATCTAAATTTAATAATTCTTTTACAAAGGAATCTATTTTGGGTACACAAAGGATGTGATCTGTTTTAGATGCACGAAGGATGAGATCTCTTTTTGGATGCACGAAGGATGTGATCTGTTTTGGATGCACGAAGGATGTGATCTGTTTTGGTTGCACGAAGGATGTGATAGATGCACGCTAATATATGTGCAATATTTCCGCTATTCTTTACCTAGAATGGTTCAAATTTTCCAAAAATAAATATAATATTGAAATAGTCGTATTTCCTACTAATTTTCAACACATTTATGATAAATTGCAGGAAGCATTGGAAAGATGTGCTAATATGATTTTAAATGCAATGAATTTATTGTATAATACGTTTGTGATTTGTAAAATATTTTTATAAAAGAGAATTAAATTTGCATAATTAATTTCGAATTATGTCCACTGCAAATAATAAAATAATTAAAACTCTAAAAAAACAATATAAATAAAATTTTTTATTTTCAAATTTTTTGAATTATTTTTTCTAATTAATACATAACGTTGTTAATTATTGTTGAAGTTTAAATAAATTGGTGAAAAAATGGAAATGGAAAAAAAGAAGAGTAATTTACCAAAATATATTACAACAATTTCTCATAAAAACTTTAGCAAGAATAACATAAATGTAAAATGGCTGTCACTTATCATTCAAATATATCAAATAAAAATTCCACAAAATATTTCTTCTAAAAAAGTAAAGGTTCTTTTTTAAGATTGATACTTCAAAATTTATGCAAATATTGACAATATCAGTTTTAAAGAAACTAACGCAGGTTATTTTAACAGTTATTGTAACAATATTGTAAATGATTTATTGAAAGATAGTGTATATAACACAACCTGCAAAATTTTTCGGGTTAGAAAATTTTTTTAGTTACACTGCGTTATGCAATGATTGCTTCAGATATGTTTCGGCTCTTTAATGAAGGAATGATAATCCAAGAAGATTGGGCCATTTTTTAGAAGTCCCATTTTTCAATCTTCTATGCATTTTCATTGTTTCAAGACCTTTTCAGTATTTCTTTCAGTATTGTCGATATATCGCTTTCTATTAAGCATATTTCCAGACTAGTTTTAAATGATATGAAATTCTTGAAATTCTCAAATGATTAATATTGCTTCTAAATAGGGGCAAAGGTTAATATCAGTGGGAATCAAATTCTAAGATAGTGAAAAAGAAGACTATGAATTGAACATAAATAGAATTTTCATCATTTTCAGCATAATTTTTTCCACTCTTAACATTTTCTTAGACATTATGATACTTTCATAATGCATGTTTGAATGTTTAAGACAAAAATAAATGGATGTTTTTTTTAAGACAACATTAGGAACCATGTTGATGGGCAAAATTTTACAATAATTAATTATACATTTATTGTAGAAACTACGCAATAAGCCTACAGAACAATGATGAAACATTTCCTGGATTCATTTATAAACAATAACCACAATGGCTTTCGATCAGTAAATTTATGATAATTTCATCTTGTCATAAATGAAATTGATTTGAATGAAAAGTTAATGGAACTTTATTACTTTAAACTGGTAATTGAACATATAAATTTCACAATGAATAATTATATATACTAAAAGGTGGGAAATTTTTTTTAATCTGCTTTTATTACATGTAAATATATGTGATGTGAAGAATTTTATGTGATATGAAATGTTTGTGATGTAGTGATAACCAGGATAATAGCAGTGATAATAAGGCAGTATGATAAGATATGAGGAAATGATTAAGTTGCTTGCTTTCTTTAACGTCTTGTACCATCTTCGAAGAATACACCGCCATCGATAGCACAGTACTTCGGACATACACCCCGTTCGCCAGCTTTACCAGGTGGTCCTTGTGGGCCAGGTGCACCAGGTTGACCATCCATTCCAGGTTGTCCATCAGTGCCAGGCGCACCTGGTGGTCCTGGTGGTCCGGCTGCTCCGTCATGTCCAGGGTTTCCAGCTCGTCCGGTTGGTCCCTGTGGTCCTTGATCTCCTTAAAAAGAAGAAATAGTATCGGCCAATTTTATCGTTTATTTTAGCACTTTTTATTGCAATACTTTCTTGTCAATATTAAATTAATTCAGATTTTCATGACACGATTTTCAATGAAATTGTTAACAAAATTTATAGAGCTAACCTGGCTCTCCTGGAGCACCGCGTTGGAGTGGCTCATCCGGCGCATTTTCTCCTGGTGGACCATTTGGTCCAGCTGGTCCTGGTGTGCCTGGTTGTCCTTGTGGCCCTTGTGGTCCCATTTCACCTGGTTGTCCATCTTGTCCTGGCGCACCTGGTTGACCGTCTGGTCCTGGCTCTCCCCGTGGTCCTGGTAATCCTTGAGGTCCTGGTGGTCCAGGCGGGCATGGTTTGCATGGTGGTGCAGTAACAGGCTCACAGGGTTGTGGTGGTGGTCTGCCAGGATTACCTGGAAGACCTGCAGCACCTGGTTTACCTGGTTTACCGGGTCTACCTGGTGGTCCCTTAGGACCGGCTGGTCCAGTAATACAGCAACCTTCGCATTGAGGTGACGTTAACTGACGGGCTGTTCGGTTGTGTGCAACAATTGGAGACTGTCCGAGTCGCTCCACATCTGTCCAAGTTTCTTTTGCAGATTGCTAAAAGCGACAGCATTTTAGAGTTCCAAGAAAATCGATAAATTTTAATTAACTATTTCATTAATTTCGAAAAACAAAAACAAAATGGTATTTAATATTTTTTAAAATTTTGCAGTTTTTCCTTTCAATCGTAAAGTGGAAGTTGCAATTGTAATTATTATAAATAGATTGAATGAAAGAATGATGGAATGTGCACTAAGCAATCATTCTCATAGTTACTACCATTTGGTAAAATTTCTGGAAAAAAAAGATGAACTGTGTTTTTGATTTCGGAATTCCGAAAGTTAATTCTAGCAATTAGAATTTAATTCATTATTATATATAGCAATAATTAAATATTCCCAATCATTGATGAAAATTAAAAAAATTCCAATTTTTAAAAACGATTTTAAAATAGTACCACACATCTTTCTTTTTTGTTCTCTCTTATTACAAATTAGAATTGTTGTGAAAAGATGTAATAAATTTATTGAATGAAAAGAAAATAGCAAACCTTAAAATGCTATCAGATTTTATTCCACTAAATAAACATATATGAAAATGGGAAAGAATAGCTGTATAGCAATGAAACTGTCAGAAGAAAAAGAAAAGAACTAAATTTGTGAAAAGTAATTACGCCTGGTAATTCAAAACAAATTTTACTGTATTATTGGAAAAAAATTGAGTTAAAATTCTCTTTCTCTCTCTCTTCAAAAGTTTTAGAAATATTTCATTCATACGATGAAAATTTGATAAAAAATTTTGTTAAAAAAGAAAGAGTTTAATTTACAGAAGCGATCAAAGTGCATATGTTTGTAACGGTGTGACGATCGCTTTCTAATCAGTTTACGCATCTGAGTATTTATAGTTTTCACCAATAATATTTATGATATTTTTTTAAAATACATTATAAACTTTTTCATAGAAATCTTAATTATAAATCATTCAAAAGATATTTTAAAAAAAAATAATGAGAAAAATAAAATTATGAAAATTTCTCATTTATAAAATATTTCGCAAAATTACTGTTAATAAGATCATTTAAACTTTTTTCGAATGTGAACGAATAATTGTTCTAAACCTAATTAATTAGAAAAAAAATTTTATTATACAAAATAGTGAAATTTAAGTATGTTGAAATTTCAAATGTAACAAAGAATTGCTAAAAAGAAATTGTTGAAAAAGGGAAAAAGATACAGTAAATGATATGATAATGATTTGATAACATTTGAATAAATCATTTGAACGTATAAATGGGATAAGGGGAGGACAAACCTTGCAGAATGCAATTTCGGCATGCATTTGTCGCCTCACATGATGTATGTAATTATAAATCATTGGAAGTGTGATACATACTGAGAGAACAGCAATAATGCTAAATGTCACCGCAGAATAAGCGACAAATTTATAGGCTTTAATCCGATTTTGTATTTCCATTCCTTCTGATGAAATCCTTTTTCTGAACAGAAATATACGTTACCTTCCACACACCAAATTCTTTCCTTTTTTCCAAAGAGTATGTGACGATAGCGATGTGATACCATTCAAGCGATGTTCCATCCTTTAAGTACCCAATCGACCGGCTCTATAACCTATCACACCTCCTAACGTCTCTCTTCTCTTTTGCTATCCGTTCAGACCTGTCTTGTCACCTAGACCCTGAAGGTACATGTAACATTACCGCCCCTATTAATCTGGTCTTCTTGAATATCATTCTAAAGATGGGTGAATTTCTCCTACAAACTTTTCTCGTTCTTACCTTTTTCCGATCATTTCCAGTTTCACCACATTCCAATTCATGTTGAAAAAATTAAAATCAGCCAAGCACTATACAGAAAAACATCTATCCATCTTCCTCGAACTCCGTTCCCTTTTCTCTTCAGTAGCATTCATCTACCAACCCTTTCTATAAAACCTTAAAAATCTAAATTCTTCTTTTCATATAAAATGTCACATGTATAAAGAAATGAAAAAAAAGTTTCCTCCTGAAAATATTTTCTTTTGTCTATCAAAATTTTAGTTAATTATTGCTTCTATTAATTGTTTCAAAGCCATTAGAATCATTTCATATTATTTTCTTCCTTTCTTCTTTTTGAAAAAACTATTTGTATTAAAAATTTTAAATTTTGAAAATAATTTTGGCCCTCTCATCTGGCAACTTCTGCTTTTGTTATTTAAATGATTACACCAATTTCATGTTAAGAAATTTTGCAGAACTTGCAACAGCTTATTAATTCACCCGTTATGATTTTATGAATACTATGAATATTTGTAAGTTAAAAATTCATTAAATTTAAATGAAACAAATGAATGAAATGATATTTAGAGAAAAAAGCGCCATCTTATTAAATAAAAAACTTTTAAAATTTATTTTCGTATCTAAAATTTCCAAAGATCCAATATTTAGTATATAAATTTCAATTTCTATGAAAACTTCATGCTATTTTCAAGTTTACTTCATTCATTCAAATTTCTTAGATATCAATGATAACAACATTGTAAGTGTTGTCTCACTCTTTCCCTAAACAAAAATGCAAATGAAAATATTGTTAAATTAGAATACGATTTTGTTCAACGTTGCAGAAACTTTTAGTGCACATTTATAATGATAGTAATATTATGTGACATAAAAGTGATTATGTGACACAAAAAAGAGAGATAAAGGTTTTTGTCATTTAAATCAAATTTCTTCCTTTCATTTATTTATTATTAAAATCATTTCTTTCCATAAAAGATTTCTGACAAAATTAATATTTCTTTTGTTTCAACAATGCTTTTTTTTCAACACTTTAGTTTATGAATTTTGCATAAAAATTTATGAAATTTAGCATTCGATCGTTTTTTGATGTAACAGTCAGAATTTGATTTCCTTTTGTTTATAGAAAAATTTATTGCTTCAACAAAAACTTGTAATAGCTGTCAAAATGAAAATTATAACTTTCTAAGAAATTTAACAATTCTTTGAAATAATGAAAAATCATTTGGAGTAATATCGAAAATTTTCAACAAATAAGTTACAAATGATTGATAAATTACATTTATGGAATATTTCCTCTCTTTATGACAGATATATTCATGACAGATAAACTGCTGTAAGGTTTTTCTTTCTTTTTTGATCTAGGCATCAAATTTTTCTGATTTCTTCCAAATATCGTTATATTATTGTATTAGCGATTTTTAGCAACTTGAACTAAAATGATAACGATAATTTAATTTCTGATTAGTATAGAAGGAAAATTTGCCGGGAAATTTTCTTTGATCTAAAAATCAGATTTTCTGCATAATTGCAGTAAGGTTTTTCAACGGTTGCAATAGAAGCAGCCTTCTTTTTTTTGATCATCCTTCAAACGGTAATATCATGAATGATATACAGTTTTACCCATAAAAAAAGAATGTGGAAAATGAATGATCTTGCAATATGAAATTTTTGTCATATAAGGAAACACTGATAATTTTGAAAAATAGGATGAGAAATGGAGAAAAGAAATTACGCTTAATAAATAATGCCTTTTGTTATTTTTTTTGCGTCATTTCCGTGTTACGTTGTAACGTGAAAGTAAGGCGCAATTATGCTTATACATAATATGAAATAATAGATGGAAATTCTTACCTAATCACTTACCTGATTTCTGCATTCTCCTGTTAAGCTCGTAATCTAATCAACTAAGATTTCATTCTTTTTTTTCTCATACAAAAAGACAACTGTTTAAGTTTAAGGAATTTTCATATTTATCATTTACACTTTCTTTTTGTCTATTGATCATTTATCAATAAGTAATTTCAAATCTCGTTTTCTACTACCTTTTTTTTTCTTTTGTTTCAGCATTTTGTCAGACAAATTTATTAAATAAATTCAGTAAAGTTTGCTAGAATAAAACAAAAACATACACAAAATGTAATATTTGAAGAGTATATATTTAACATAATTAGTAATTAAAAATATTATTAAGTTTCAAACTATTATCTAATAATATATTTCTATTATAGTAAACTTATCTTTCTCTATTATCTTGATTTTTTACAATGATATATACAAATTAAGAATGCACACATACACACATACACACACATACACACACATGCACACACATATACAACACATACACATACATACACAAATACATAAATATATCACAGAGAAATTATAGCACAATTAATAAACAATTTAATTTGCTAAAAAACTATTTGTATTTTGATTTCTTTTAAATTACTTTAGTGCAGCAATATGTAATTCTTTCTTTGCAATTGCAAAATTTAATGCAATTTTGTAAAATGAATTTCTTTGAAAAAAAGAGAGATTATAAATTATAATTTTAGCAAATTTGCATTACAATTGTTGAATATGCAAAATTATTTTTTCACAAAACATAAAAAAGATAATTTATTAATTATTAATTATAAATTCCTTTATTTTAGAATATTTTCTTAAATGTTATTTATTATTGTGTTTCAGTTTTTAATTGAAATTAACATTTCCTTTATTCGTTTTAACAGATTTTCTCTTCCGCATAATCAACATTTGCCCTTATTCCTCAATCAGAATAGTAATAATTCGGCAAAAATTGAATAAAACAAAATGTGAAAACTTATAATACAATAAAATGTTAGCTTTAAACTTTTGAAAAAAACCAAATTGACAAATAATTAAATTACAAAACATTATTAGTTCATCACAAATTCAAAAATGATTTTTCAGTGTATCGAAATAATTCACTTTGATTGCAAAATTCATTTTCCTAATAGATCCTGAAAAGAACTTCCATTATAAACTGATAGAGATTCTCTGATGATAAATAATTTCAAATTTGCATCCAACAATAATTTCTACTCATTCCAACATTTTATCTTACACTGTGCAAAATAAAATTTGAAATGAGCACAATATGAAATTTTTAATTTCAAAAATAAATTACTACTTTAATTCGCAGATATTTTGGAGCTTAATAATTTCACAAAAAAGACTATTGATTAATTTTTGATTAAATAATTAATTTTAATATTAATAAATTATCAAATAATGCTAATATGAAAGATACACGAGAAAAAGTTTATTTATTTTACTGAAAAAATGCTTTGATCTTCGCTTTTTTCAACAGAAAACCAATTTTTTCTTTGCAGAAAAAAATTTTGATGTTGTGAAAACTTTTAAAATTCTAATTGAAGTAATTATTTAAAGAAAAGAAGTGATAATGAAGCAACTGAAATATCAGAAGTTCGAAATTAATTTAAGTGATTTTACAAATTGCTGCAAGTTTTTCATTAAACTAACTTCTACAATTCAGTTATAATGGCTTTCTCACAATTCTTAAAATTCAATGTATCAAATTAAATGTGTTCAATGGGTTATCAATTTATCAGAATTTAATTTTTAAAATAAAGACTATTAATTGCTTAATAAATGGCTTCGTTACAAAATTCAAATATACCGAATCATTGAACTTTTTCAAAGAGTTGGATAAATTTAAATTTTGAAATTTAGTCATTTATTTGAATCATTTATTAATTTAACTGTTATTAAAGTAAATCAAATATTTTTCATGTTAAAATTAATAAAAAGTTTTTTCAACTTCTTTACATTAATGTGTCAATAATAGTATCCAAAATGATGAATTATTGATTTATTAATAAGTGGAAGAGAATTCATTGAAAAGCAATGGATTGAAATAGAAAAATTAAAAGCTTGTTAAATTCAGCTCTTCACATGTTGAATTTCAGTAATGAAAGAATTTGTAATAATGGCTTGAGGCGCCAATGATCAATTTAAAATTTTCTTTAATTTTAATGACACATTTTTTCAATGTTTCAACAAACATTTTCTGTTGATATTCCACAATGAATATTACTCTGAAAATTTTTTGATCTTCGCCAATTTCAATTCAACAAAATACGAATGATGGCTGTATGAAAAGAATGCATATAATTGTTTTTTTTTTGCATGTTTACTTTCTTAATTATTTACTTCTTACCTGTTGAGGATTTTATCAATTCATTGAAGCATTTCCCAGAAATTGTAGTTCAGTTCATTAGTAGGAAAAATTCTGACATGAAAACATGCTTTTGTTAGACGAAAACAAAAATTCACTTATTTCAAAAGCATAATTAATTGGTCTTTTTGGAAGATGCCCGCCCACGAAGTGAATTCCAATACTTTCGATCTTTCGGACTCACTTTTTGAAATTGAAAAGTATGTGCCACTTCTGATAAGAAGTATGAATAGAACAATACAGTAATATTGGCACACTTGATAAAAATGATAATAATATTTAATAATAATAATAATAATAATAATAATAATAATAATAATAATAATAATAATAATAATAAGAATAAGAATAATAATTTAATTAATTTGAATTATAGGAAAAAATAAGGAAAATGCGATGATATCATTTAATTGCAATTAAATATTTGCTCCGAAGTATTCAAATTTTTTGAAAAATTTTTTCCGAAGTACTGAAAATTTTCGGAAAACAGCATTTTCTTAATTTGCGAAGGTTTGCAATAAAATTATAGCGCTGCGTTTTTTTCTTTTGTTAAAGATCAATTTAGTTGCTGTGTTTATGATCGGTTGTATATTTCACCATTTGCAGTCGTAAGAATTTATTGTTTCTTTCAACCAGTCCAAAAACTCGATCTTCACTACAACTGTCAATTATTTTGCAGAATTTAACATTGCTAAATAAGTAAATTGTTACGTTATTGTAGCTGAGAGGTTTATTATTTTTTTAAACTAAATCCAGAAATTCAAATCATTTCGTTTTTGAGACACTTTAATATGATGATATAGAAGAGAAACCTTATAAATGGGATAGCTTTATCAAATGTTTGCGGAAATGCTTTTAACATATTCAGCGTTGATTATCATCAGATCATCAGAGCATATTCAGCGTTGATTATCACCAACAGCAAACAATTAATGATAAAACAATGAACTATTCGCTTCATAAAACTAAAAATGAATGATAATTACTTGCAATTGCACAGTTTATTCTGATCGGAAAAATTGTTAAGGTAAAAAAATACGAAATATTACATAATGCAACGATCAATAGAGAAGAGAAACTTTTATTATGTAAAAAGAGAGATTGGAAAAATTTTTTCTATGAAATTAAATTGGATGAAATTGCAAAATAAAATGAACGGAAGGCTGGTTATTACAGAGCTAAGAAGGAAAATGGATTTAAATTAAGTGTCAAACAGTTCAAAACCCGGCTTTTATAATTCTGGAATAGTAAACAAAAGATTTTCAAATGATTTTAATTAGATTTTATAAGACAACGACAGTCATCCAAACTATTCATCTTTTAAATTTATTACATTGGAAAACGTTGTAAATTATGAATTTGCGAATCAAACAATCAATCATCCAAATTCGAAGTTTTAAATGAGAAAACTTAAAACGAATAATAAAAACTGATAAAAACTGTGCAACTGTTAAAAAAAATGATAATATCGATTGATCGATAATTTATTTAATTATAGAAGGTTTACTCGTAATATTCGTCCTTTATTTATTTTACAATGTCAATTTCAATTAATGTCAGCACAGTTTAGTAATATAAAGAAAATTGTTAACATCGTATTAGTCATTATTTTTGTGCTCTCAAAAGTTATAAAACAACAACAAATGCTATAATAAAAATGATGAACTTTTATCAAATAAAATGTAAATTCTCAAAATTTTAATTTATTATCCATTCAGGTGATAACTAATTAATTAATTAATAACCAGTGAGATAAATTAAATTATTTTCAAAGAAATGAGAGGTAATATAATTTGAAGAAAAAGATACTTATCTTTTTTCTTCGTTAAATTTTTCAATTAAAAAATAATTTTTTTTATTTCTCGAAAATTTTAAATTATAAATGAAAAGTTTCGTTGATAATTTATCAGCGATAAATAATTAATTCTTTTTGTTGGAAAATTTAATTTTTATCAAATTTTTCCTTTTTTTCAGTTTGAAGAAATTCAATCAAAACAATTTTATAATATTCAAAAAAACAATATTTTATTTTATTTTATTTATGTCAATTTTACAATTTCCACTTTTTTCCATATACTTTACACATTTTAAATGGTACATACATTCCTTTCCTTCTATTTTAATTATTGAAAGTAAATAGAATTAAAGAGAGATGATATCAGGTGTTGAAATTATTTCATTTTCAAAAACATGCTTGCTAATCGTCATTTCAGGTCAACTTCAGTTCATTTTATCTCATTTAACTTAATACCCCTCGTCAAATAAATATAAGAATTGAAGAGAGAGAAAGAGAGAGAGAGAGAAAAGAGACCTGAAATTAGAACTTTAAATTGAGAAAGAAATTTTTTTATCCTCAGATAAAAAATTTCTTTCTCAATTTAAGAGGTTACAATGAAATCTCACTTTGGAAATGATTTTAAAAAAAGTTAAGAAAAGATATTTGCAATTGGTCGATTAAGGATTGTTATTATTATCATCAATTCCATTGATATTTTGTATTGCTTATATTTATTGCTTGAAAGGTTCAAAGGTTAAATAAATCCAATCATACTAATTTTATCATCCCAAAATGTTCATAATGCGATGGTTGCATTCTTCTTTTAAAATAATTTCAAAGATAGTTAATATAATTAATATCATCATTTATTACGTAATTTGCTTGTACTAGAAATTTGTTAAAATTCCGTCTCCCAAATACACACATTACATTACACACAAACAAACAAACACATACAGACATTTGTTAAATGTGTGTCTTTTCCCAGAAATTGCTCCGAAATAAGATAATAATAACTATGGGAAGGGCCTTCCCTGTCTGTTCTTCAATTCCGGTTCAGTACAGGAACAAGAAAGCGGAAAGGCGGGAAGGTGCAATTGGGTAATTTAATAAGTGCATCAACTTTTCTCAACAAGTTTTCAGTTGTTTTTCTCTCCCTACTTTTCCATGTTTGAAGGGAAAGAACGATACATTCCAAAGTAAGTCACACCAGTTCCCCTCCTCCTAATATCTCTCTCTCATCATTGATGGTACTCCTTCTCGTTATGTCATCTAATATTTGAGTAATTAATTTGAATTATCCTTTTTTTGGAAACTTGTAGTAATTCTCTTTTTTTTTGCTCCATCAGAATCCCATCCTGTTTTCATTGGAGCAATTAGTCATATAGGTTAATGCTACCTCTTTTTTCATTTTCTTTTTGAGTCGGAACAACAACGGTCTTTCCATATCGTCATCATAATGATATTTTAGGAGAGTTGAAATTATAAAATTAAAATTCAAGCTGTGAATATTTATAATTGAAAATCAAAAATGAGGCAAAATTTGTTAGGGTAAAGATAGAGGAAGATAATTGAAAAATGAAATAAACGAAATGTTAAATCCTGAAATTGCCTTTTATTTATGCTATCTTTCACTTAATGCAAATGCGAATTAATTTTATCTTTTTTTAAAGGTTTTTAAATATTAGCAAAACAATCAAATGAATCAAAATTACTTCAACTTTTAGTTCAAACTTGTTGTTGTTGCTGAAATATGAGAAGGATCAAACCAAATATTTTGTTGTTACTGAAATATGAGATTTATGAATTAAGAAGAATAATTAGGAATTCATTTCACTCTGAAATGTTGAAATCCCAGTTTGCAATGCTTCTGAAACTTGTTGAATAGTTTAATTTAAATAGAAACATCTTATGATTACGAGCAGATATGTTTTTCCGGAAAGATGAGAAAATTGTTAACAAACTGTTTTGATAGTGTTACTTTTGCAAAGATTATATGTTTGTGAAATTTTAAATGTCAAAATTTTTAGATGATCATCATTCGTTAACCGTATGAAAAAATCATGCATCAAAAAGGAGAAACTTTGAAGAAAGAAGAAACTGTGCAAAATACGCATAAATTTTCCGGAAAGCAACAAAGTCTGAAATTTGTCTTTTTTCAATTGTCTTCAAAAGTCGAAATATTTCACTGCCAATTTCTATTTTTGCATTATTTGGAATAACTATAAAATTTCATAGTTATTTAAGTTTATTTGAGAAAAATATTGAGTGATCATGAAAAGAAATTAAAATAACCTTACATGCATAATTCTTTGATGTACAATTTTCAATTTGCTTACTTAATGACAGATTGCTCAAGTTTCTGATTTATAATTCTTTAGATAAGGTCAGGGACAAGAAAGCTTTAGATATGCAGGATGTTGTTATCAAGTAACCCCTTCAGAAATGAAAAGTGGAATTTCTGCAGCTTAGTGCGCTTGGGAAATCTTACGAAGACTATGCTTTGGTACTGTTTTTGCACGCTTTCCAGTAAGAATTTCTTAGATTAGATTGGTATTTGAAGTTATCATCGTTTTTTAGCATGTAATTAGCTACTTTACATTTACTTTCTGATGTATAAAGATGTTTTCGTAATAAAGATAAATATCGATAGTTCGATAGTGCCAACGCCCATTTTAAAATATATTTATTTTCAATACCGTTTATAACGGTTAATTTAACCACGTTAGGCACTTTTGTAACAGCTGCACTAAGATAAATTTTAAATTCTAATTTAATAAGAAATTCAATTAATTGCAAATACAAGAAAATCCATGCAACAGACTCTAAACAGATGGACTGGGCTACCAATCCTTTTTATGAATATTTGGAATGCCTTGTCCCAAACTTATTTTTTAACTCTATTCTTGCTTTCTTTGTCCTCTGTTTGAAACCGTTTTTTGAACTTTTTATTGAACTTCCTCCTCATATATTCAATGCTTTTTAGGTATATATAAAAGGCATTCAAAACACCCTCACATAATTAAATATTTGAATATAGCATGTTCGGAAGTATAATGAATTGAGATATTTAATTCAAATCTTTCGGAAGTCGCAATGGAAAGCGTAAATTTCGGTTATCCTGTGGAAAACGCTGCCTAGTATCTTTTTCGGATAAGTGATTAAAACAAACATAATTTCTACACGGATCGCCTTGCATGAGGCAAGGTGACCTACAAGTGATTTTCGACAGAGATGAGCTAGAAAATGACAAGCAATTTCATTTAAAAAAAACCCATCAAACTTGTTGTACTAGAATGAGTTAAAAATTCACACTCTTTCATCCGCAGAAAACTTGTATTTTAAAAACAATAAATACAATAAAACTAATAATGAAAAAAAATCAATATTTACATTTTTCAACATTTCAATTAAATGCTATCTGGTTTTTGTACTTAGAATCACTTTGTTAGAATCGACATTTGACGATGATCGACTTGATCATTGGAAGCTTAAAAAAATAACCTATCATTTCAAATTTTTAAAATATAAATTAGCATTAGTAGTCAAATTTTGAATATCGTACAAATGTATGGAAAGTAAAATTCACTAGCTTTAAATGTATGAAAGTAGAACAGGGAAGGAATGAACTCACTTTTCTCGGGGTCTGAATGAATGGTATGAGTTATTTGCGACCCTTCTGTTGTTATGCAAATCACGATGATATTGAGATTTCCTAAACAATATTTCTTCAAATCCATTTTCAACATACTCTAAGACATGTCCTCGTTGGTTACTGAACATATATGAAAAGTTATGTAGTTTGAGGTGATAATCCTGAGATACTACTTGCATTTCATTCAACTATCATGCATGTGTATATTTTTCACCAATGGCCAAGGATGGTGCAGATAAATGGTACAAGCTACCACTAACAATTGAATTTGCATAACCGTTAAAATGGAAAGATATCCAAATGTATTTGAAGATTTCACGAATAGGAGGTTCACGAATAGCACTTTAGCCGGATCATTTAAAACAAATCCAAAATTTGCATGATAGTTGGATAGATAAACATCAGTTCGACTGATAGCAAATAGTATGCGCTCAATGGCGGTCATCAACCCTGCTATTTTTTCATAGCACACAAAGCATAGAAATAAAAAATTTTTCAAAAACGGGCTAAAGAAACAGCTCCGAATTTCACGCTTACTGAACAGCCTGTTTTAAGGAAGCGAAATTAACAATAATAATGAATTACGAGATTACCTATAAGAGTCTTCCAGTGGCAAAGAATGAGTTTGCAAGTTATATCGGAATTCATTTTCATCGTCGTCCAAATTTTCGTTTTGAATGAGTTTTTTCCGTAGATTTAACCTACATTCCTCTGACTGCAGATAAGGTGAAGAGCTTTCGCAAGCCTGATATCTTCTCCTAAATAATAGTCGCACAGAACTTTGATATCAAATTTTTAAATCCAAATCTTACTGAATTTTTGCTAGTGTCAGTACTTTTCTCATTTATGAACTTAGATGACTGCCTTTTCACCAGCACTGTCTTATCCGGATGAGGAACTCTTAACAATCTATGCCTTTGAAAAATAAAAAAAACTTTTGACAGTGCTACCTTGGTGATTCATAATTATCACTGAGATAAGAACGTTGAGCGACAACATATTCATCTTCTCCACTATCATCAGAAAGATCATCAAAATCTGTATATTCTAAATCATGTAGTCGAGATTCATCATCCCTGACGTGATCACAAGTACCATCAACAAAGCTCGCTAACCTAGAAAACATGTCAAACGGAGCAATAAAAAATAAAAAAGGGAAAAAACCATTAATACATTTACACAGAACTATCTAACAAGTAACGAGTACAAGACCATTTAAATCACCACAAAAGCTTATTTACCTCTTTGGGTTACTCACTGAAGATGTAATTTTCCAAACATCCGCTTCCGCACTTCGACAATATTGGCGCAATTCTTCTAATGCTTTCCTAGTTTCTTCCTCACCCTGCTGTTGATATTCTTCCATGGTCAATAAACGCTGACATTGTGGAAATAAGAAAAGCCTATAAAGTCCCAAAATTTCATTATCTGTAAACACTGTCTTAAAAAATTGCAAGTGTGATATCCCAGCTGCATGGCTGTGATATCCCAATTTCCTTTTCGTGCTGCGAGCAGCACGAAAAGGAAATTCCTCAAGGCGTGAAAACTTAGTTGCAAAAAAAAGTTTATATTCTCACCTCTACCAGTTTTAACCGATTGTCTGTAAGAGATAGAAATTTTCCATTAGTTCTAACAAAAATCTCTTCAAAGCAATTATTTCTACGAAAGCATTTAATTTGCTAACCATACTGCTTTGAAAACAGATATGAATTTGGATATTATATTAATCAACCAATTTTTTGAGACCGACCACAGCAGTAACAATGCAATGACTCCAATAGCGACATCTATTATCTGAAATAAAGATCAAAATAATCGACCTAGTTGCAACAAATTACGTGATCCAAGAAAGAATCTCTCTCTCTTTTTAAAAAAAATTATTTAATTATATAACAATTATATAAAAGCAAATAGAAAATGATTTTAATAATAAAAAAACTTATATGAAAATTATTTAATAAATATAGTAGCTAGTAACTTACTTGACATGATGAGTATATCAGTATCAAAGCAATCAGCTGCAATGTCCACTGAGCAAGATTATGAGATCGGATGTCGGTTGGTGGTCCGTATCGATAACAAACCGCCAAAGATATTAAAATTACTGTAGCAAAATATGCTGCCACAAATTTCTGATACACTAAAACCAAAGAAGCGAGATTTTTCCAAACAGTGTAAATAAAGAAGAACGAGAAGGACCAGCCAGTAAACATCAAAGGAATTCCCAACCAACTCTGAAAATTTTGAAAACAACTTTATTGCTTTAATATCCTATCTTTTTCTAATGCCAAATTTCCCATCGGCATCTCTTCTTTGTTTACCAATTTTGAGTTCCTTATCTGGAACTGAGAGCATTGAAGTATAGAGTGGGAAATGTTAGAATAGAAAAGCGCTGTTACATATATTCCTATTTTAAATTCTTTAAAGTACATATATGTAATACCATAGCAAAATCTGTGGACTACTGGAAGTGGAATACTGTGGACTACTTAGTTTCCGGAGTTAATTTATGCTTCAGAATTTTCCTTATACGCGTGATTCATTCAAAAAAGCCTTATTCACATGATGGCGTTATTAGTATACTCATGACAACTTTTCTGGCAAGAAGAAGGCAACAGAGAGGAGAACGTGATGCTGAAATATTCCATTTAAACACTAGTAATCTGAGGTTTTATATAAACTGGTTAAAACAAACCCTTGGAGTCAACCGGTAAACTACAAATCCAACAATCAAAAATGATGCAAGAATACCAATCGTGCAACCACTAGTATAATAGAAAATAGCATTTTTCACTAAAGAATATGACATCAAAAACAAGATTATACTACCGATAAACACAGCGAAACGTATGTAATTAATCTCTGAAATTGAAATCGGATTTGAAACCTTTAAGAGTACTTTATACATACATATTAGAACTTAAGAATTGTGTTAATTGTCGCAGTTTAGACAAGAAATAAAAAGCTAGAAACAATTTTATTAAATGACACAAAAAATCACCCGAAATTTGAATCTGTGTTAGAAGTTATCTCAGTTTAGACAAGAACTAAAAAGCTAGAAACAATTTTATTAAATGACACAAAAAATTGCCTGAAATTTGAATCTGTATTAACTTCCAATACCCATTAAACATTTCAATAATATTTACAACGACTTGAATAGAAAACAGGTAATGGTACATAAACTTACTCCATACACGTATTCGGATTTCATATGGATGTCGAGTGCTTACGCCAATAATAGTCTTAGAAAATGGACTTAATTGCTTATAACGCAATAACTTGACACGCCTTACTAATCCCCAGAGACGCTGATCATCGTGATAATGTTGCAGAATCTCCGAACAATTATCACCCTGAAATTTAAATTATTATGAACACTTCCAGCCACGAAAAAATTTGTTACTAACTCTAGAGCTATTCTATAAGGTCAATTCAAATGCAAAAATATATCAGAAAAAAATCAACTATGAAACTATCATTAATAATAATACCTCACAGCATAACTTTAGAAATCATTAATGAAATTGAACATTGACATCCATCTCCATGAAGATGTCAATGTTCAATTCCATTAATGATTTTTTATCTCTCAAATTCACTCATTCTGAAGACTGAAATACAAAACAGTGCTTACCTGATAAAGCTGATAAGCATGTTCGTTAGTAAGGTTAATTTGAAGATAAACATCCATGAACATATACGCCACATGGCGATGAAATCCATTACAGTGATAAAGATCCAAAATGGTGGATAGACTTGACCAACTAGATGCTTTCTCCGGCACTGTTATGTACGATGATGTAAGCTCTAAAGATGCATAAGATTATAAATAAAAATAAATGAATATAAAATATAACTATGCATACAGTTATATGAATAACAAGAGTTCAATACTTTTTCTACTTTTAATCATCAAATCAATGTCCGAGCTGTGAAGAAATAAAAAACGAGAAATGAAAAAAACTAGGATGGTAATTTAAACAAATAATTCATTAAAACGCAATTCGTTGAAAGAAATATATCTAAATCTAAATTTTACCAAATTATGGCTTTGTAGATTTGAACGTTTAGCTTACCACGTGTAATGCATTGTCCAGAAATGTTTTCATCAGCAGTCACCAAATAAATTGACAGAAGTAAAACCATCACTCTGTTCAACATTGCTGCAATCTGTAGATGAAAGGATAAGAATACAAAAATGCGAAATTAAACAATGAAAATAAATGGCAGTACTGTTGCTATTGTTGCATGTCGTATAAGACTAGCAACTAGTCGATATGACCAATAACACGATGAAGTAAACCTTAAAGTAAATAAACTGAAGAAGAAAACATACTTTGTGAGAAAAGAATTTTTGATTAAAGGAGCACTCGTCTCTGCCAAATTGTTACAACTCATAGATTACCCACAGACGAACTGTTTTTTACCACTCGTCCAATTAATATCTAAATTTAAATTTCAGCTTTATTTATAGCATAACATCCTTTCTCCCTCCCCCTGCATATCAGCAACATTCCTTTCTCTGTGGTACATTTCACATGTTTCCTCCATATAATATCACTTAAATATAGTATGACATGATAATGGCAGTCAATGATTGGTAATAAATGTACTAAATATTTATACAGATGTAAATTGTTTTTCATTTTTTATCTTCAACTCTTTCTTTGTTGTAAAGCTGTAGCTGTCAATGGCCACCTTGCACAGCTTTTTTATATCATGCTGAGTTGACGATGAATTTAAGTAGATGGGGAATAGAGGATGATGGCACAAGTTGATTTCAGGAAGATATGGTAGGTATTGGTGATCTTAGTCGAGGTTTCATTCAAGAAATATGCGAAACAAATAATGGAGAAGAGAAACCGGTAGTCCAAATTTTGGTGAGTTACTTCGCTTTTTTGTTGATTGTTTTACTTCTCCTAATTACTGTGAAACGTTATTTACTTTAGTTATCAAGTTGCGGATTAAAAAGAATTTTTTCAGGAAGCGAGACCATTGGTTAACAGTCAAACGGAACCTGCTTCAGAAGCCCAATATTTTCGGTTTCGAATATCGGATGGAATGTTCAGTTATAATTGTACGTATTTTTTATATTAATTATTATTATTACTGTAGTTACACTAAATTGCAATTAAGTTCTATTGAAACTAAATAATGATGGCATCCGATCTAGAAACATTAATAAAAATTATATTTTAATCTTATTAAGTTGCTCATACCATTAGCTCATTTTATTGGTGTTTTTTAGCCTGCCTTAATCAAGCGGATATAACGGAAAGAATTAAAAAAGATGCCCTCGATCAGGGCAATCCAGTATTACGCATAAAGTATACGATGTGAGTTAGTTGCATGCTAAATTTAAATTCAAATTCACTGATTTAAGTCGTAAATAACTTACGTATTTTTTCTTTCTTCTGAAAAGACTTCTTAGAGATTGTTCATTTCGGATGTTGTAATTTTTTTCTGTTTAAGAAAAACAGCTCAAAAACCATTGTTGAGAATTATGGATTATGAAATTTTGGGACGCGACTTACCGGTTTTTGGGAATCCAGTGCATCATTCTGGGAATCCCAGCGACTATCGCGGATTAAATCCAAATGCCAATGTGCATAATACTCGTCCTCAACTTCAATCTCCCCAAAAGGGTGGCGCAAGCGTGGGACAGAATGTCCCTGGTAATGCTTTGTTTTTTTTCTTTTTACGAAGTTTTAATACAAATTCTATCATACTTTCAGTATAGGATTACGAAGTTAAACCCTTTAATATGTAACAATTAGTTACCACTTCTGAACTGTGAGTGGTTGCTATTGACTTTTAATGCAAGGTACTAAATCTCATTTCACGAATTTTTTACAATTTAAGTTTTAAATTTTTCTTTTATGAGTGTTCATCTTTTATTAAGTTTCTGTATATTACTGTGTGCATAGAAAAAAAGTATTATCGTTATATCATCAGGTGAAATGAGACATGGAATTATGTTTTTTCCATCTTTTTATTAGGTAAAAATCCTAATTACGAACAAGCAGCACCAATGCAAACTTTGCTTTTGAAGCAGCAGTTGAACGAGATATGCTGTCACTGCTATTGTAGGGGAAGCCAATAGCATTTCATGAAAAACAGTTGAAGAGAATTATTTAATTATTGCAAGCGGTTAGCTACCTTGAGCAAAAGTATGTGTTGCATGTTTTTATTTGAAAGTCAGGAAATCAACGGATGCACATTCTACATTTCTGCTTCCATACACCATGCTTTCAATTATTGATCCCTCTTGAGTTTTTACTCTTCTTGCCTAAATATAAAGAAAATGTCGAAATTGAAGCAGTATATATGAGTGACGATAAATTTATGAAGGAATGGTATATTGATAAGACGACCAATTTTATTTAGTATATTGATCTTGCTTCTTTGTTCTTTTCAGCTCGTTATATTGGTTCATCATCACGCCGACTGGCCAATTTGGTAGGACAGAACTTGACGCCGATTAAATTAATTACTCCCTACGTCAATAAGTAAATCTTCAAATTGAAGTTTGGTTCATCTTTATGCTCTGCCCGATTAAAATGCATTTAGTGAAAAAATCAATTGAGTGCTTTCAATTTGGTCATTGCATTAGTTGCTACCGTTTGATAAATTCTTATATCCTATCTTATAGATGGCGGATTTGTGGTGTAGTGACTGCAAAGGAAGATCTACGAAATATTAGAACAGCTCGGAGGGATATGAAAGTGTTCAATTTTGAATTAACAGATGAAGAGGGCGGCTGCATACGTATTGCCGCGTTTGATGATGTTGCTGAAAAATTCTATTCAATCGTCCAAAAGGGATCGGTATGGTTATTTGTTTAGCATAAACTGTAATTTACATTCATTGCATTATTTTCTGTAACTTTAGTGCTTCTTATATACAGGGGTTTGAATTGTTTGAAATTATCATTTATTCCATGTTATTTTCTAACTTATCAAAAACTGGCAGATTTTATTAACTTGCACATATTTTCAAGATGTTCTATGTGTCCGGTGGTATTGTCAAACAGGCAAATAAACGTTTTAATACGACTGGACATGATTACGAAATCACAATAAGAAACGACTCTGAGGTATTCAATTATTTTATTACTCTATTAATTGTTATTTTTTTAACTTGCTAATTTACTTTTTCTATTTCCCACTCTGTAATATTTTGCTTAAAGCAGTTGTTTTACTAGTGATGTTCCAGGTACTCCCTTGTTTGGATCGTGAAAAAATTGAACAACCGAAGCTTTCACTTAGTATTGTTCGTCTTTGCAATGTAGCTAATCACATCGGCGAACCGATCGATATCATTGCCATAGCAGAAAGGGTCAATGATATCATGCAAGTAAATTTCATTTTTGTAAGAAATATTTGGTAGTTTTGTAGTTTCTGTTAGCGAGAGCAGAAGAATGATCAAGGCTTTTGATATTTAATCATTCTTTCAGGTTACAGCACGAAATACAGGAGCCCAACTGGAAAAACGGGATGTAATACTGATTGATACATCGGAGACGGAAATTACATTGACATTTTGGGGTGAACAAGCTCGAGCATATGATAAAGAAATTGAGGGTCAGACGATTGGTATAAAAGGAGCATTTGTTAAAGAATTTAACGGTAAGTAACGGAATTTCGGAGAAATAATAACTGATAAAAGGGAACTTCATGTATTTTTGATACCCGGTTTTCAGGAAGTTTAAGTTTGAGTACTGGAAATTCCAGTCGAATAGAGCTGAATATGGAATGTGCTGAAACAGCAAATCTCTATAAATGGTATCGAGAAACAAGACCCGCAGTGCAGGCACGTAATTTGACAACAACCGGTCTCACATCAGACAGCTATGGTGATTTTTTTTGGATTTTCATGATTTTTATATTTTTGGATTTCCATGATGTTTATGTATGTGAACCCTCCATTAAATCCTTTAAATCATGTAGCACGAGACCTTCGAATTATTCGCTTATCTGAACTTGGTGCACTGGGACGAGATTCGGAGAAGGGCACATTCTTCAACGTCACAGCCATGATTTCATCGTTGAAAGCTGATGGCGCTCTTTACAAGGTGAAGCTGTTTTTTTCTCAATGGAAATTCATTATTTTCCGGAAGTTCATAAAAATTTCAATTCTGTTCGCATTTTCTTATAATGCTCCAAAATTATTGTTGGATTGCAGAGCTGTGGTACGAATGGATGCAAAAAGAAAGTAATTGAACTCAATAATCAATATCGATGTGAAAAATGTGACGTCACCCTTGATAAGTACAAATATGTCCTTCTCATGACGGTAAATTTTCCCACTTTCATTTTTTTTTGGTATTGTCATTCAAAATCACTTAGGAAGTATCATTTAATACAGAGCATTCTAGGTGGAAATATCGGATTTTTCGGGATCTCACTGGGTAACGGTATTTGAAGATAAGGCTGTCAAGCTTTTGAAAAATGATGCAGAGCAGCTTGGGCAATTACTCGATAATGATCTGGTTTAATTTGATTCTTTGTTTTTTTTATTTGTTTATTTCTAATTTGATTTTCCCACTATTTTTGTTGAAAATTGGCTGTGATTACAATGATTTTAATCGTTGTTTCTGAGAATTTACGGCAGTAATTATACTAATGAATAATCACACGAACAATGGGAATTTAAAAGGAAAAAGCGATAGCAAGCAATTGATGATAGAGTTAAGGAAGGGAAGGAAATAAAAAAGGTAAAAATGCATTGAACGATCAATACAGAGGTTTTGAATCTCAATTTTAAATTATATTTTTAGCTTGATGAATATAATGAAGTGTTCAATACAGTTCGCTTTCGTGAATATACATTCCGCATTCGAGCTAAATCGGAATTTTATAATGTAATTATTCAAATGTTTTTAATTTTCAATCCGTATTTACTTAACTCTTCCAGAGCAACAAGTTAAATCTCATGCAAAGTTCTTGCTCTAATGCCAATTTTTTATATGGAATTATTCTACTGAGTGTCACCCTTCGCTAAAAGGAAAGAATAAGTTTTGAGTAACGAACACATGATGTCAAGGAACGTGAAATTACACTTTATGTTATTTGTAACATGCTTTACTGATTTATATTACAGAATGAAGAGAAGATCAAATGGAGTGTTTTTGATATTAACGAGGTCAATCAGGATAAATATATTGATGAACTTACGAAAGCAGTAAACAAATTGGAGGAAATATAGATGTTCAAACATTTTTTATTGCTACCCTCCATGAGATCTCATGTTTGTATGGCACCACACTCAGTACCTTATTTGAAAATTGATAGAAAGTTTAAAAGTTGAAACGACGATGTTTACTGCGACCTCTTAACAATTTCAGTCTCCTTGCAGTAACCATAAACTTTGATTTCGGTATTATTAAGAAGGACTAAACTAAATAAATACTATTGGCTTGGAAGGGTTCCTCATTCTTATTGATCCTTTTTTTTGAATTTTCATGTATTTTCTGGAATTTGAATATTTCCATCAACGCTTTTCATTTCGGTATTAAATTGTAATTGATTCTAAACTTACTTAAATTTTGTATCAAAGTATCGAAATCATACATTCACTTTTGAGGCTTTTAAAGTTTGTTTCTCTTTCAGATATGTTGTTTCTTTTTGCAGTACGCTTATATTATTTGTAGTTATTATCTTTTGAACTGTTTCTGATGTTGTTTGAAATGAAATAAAAAACTTGAAAACAATCGGCCAATTATGAATAATTTAGAACTTTTTAAATGGGTTCATTAGTTTAGAAAAAGGCTTTCTTTAATGGTGTTACTAATTCCCAAATCCTGATTTTAATCAAATTAAGAAATTACGATTAGAATTGAAAATAAGAGATTCGAAGTTTGTTTCACACATGAAGCGCTTGTTTACAAATTTAGTAAGTAATTTATTAAGAAAATGACAATTATCAGGGAATCATTTGCCTTTCTTCCATCTTCACGTTCTTCTGACTTTGGAGTGATTTCTGAATTTCCATTTTTGTGATTTCTTAATGTCCATAAGTTAAAGTTGTTGGCGCAATTGCAAAATGAACAATCAGGTAACAGTTTGTTGGGAAAATGAGGGATATAGTATGGGTGCTGGTTGTGTTGTTGGTGGCAAATTGGTGGGGTTGTCGCGTAGTAGCATTCCTTGTTGTTGAGCAGTATAAGATAATGATAATTGTCTTTCATATTCTTTCCGAGCCTGTAAATCCCATTTTATTTACGGAATTTTATTTTTTTCCTAAAATTTGTTTTTATAAAAAAGGCGAAGATAACTGATTTTTTTATCAATTGCACTGGTATGAAATAATGATTAACGATATTGATGTAGTGATTACTAATAATGTCCATCGAACGTTTGTACTATGTGTCATCACTGTCCGAGGAAGTATATGGTATATAGTGACCGTTCAGACAAGGTTAACTTGATAATATAATGACAACTTACGTAATCTAACTGTTGCGTATAAATTGCCAATTGTGCGCGTAACGCTTCGTTTTCCTTCTCCAATTCATCAACTTTACGTTGCATCATTTTCTCTCTTTCTCGTCGATTACTTCTTGACTTTTTTGCTGCTAAATTATTTTTATCTCGTCGTTCACGATATCTGAAAGATGTCTCTCTCTCTCTCTCTCTCTCTCTCTTTCTCTAAATCTAGGAAATTGAAATTTTTTGCTAAATCTAAATATGTTATGAAAATTTTGAAAAAAAAATAGAAAAACTAAACTTTACCAAAGACTTTGTTTTGAATTGAAAAGTTTAAAAATTTGAATAATGTTTTTTTTTTATCTTTAATTAGCAATGAAAATTCTTTAAATCGGAAATTCATTAATTTTGAAAAACTTTTCAAATAAAGAAAAAAAAATCTAGGCTTGATGTCTTTTCCAAATCCTGATGTTATCCGCTGTCGTTAATCTATCTGCAAATAGCTGCAAATAGCTAGCTACTTCGTTTGAGACTATGTTGCTCAACAAAATAGCCAGCAACCATATAAGATGGTTCAAAGCAGTCACCAAACGAAGACATTTGAAGCCTGATATTCCTGGAAAAGAAATAGAAGCCAGCAGCAATGGCAACAAAGTAATTAATTAAAAAAAACAATCAAAAAGTTTCAAATTTTCAAGAGTTCCAATTTTAATAAAAACTAATTTGCTATTTCAGATTACATCTATGAGGTCTTAAAATAGAAAATTTTTAACTTTAAAACTGCACAAGTGTCGAAACAAATAAGTTTTGTGTGCGCGATATTCAATTTAACGTTTTGCGTCTCAGTTTAGTTTTTCGATTACCATATGTTCTTAGCTATGCAAAAGTAAGTGATCAAAAAAGTAGAAATGATTGCAAGATGTAAAACTGGCAGCATTCAGTTGATTTTCTTCCTCCTTTCTGCTGCATACCGTACGTCTTGGCAAGTACCAGAAAAGTTGGTTGCAAATTTCACTACTTTTTACGAGCTTCTTCGTCCACTGGAACGACAGATCGACGTTGTTGTAAACGCTGTTGTTGTTCTTCTTGGTGCTGCTGCTGTTGTGGTATTGAAGTTGAGGCAGATGATGTTGAGGGAGCGGAAACAATAGATGGATAGTTTTCTTCTTGCTGTTTCGCAATATTGCCGACAGTTGCGGCTTCATATGGCGGTGGTATTGACATACTATAAGCCGCAAAATTAGCCGGTACCATGTTGGTAGCAACTGGTGTCGGATACGAGAAATAAAGATGATTGCTACCATCACTTTTAACTTCACCCATGTAAGCTGGTATCATTGTCGTTACAATCATATACCCTGTAACTATAATTTAATGATAGGACCAAAGATGAGTAGAATACTGAATCATTGTAATCAACAGAATAAAACTATTTACGAGACAATTGCGCGAACTTAATATGATTCCTTGAAAGTATAAGTATTATTATTCATTAATATTGTTATCACTAATGAGATAGCGCTTATCGCCGAGTGAGGACGACTTTTTCCTTTCAGAAATTGTTTTTATTTATATAGCATTGGACCGGTAATAACTTTTCCGGAAATTGTTTGTATATTTATAAAACATTAAACCGGTAACATTTATTTGTGCTAAATCTAATTAGCATTTCACTTCTTTATAAAGAAAACATCACTTTCTTTTGCAATACTGAAACAAATGCAATTTTTATATCAATTTCAATGTAATGTAATTGATATAAAAAATGTAATTTTTTGTTGAATTATCAAACAAAATTGGCACTGATATATTCATGTCTATCTTTCTAAGTTGCACTCAATCAAGATTATCTTCTTTATCACTCTCTGCAAATATCGAAGCCCTAATATCTTTGCCATCCACGTTTAATTCATCGTTTTCATTATCAATGAATCAATATTTCTGCTTTAATAAACTTACCAATTTCTTAAATGGATTAAGTTCTTTAGTGATAATAAACACCTGCTGTTACGCCAAAACATTTGTTCTTTCATTTTTGTACTCGACAGATTGAATTCATATGTGGAATATTTCTTCTTATTTTGAAAGGAAAAACAGATGAAAATTGAAAATGAAAACTTTCTTGAGATTTATCGCTGGCTAATTGGCTAGTTGAAAAAGCGATCAAAAGAGGTCATCGAAAATTATTTAAGAGATAAAGTAAAGATAGTAAGGCTATGTAATGGAAATCTTGGAAGGAATGGGTTTTCATTTCTTTATGAAATGCTTTATAACTGATAACTGATTCTTCTTGCTACACCTCATCATTATGATAATGAGCTATTAGTACCAGATAATAAGTATATATAATTCATATATCGAATAACTTATAAATGTATTAGACTTTATAATAAATCATTCTTTATGTAAACTGAATGGGTACACAAAGTATGTGCATGTGAATATTTTTTCTTTTTGTTAGCATTTTCAATGTGTTGCAAAATAAAATATTATTCAACATTTAAGATAATAATGTATGTAATTCAGTAATTTAATTATATAGCATTTATTCAATGTTATTTTATATATTACACTATTTTTAATTGTAATTACGAATAATTATCACATAGCAATAAGTAGTGCACTACAATCTGCTAATAATTGATAAGTAATTCAAAATAAGGTCGCATGTCTTTTTGAAATTTAGGATAGAGAGCAAATACTATTAAAAAATTTGAACAGACTTGAATTATATATAATTAAAAAATGATTCTAACTTTTAAACTTGAACATTTGTAGCTGAAATATTTTGTAGGTAGGAGAAACACTAGCATTAATTCATTTATATTTTAATTTAAGCACAGAATAGGAAGCATGAAAAGATTTCATGAAGTCCTGCTATTGAATAACTTTCAGGAAAATAAATTATGGAATTCCTTTCCGTTCATTAGTTTGAATTCTGTAAGTTTATTTGCAACAAACAATCAGGCAATTATGATTTTTTACATTACTATAATCAAAAGAAGCAGAGGTGATGGATTTACAATTGTTGGCATCTCTTCTGGTAAACATTACTTCACACATCTCTACATTCTTTTCTAATTCATCTCTCCATCCTTGACATCATAATATCTACCATATTCTTCAACACTGATGGCATGATTGGTTGGACACACTACATGATTGGTTGGCCAATTCCTATCAAACATTGAATATCTTTTCCAGAAATTTCTAAAGTCTAGTTTCTGCTCGTATTAACTTTAATTAGCTGTGGCGGAGCGCAAGCTAAAAATTAAAAAAAAGAAACGTATAAAATTTTAAGGCATTATAAATCCTCCATTCAACCATAACTTCAACAAATAATTATTGTCTACAACATTTTTTCGTTCTTAAATAGCCATCCCAACAAGCGACAAAATGGACGCAAAAAAAACTGAATTTTGAGGATTTACAAATTCTCCTATAACCCTCACAATAACGTTTCTTATATTGAAAGGTTAATATGAGCAAAAATTAGGCTTTAGAAATTCCTGGAAAAGATATTCAATATTTGATAAGAATTAGTCAACCAATCATGTAATGTGGTTGTAGATGTCATCAGTGTTGAAGAATATGGTAGATATTATGATGTCAAGGATGGAGAGATGAATTAGAAAAGAATGTAGAGATGTGTGAAGTAATGTTTACCAGAGGAGATGTCAACAATTGTATATCCATCACCTCTGCTTCTTTTGATTATAGTAAATTATAATTATCGAATTGATTGCCTGTTGCAAATAAACTTACAGAATCCAAACTGATGAACGGATAATCTTTTCGATGTCTCTTCTTCTTCTCTCTCTTGTTCCATTTAAATGTTCTGATGTTACGACAATTATTTGGTATATCGAGCACCCTCTAATATACCTCTCTCTCATCGTACACTTCGTATACAGCAAATAGTATTTCGTTCAATGAAAGTCTTACTATAATAGAATGCTAAAAAGTAATTTACTGTAGAATGATGAAATAATAAGAAAATTAAAATGATCAAAAAAGCTTCTGATAATTTGAATTTAAATTCTACAACTACAGCAACTTTATAACAGAAAAGAACATCTTCGTGACCTACCAATATTTTAATCTCAACACAATAGTTATGAAAGTTATATCAGAAAGTATTCATTTCAGTATAAATTTTCTAACAAAAAAAAATGTGACACTCACTGTGATTTGCAGGAATTATCGGGATATGAAATATCCAACTAAATGGCAATAGGGAAATTATTTTAAATGAATATTTCTATTTCTATGTCTTAAAATGTCTAGCTATTAGAGAGTAGTTTCTTTAAAGAAATATAACAAAGTGTTAACTGATAGCATGGATATCAGTGGAAATTTTTCAAGCTTATATAACTTTAGTAGTATGGGATAGTAAAACTTTTGTAGCTTTTGAATATAATTTCAAATCTTCCCAAGAAAAGTTACCTGTTGCAAAGCATTATAAGCATATTCATTTGTATCTTGGAAAAATTCATTCGTGCAACTTTTCTTTCTTTTGTTATCCTTATAAAGTTTGCATTGAATTTCAGTTCAGTGCTCTCTCTTTCTTTCTTTCTCTCTCTCTCTCTCTTTCTTTCTCCCTTATTTCATTCTACATATTTTTTAAACTAATTGAATTTGCATTTTCGAAAGAAGTAGCATGTTGCAGAGAATGGCAAGGCCTAGATACGATAAAGAGATGACAGATTATTTCTTCAATTTCTGTTAGACCTGGATAGTTTTTGCCAAAAATGCCTTCTTTCATTCTCCAGGATGTAATTGACAAAAAGTTGAAAACCATCCAATGCAGTCTTATCTTGAAAAAAAACAAATAAACTGCATTGCGTTGCATTAGAACTGTATTTATGTGGTACTGTCATAAGGGTACCAAACAACGATCGATTAGGTATGGTGAAACAGCGAGGACACTTCAACAAATATCGCTCCAAACTGTTATTGGACCGTTTGTAGAGATGCAATCACACTGGTCTTCTTCCTGGGTCAACATTTCAGCAAATATAATGATGCATGTACCGTAGGAGCTAATTTCACTCAAAACGCCATTATTGGATATGCATGTTTTGTTTTCCAAAATCATGAAAATCTAAGATAATTATCTATTTTTTAAGTCAGATGAGTAAAGATCAAATATTAGCGATAAGATAGATTTTGCATCTGTTTAAGTTATTACTGCTGGAGTAATAACTTATATACCGTAGTTTACCTTCACTGCAGAAAACTGAAAAACAACACCGAATGGTTGGTTGGAAAACAGATGTGACCATCCCTACTCTGTTAATTAACCTGGAAACACATCATACCATTAGTTGACGAAAGCAAATAGTTGGTGAGTACTGTATTTTCATTACTTAACTGAAATGATACTAAAGAGAATTTTGAAAGAAAAAAATTTCTGACTAGTTATTGCTAACTATACAATTGATATTGTCACTGAACTATACTATAATTAGTTTAATCATTTAAAATTTATAACTGTTAATAAAGAAATTTCTAAATCTTTGTTAAATCTCCCATTTAATGATAGTTGAAACTTCAGAAGTATGCAACCAAAATTATGCTATATAATATATTTGTTTAAAATCATAACATAATGATAGATAAGATATGCCAAGAATCAAACATATATTATGAACTTACCTTTGAAGTCATATGTTCAGATTTTAAATGATTTTCGTTTGACATTTCAAAGTGTTGCCACTATGAATGCATTTGAGTTCGTCATTCAATTTAATCTACTTAAATCATTTTCATTCGACATTTCAATGTTGCTATTATGAAATGCATTTAAGTTTAATCGTTGCTTTTGGAAATGAAATGTTATTCATTTCTCGCTTCTCTCAATTTTTATTCATACTGTATTTTAATAATCGAATATACTCTCGAATTTATACTACTTCAGGCAATGAAACCCTATTTTTGTTATTCTTACCTTATTGGAGCTTAAACAGGATCAACATGAATTTTATCAGGATCATTAAAGGACCACCAACATTATCATGTAGGCAATCAGGATCATTATCAAGTTTGCTGTTGCACGTCATATGACGGAAAACATGATAGCAATGCTTTCCAATCTGATTATCATAATTGCATATGAGCAAGTTTATGCTTTTATTTCTTTCTGAGTAAAGGTCCTTGTTTGAGTTCTGACATAAAATTATAATTAAAAGATTCCAATACATTGTATTTCAATGAGAATGAAATGCCTAATAATAATAAAATTAAGGCAACGAATTTTACTCGAAAATTTATAAAAAGAAATTTAACTGAAAAAAATATAATTGAACATTCTTGATATATCTCAATATTTTTTACTCATTAACATTCGTACTAGCACTGTTATCATCTTTTGCATATAATTTCAAATGTAAATTGGAAAAAATAAAAAACAAAAGGAAAATTAAAATTTCTAAAATTAGGGTCAACTTAGGGTGAACTTTTTAATAGATCCAAATAATTTGGAAAAAAGGAAAAGGAGAAAAATGCGCAATTTGACGCAACGTTGTATGATTGCGGCACGTGAGGTAAAATGGGCAACTATTGTAGGAATTTCAGCAGGTAAGAAAGATCGGAGGGATGGAGAGTAGCGGATAATTATTCATCTGAGGTCAAGCAGTGAGCTCTTTCTCAGGTCATTCAATCACCCGCAAATAACAGAGTGAGGAGAACTGTGCAACTTTTTTCCTTCCAATAAATATTATCGCGCAATAAGATGAAATGAGTGAATGAAGAAGTAGCAGAGATTGAGAGAGTTATGCAAATTTTTATTCAATGGAAAGCACGTGAAATCGACAACTATACCAACAGAAGAGAAAGGAAGAGAAAGGAAGAAAATAAAGGAATGGAATAGCGGTATTTTTCTGCATTAAGGACAAAATGAGTCATCGTTGTTCGGGTACCATTGCTGCTTCTTGGGGTCATCATTATTTACTGCTAGTGAATCTTTTTTTGTTACTGAAGATGACAGAACTCATCGGAAACGATCTGTCTCCAGCGCTCCAGCAGCTACTGTATATAAATTAACTTGGGAGGGGATGGGGGTGAACATTCCCAAACAGTATGTAAAATATCGTTGAAACAAATATGAACAACTACTACTGTATCATCATAATGTTAAAATTTAAGATATGTTCATCGAACGCATATTGTTATAATTAAATAACGAGTGATTAAATTAACCATTTGCAAGTATCATACGGCAAACAAACTGATAAATCCCGGTAGTTCATTGTGGAAAATTCATTTTTTTGGAGACAAATTTTTGTTGCTTATGTAAGGAATGTTGTTTTCAAGAATGCAATCAGTATAAACTTTTTCCGTATATTGCAAAATGTTTTGCCCAGTAAACAGAGAATTTTAAGCAAACCTGAGAATTTTATTATTTACAAATTTAGCATAGAGGAAAAAATAATTTAGAAATATAGAGACAACGAAAAGGCATTCATAAGTTAAATCACCCAATAACAACATTTACAGTTTCATAGCTAACAAAAAAGCTATACATATCGTTAGTTTATGAAGAATAATATACAATATTATTCACTCCCTCAACTAAGTCTAATGAGCATTTGTTGTAAAGAGAGAAATTTTATTGAAAAAATTTAACGGTGAATTAGTTCCTCTCTTCCATCACATTTTTTGTGTACTTTCAAATGTCGATTCAGTTATTCCGGAACTCGTTGCTCTATCAGCACAAATTTAGCGACTAAAGTGGAGAGTCACGAGTGCCTGCAATATTCACGGTTTCAAATTGCAATGATGACGTCACAAATGACATCCGAGGACATATAAATCTTTGAATGGTTGATTTTTTTGAAGGTAATTGGAACTGACTCATTTAACTAAAGAATAATGCTATTGTGGAAAAGAAGCAAACTTCTCTCATAAATTAACAAATTACAACAGCGAGACGGTTATGCAACACATTTCACAAGAAATCGATAAAAGGAGCGGGAAAGTCAACAATCAGCATTCTGTACCGGCAATGTTGACCTCCCGCCTAGACAATCTTTTGCCGGCCGAGCTGAATATTTCACAGAACTGAACTATTTCCAACTTCAACTAAAAAAGGCTAAGCATAAATTCAAATATGTTTCACACTTTGTTCAAATTACCTTTTGGCCGCGGAACAACGGTGGAATGTTGTAATACTGTAGCAGCTAATTCCTGAAATAAAAAAGCTGAGATATATTTAACTAATTTCTAATTCAAGCCTAAATTATGCGGATCTCATTTTTTCTACAAGTTGTCACTCGGTACTTTTGCTATCCAGTGTTAAACTTTTTAATATTTGAGAACTTAACGACTACTGAGACGCTAAAACATAAACCTTTCATCCAATAATAGTAGTGTAGGAGGGGGTGGATTTCAAAAAACATGACAAAAAAGATTTCGAAAATTCTAAGAAGAAAGCGTGCGAACTTTTTTTCCTAAATCAATGAAACTTCCAAATATTTCTTTATCATTTTTTAATCTTTCCAAAGCACAGAGGCATCTTTTTTTGTAACATATATAAAAAAATACTAAATATAATAAATATATGTAATAAATATAACAAATAAATGGTTAATGTCAATAGCTTCTCTTAGGAAACGTATTTCATCTATATTTATCCTAATCCCAATAAAAGAGAGACATAGGTCAGGTCTGATAATCCATCCATAAATAATTCAAATTCTACCCAATGAAAAGTGGTATGCACTACATTTAATGAAAAAAATTGCCTGACAAAACTGCGACAGTATGATAGCCGCGAAAACAAATTGCTTTGCTCGAGCATGGTCTAGTGTTACATCATGACTTTCCATTGCTTTGTGTGTATAAACACGAAATTCATGTGGGTGAGCAGAACCGTTAGTAGGATAGAGGCGTTTACTGCTGAAAGGTCTGAATCTAAAAAGACATTTATTATACTTCAACTTCTATAAAATGCCTATAATTCTCTGAAGACACTTCAAAGTCTTTTTGTTGCGTATTGAAGATTAAACGGTTTAAACGGCATTCTATGAATCTTAATGAACCCCAAAAGGCTGTGGACTACAGATAACCACACACTTAACTTTTAAGAGAAAGATGTGTGCAACTTACATTACATACATCTTAACATCTACATTATCAAACGAGATAGTAATGTCGATGTTAGGAAGCACAAAACCAATTAAAACACACCGATTTAATAAATTTCTTGATGAATTTGCTCTTCCTATATTGCCATTCCGTGAAAACGAATCACCCGAAGATCGCAAATGCAACGCATACTGCCGACTATTTTCCATAGCCTTCAATATCAAAAGCTTTAACAAAAAAATAAAATACAGATACCATTTTAAGGGCATTAATTTAAGGAAACTTACTTTCTCATAACGATCAGCTCTTGACCGTAGAAATTTGATCCCCCGCTCTAGCAAAACATCAAAACCATCAAGTGATGACGCGTATGCATCAATTCGGGTCTTTAGTGAATCCATAACCTTCAGAAAAAAGTAAAGTAAAAAACCGGTAAACATAAAATAAAGCAGAAATAAAGTTTTTAAAATTTTTAGAAGGCACATTCCACCTACCTTAAAAAAATTTTTCACATTAGGTTGCAAAAGCATGTGTTGATCAAATAGATAATGAGCAATAAGTGGATGAGGATATGACGCAAGTGCCGCCAACACCGATGTTGTTTGTAGTGTTACATATAACGAATTATCCAGCATATTCTCCAAGGAATGTAGCACAGATTCCAAAAAAGGTCCAACACCTTTATAAAAATCATGACTTAAAAGATATATAATCTATGGACATACAAAAAACATATCTTGGCTTATTAAAAATCGAATTTTTCATGGATTATAAACAAAAAGAACATGCTTTTGCAAATTCTGCAAACTCTAAGGAAATATTTTATCAGTTATATTCGGAGATAAATAACAAGTTAAGTTGCTTCGATCTAGAATAAGAAAATAAGAATGAATTTATTGAAAAATCACCTTGATTATCAAAACATTCGATCGGCTGCCCTAATGGAGCAAGATACTCATCATCATTATTATTTGTATCATTTTTAAATTCATCATTTTCCGATTCTGATGGCTTAGTTTCAGCTTTCAACTCCTCAAGATACTGAATTCGTGAATCAATTAAAGCCAAATTTTCTTCCAAGGAATGCTTTACTTTCGAAGTTGGCACTCTATCCATTAATGCCATGAAAGTGTCCATATCCTGAATGCAAGAGTGATTTTGGAAAGGTTTTGGAACTTCTAAGATTAATTTTTTCTTGTCTTTCTGATAAAGAATGCGCAGAGAAAGTTTCCAGAATCAAGAAAACAAGTTTATAACAAGACTTTCCATGACTCATCGAGAAGCACGCCTACCGAATAGTATGATTTTAAAATCATAAACGTCTCTATCAGTTGCTTGAACAGCACCAGAAGCTTATAATGAACTCCTACAAAAGTTCTTAATTAAACTGCACCTTAACCTTCCCCCAACCTCTTAAAACGAATGATCGTGCCATTTCAACGTCAGTATCACAATTTGCATTCGTGTTTGCCAAACTTCCTTTGTCTGAAACTGTTTGTAGTGGAGCTTCACTCATGCTGCCAGTATTGAGATTGATCGCTTCTGTGTCAGTTTCCGATAATTCTCCATATGCAAATTGAAAATAATCACTCGATGAAGTCATCATAAGCGATTTGGGTCTAAATGAATAAGAGTTCAGCCAGATGATAAATCGGAAAAATAACCGGTCAGATAAGTATTTATAACCGCAAAACATTTTGAAAAATTGATAATTCAATAATCATACTATTTAACATCAATATCACAAATTTTTTTTGATTTGTAAAGATGAAAATGAACGAATTCTTCAATATTTTGTATATATCACGAGATTAGATAAAACAAACGTTAGAGGTGGTATAATCAGTTCATCGTCTTCATCGTCCAGAACTAGTGAAGAATCTGCAATATCGTATGGAAAGCTGCTTCTTGATGACGATTCTTGTCCTCCCAGCTCTGGTAGTGGGGTATGCTGACGTAAACTTTCAGCGGTAATATGAGCATTTCGGCTTACGAAATACCGATTCAAACCATTTCGCGCTGAAGCCATTGATGAACGTACTGAAGAATGTCGAACAAATGTCTAAACAAATTTACTGACATAAAAAAGCGAATAAAACAAGAACAAGACTCAGTGGCTTAGTGGGTGACCTTCTGCAAGTGAAATGTAAAAAACATAATCTATCAATAAAAAAGCAATATTACATAGGAACCCTTTTTGGATGAAAACGTAAGGACTCAGTTTTAACTGACAGATACATTTTTTGAAGAAACATAAATCTCTAGAAATTGAATTGCAAACTAATGTTCTGGATCCTAACTTAATCTCAATCAATTCTTTTCGTAAAATTGCGTAGCAGCATTCAATATTGAAGCTTCACTTGAAGATAATGAAGGTTTGCCTAGCAAAACAATAAATTACTCACTCCATTACAATTAGTGGTGCTTTCATCGTCTGAACTCAACTTCGGCATAAGAAGCGAAGGACTGCGACCATCGTAACTCCAAACCCATTTTTCACAGCAGGCATCTGTCGTTTGTTGCACATAATTTCGACATTCAGTAAGATAAATATGAAGAGTTTCCTGGGAGCATAGCTGAAACATGTTTAAAGTAAATGTAACAATATGAATCTAAATAAAAATAAAGAGCGAGATCAGCAAAATCAAAAAAGAGGAGTGTGTTTTTGAAATAGAAATTCAGAAACTTACTGCTGAAGATTTATATGTACATTCAGGAATAAACGTCAGCAAAGTTTGAGCAGCTGTCCTTACATACTTTTGATTTTTTAAATGAAGCGTTTGGTTAGGTCGTAAAAACGTGCAAGGCAGAAGATATCTTAAAAAATTGAGTCTTTGTAAAATTAATGGTGAAACAAGTATTAACTGAGAGTGTTTCGTTTATTCCAGACCTCCTAAATTGATGAAACTACAAAGCAACCGAAATGAAGCATAAAATAACCGCAAAAAAAGTCTACTTGAAAACAAGATCGAACATGATGTCTTCGCATCGTAAATCAATCAACGTTCTCACCAACGATAAACTAACTTGGCTAAGCTGGAAAAAATTATAATACTAAAACAAGGAAACCCCATTTAAACGCATTTCTAAAATTGCATTAATATTTGAATTTACTAGATTTTATGAAAGAAATTTTTACTTCCAGAAAGTGTGAAAGCCATTCTACTTGTTAAGGTCGATAACGGAAGAAAAGTTTTGTGATAAGTCAATGAAGAAAAAATCATTTTCAAATAACTTCAAATAAATAAATTTTCATCATTAACTGAATATGGATAAATGAGAATATAAAGTAATTATGAATTCTTGATTAAACAAAGATAGTAGTTTTACGAAATAAAATGAACCCTATTTCCAGCAGATATCCTTTCCACGATAACATCAAGCACTTTTTTGTTACCCTCACAGTTTTCAACAAGAAGTAATTTGACTATTGTTTGTATAAGCGCCGTTTCGGTGACGCTATCCAAACAAAGATGATAGTAAGCTGTCGATGAGATAAGCTCATCCTGCCCACCCTGGAAAAATTATTACTGAAGACAAACTTTTGAAATTGCTGTATTGGTCAAAATAAAAAATATTATGAATGAATATATATTTTTTTTGATATTTTTTTTTAGTATCATAGATTTAAATTTGTTCGAAACTATTCAAGTTTTAAATCTGAAACAGATGAATTGCTAGTTTATGCTTCACGTACAAGGAGTGATACCTGCAGCAATGAAGGTAGAACGACAGGAAGCAAAAACCCGTGATAAACGTAGGTAATGACTTGTGATACAACGTAGTCATGAGCAACCTAAAAAGATACTGCTTATAAAATCACTACGAAAGCCCATGGCATATTTTTTTAATTTGTTTTAAAATAGTTTATTTTTGTTGAAGAAAATAATTACAAATCTCCATTAATATTACAACATCGGTGACCTGTATAACAGCATTACAGAAAATCAATGACGAATGGAAATCCAATAAGCTGGAATAAGAATCGATGTCATCGGCATTTATCTTATGCCAGTCATCGCTTACATATAATATTGAACCAATTGAGCGTGATAATTGCGAAAAGCAACCCGAAAGACCCGTTGCAACAACTGGACAAAAGTTTGACTGCAACAGAAAGCTTTAAACAAATTTTAATTCATGCAGGCTAAAATGCAGAGATAAGAAAACTGAAATGAAAACATTTGAAAGTTCTTTTAAATAAAACTTGCAGAACTGGTTTCAAATCAAGAAAAATGCTGAATTCAGTAGTTTCGAAGTATTTTTTCCTTTTGTTTCACTCAAACGCAATTACAAATTGAAGATCTATCTATAATCGAATATAAGTCCTGAATGAACTTATTGTAGAAAAAATCCTAACTGCCAAAACATTTCAATTAATCCACTAATAATCAGCATTTCTACAAATATGCCATTCAATTTGACTTTAATTATCTAAATCCATCTTGAGAAAAGCCAGTAATGGATTAAAAGTTTTCGCAAACCTTTACAGCGATAAAAGCAGCAATGCGTTTCAGCCGCCGTGAAACAGAAAGTACCAAAAGTAATGCATCACGTGCTAATTGTCCAACTTCACTGAAATCATAAAGATATGGAGTCAGCAATCTGAACACCAAAAACTGCTCATCACAATCATCGTCAAAATCGAAAAAGAAATGCAACAACGTCGCATCTTCTGCCAATTTTGTGCAGATCTGAAATGCTTAAGTGACTTTCATATAAAGAAAAGTCGTACATTTTAAAGCTTTCTTTCATGAACTGCATACTTATAAAATAATATAGTGAAGTTTATATTAAGTTTACATAATGCTGTGTCAGAAGATATATTAACATGTAGTGTTCATTACGAAACGTTTTTTTGTATAAATATGATTTATTTGATCTCAAAATTATACTGTTGCGTCTAAATCATGAAAATGCAATTCACGAGATCATTTGTCATAAATATCAAGAGTTAACCTGATTTAAAAGTAAAACGAAATGTTTGTCTGTATTAGATGGAGTAAAATTCCTTTTTTCTGCACACTTCCTACACCAATCCAGTAATTTCAGCAACGGAAGTAACATCGGCTTGTGCACCAACAAGCAGTGGTTCTGTGTATGACTTTCTCCAACAACGATTTCATAAAGACGAATCAGATTAACCTGAAGAATTTAAACTACTTTCACAAAAAAAAAAAATCTTATTAAAAGAAACAAACACAATACTGTCACTTGTAAAACATTTTAATGATGAAAAAGCATAAACATTGAATTTGAAACATTAAAACAATCAATTCTGAAATGAAGCTTAAATAGTTAAAAATTTAAAAATTATTTTTTTAAACAGGACAACTCGCAAATGACAAATTTTAGCAAAATCAAAGTTCCAATTTTTCATCTATATAATAAACGAAGAAAGTTTGTTCAATAACAAAATTTTATTTTTATATAAAAGTAATCAATATAATGCTGACATGATATCGTAACAAAGTCTCATAAGCATACTTGCACAACAGTATTATTCCTGTCGAAAACACTTCATTATCACAAGATCAATAGCGCGGTCTTAGTACTCCAATCCCAGATATCCTATTTCTCTTTTATTTAAATCAATAACACATAGACCAATTTGCAATTTGCATACCTGACATGTTGGTGCCAAAAAATGTGGAGCTGCAATCCCCCAGTCAACTACTCGTTCCATAATTTGGTGAGTAAAATGACGATCCAATATAGGGCCAATAGCAGATTCCGGCTGGGCATTTACTTCCATCATCAACAATTGCACTGTGCAACTTAAGTGTTTGAATACAGTTAATACCTATAAAAATATATAAAATTAGTGAATTTTCATAAAATCCATAAAGATGAATAGTGAAAAGTGGTAAAAAAGAAAAGAAATAATGTTGCAAATAAGCAAAAGTTTATACTTAGGCGTTGATATTATTAATAATGGATTCCAAACACTGTTTGAGCAAAGGAATTATACCAAAGTACATCAAAGCAACTCATAACCTTCATATAAAATAGGTTAACTTAATTTAGAGCTACAGATTGTAGTTGCTAACTTTTTCGTAATTAACTTCCTCGTCATTTTCCAGCAACTTCTCGACTGCTGCCCAATGTGTATCGAAACAGCTTTCCCATGAGCAAGGATCAGATGCGAAATCGACGTTCCAGTGGGCATCCGATTTCGAGATGATGAACGGTGCTGGTGGTGAAGGAATCGGTGAATCGTCAACCTGCTCCACGGATGTCGATCCGGAGGAGGCTGGAGTGAGTGATGTTACCCGCGATGTGCTAGCCAGAGAAGTTGAACCCCATTTGGAAAACCATCGTCGCATACCTACAACAGAATCCTAATAAACATTTGCGGTTATAATGACATTATAAAAATGCAAGCATTAATATTTGAAAACATTAATATTTCTTGACTTATCAAATCAGCAAATAAATCAGTTAGAAGGTATTTAAGTATCAAATAAGGCATATGACACTATTGTCAACACAATGATTTTCGAATTTTTTCTGCCCAAGAAATGAAGCGAAAACGAGCTTATCATCAGATAAAATAAAAATTCGCTTCAACTGTTCAACAAATGTTTGCTACAGCCAGCTGAATAGAATGAACGAAAGTCCATCCGACTGTCGATAAAAAAAAAAACCACACAATATAGCTGTAACAGACAGCGAAACGACACATCGCTACCGAATATGATTGAGATATATTTAACTTACTCGTCAATGCTCCATACTTATACTCTAAAGATTGCAAATTTAGGTGTCAGGTAATCCCTTGATAACATTAATTTATCATTGAGAGATATCTTTCTCTATGTGCTCAGCACCACGCACTCTTCCTACTCTCTTAAAAATTTTCCAAATATTTCACTTTGTCATTTCTTGTTTCCTGTATTATAATGATGCTGTTGTAGTGCGTAGATAGCTAACAATAATTAGATAAAAAATATCGAAAAGAAAGATGCATGCGGAAGTTTTAATCGTTAAGAACACTGCTAACCATCAATGAACCTTTTTCGGTAGTACAGTAGGATGGATTGAAAATAATTAACTGACAGGCAAAATGCTGCTATAAAGGATGAAGTGAATCTAAATTCTTCGCACTGTCTTTTATCACTGTCGCACCATACCAATTTTTTAATGGCGGAAATATGAATGATGAATGATTTGTATTTGTCTCTGTTGCATGCAACAATCGAACATCGCTGCAAGGTTAAATCCTTAATTGTAACAAATTCTGCGGAAAAAAAGATTATTAATTTCGATTATTTATGGTGAGATTTGTCGAAGAAATGATAAAAAAGAATCGCATAAACAAAATTTTTGGTGTCCTTCCATCGATACGATAACCGATAATTGTCTAAAAGTAGAAACGACTAACTGCAACAAACAGTATGAATGTAAGAAGAATAAAAAGAGGATGATAAGATCCAGGTTTTTTTTTCCTTTCGAACTGCAATATCAATTTCTTTATAAGACAATCGACTGGTACTGAACATTTCGGTTACTGGATCTGCTGAATAGCTCTCCGAATATAAATAGAAAATTAGGGGTAAGAAAAAAGTTATGCGCAGTACTCGTTGTATTTTAATGCATAGTAAAACAGGACAATACTATGTTTATGTCCAGTCCTTCCGGACACATATGTGATGATGCAATAAAATGATTCGGAAATTGCTTTACTCATCAAAAAGATATAAAAATTGTAATTAGTGCGAAATTCTCTCTGTTAATAGTGAGAACCTTCGACGAAAACGGAAATAAGAGAAAAATGATCTCATTCAACTTTGGTTACTTTCTCAGATATGCGTATTGTGGTTTTAAAATGGTGATATATTTCTGGAAATTTCATGGACAAGTAAAATATCTTCGTTATGAAAGATTTACGGTAGGATCGTAAGCAACAGTGGACACGCATCGATAACATTATAGCTAGTTGGTTTTTAATTGGATAAGAGGTAATTGCACCGATAGATCTATGTACTAAGCAGCGAAATGCGAAAATCCCAAACATAAAAAACATTTGCAAGAATTCAGTCGAATTATCCGGAATCGGCTTACAGCATTCTTTGGATCTCGGATGAGGATTCACTTATTTAAAGTCCTTTAGATTTTTTGACTTAAATGGATCAGAAAAGGATAAATATTGGAAGCCATGGAAGGACCACTGAACATCCTTATAAACAATAAGGAACAAAAAGATCGAAATAATAGAAGGGAAGCTATAAATCTCCGGAAAGCTATAAATCCAGAATTTGATGTTAAAATCCTCAAAAGTAGAGTTATAATTAGGAATGGAAAATGATTAATAAGAAGAGTGAGAAAAGAAGAGAAAAGGAATTTATTGCTTTCTCACATGCCTCAAAATTCAATGCGACCTTAAGGGCAGTCTATTTAATTATTTTCACAATCTTTTTATAATTAAATTTGATCAATTTATTTCAAGCTTTTCAAATCTGCGATATTTCCCTTTAATATTTGTATCGTATAGGATACTGATCCATCTCTCTCTTTATTTTAATTTATTCGACAGTTTATATAAATCTATCATATACGCATAGATGCTTATCTTAAATAGACAGATAGTCTGGCTGCACTTCAAAAAAAAAAATGATCAATTTGTCTGCAAAATGATCAAAGGAATTGAAATATCACATATGTTGAGAAATTGTCCACCCAAAATGAATGAATAAGAGATGGTCACTCTTTTTAGAAATATTTTTACTTCACAAGTTGACAAACATAGACATCTATCATATGCATATCCACTTTGACAATTACACCAAATTATTGGTGCATTTTCAATTTCTCTTTCCTTTTTTAAACTAATATTCTTTCAGCATCGTTTCATCAAAAAAGGAGAAAACATTGAACTGTCACGGTCTCGCTTACTGTATTGTATTCTGTAGGACAGAAATGTCGATTAGGAGGGAAAAGAATTCAAACACAATATTAGCGTAATGCGCTGCACACAAATGAAGCATGCAGTACAGTGCAGTACGATGGAACAAAGTAGATACAACTGTCAATATAGTGCAGTATGATACTAGGTTACTATCGAGTATAAAGTAAATGGCATATATTACTGTTAATTTAGCTGTTCTTTTGATAAAAACTTTCGAATTGTGTTAAGGATTTACTTAAGGCTTTGTTTTGCAATGAAAAATGTATGAACCGGAAATTTTTTACGGTAAATTTCAAAAGCAGGTCAAAGATAAAATTTATAAGTTTTTTTTAGTTGCAGACTGGCGCTACTAGTGCTTTGTTTGCTTTATTTGATAAGATTAAATTCCGATAAGATTTCCCAGAAAATTCATAAGCAAATGAATGGAAAAAATATCATTAAGGGAAGGTGAAATTAGATTAAAATTGAAGATTTCCGCAGAATTAAGCAATTACTTAAATTTCATTCTTAAGCTATCTGATTAAAGAAGCAGTTGTTGAAAAAATAAGTTAAAAAGCAGTACATATAAACCGAAGAGGTGAGAGGGTTAAGAGAAAGGTGACAAGTTTTACAGGTTATCAACTTTCATCTATTCCTCCTTAACACTTCCCCAATTCCTTGAGAATATGCTTCTGGATATGTGAATTTCAAATGGAGCTCATTCCAATGAGCTGTATGCAGTTCGTTTACGTTTCAAAAGAAAATTTAAATAGGAGTTATGATAGTTTGAAACACATATACATATTCATTCAAAGTTTGCATAAAATCCTCAGGAAACCTGAAAATATCAGGATAGAATAACTATCCCACTCAATTCTGAAAACAGTTTCCAACTTCAAGTTGTTCTTCATATCCTCTCATGTGACATCAACATTGTTACTAATCAATTCCCAAATTACTGAACAGATAGTAAAAGTGTTTTAACACTTTTAATTAGTTTTAAAAAAAAAGGAAAAGTAAATTAAAAAATTGTCATCGGGAGATATACAAAAGATATGTTCATTTCAATATGTTCACCGTATTGGTAATGCTGAAGAATTTAAAACTTTATGGCTTAAAGTTCCGTCATCGAAAATTAAATCTCTTAAGAAAGCATTTTGTTATGAAGACTATCTTTATATTTCCATTAGTATTTAAGAGCTATAACTTATGAGAGTTTATTTTTTTTAAACGAAGAGCATTATGAGCTTTACGGAATTAATCCTAACAATGAGAAACGACAACATTGATTGATCCTTTAAGTTCTTTAATATCCATGACTCTTGCAACGGATTCAGATGCATTTTTCCGAATCAGTCTATTCTCATGAGATCATCATTGAATGGCCTGAAAATTGTATCCCACTCCCTTGACCTTTCACTAAATTCTATCTCTTTCATTCCCACTTCCTCTATCAAGAAATTTTGCTTGAAATGCATCATTATATAACATGTTTTTTAATGCTTAATAATTTGTCGATTTACTTATTTCAACAAACTTTTATGAATTTACTATCAATTCAAATCAAAGTAGTGAATCGATGATTTATCACTCATAGTTATGTTTCTTCTCTCACATTTTTCAATCTTTGAACTTTTTGTTGAAGAAATGGGAAGAATGGATGGGCAAAATAAGTGGGGAAAAAGCTATCAAAATGGGCTGATTTGAAATTTAAATTGTTTAAGTAATTAAATAATTAGTTCCCTTTCTCATGAGGTTTAAAGATCTTGAAATGCGCTACTGTTATCTGCTTCCCGAACATTATGCAAGAGATTTATTTTTGATATTATTCCGATAATTAGCCGCTAGGTTTTTAGCAAGTGGAAACAAACAAACCTTACCGTAAACTCTGTTAATTTGAAATTAATAAAACAATCATAATAATATCACAATAATAAAAATGCAAATCTGAGTTTACATTTCCTTCAAATATTGCAAAAAAAAAAATGGCTAAGCAATTATCGCTCAATGTCATAAGAATGCATGGAAGATGAAACGAACATAAACAAACATTTCGTAAGATTACTTTTATAAACTAGTTTGAAAATAAACAAGTAATAAACTTGGATTTTCTTGCTTATTACTTGGCTCGTAAATAAATGAATAGTTAAGCATACTGTAACATTTCCAAACATTGTAAACAGATTTTTACAAATTCAGCTTATTGCTATTATACATATTCTAAGCTATTTATTTCTTACATTTTAATCTGTTTCGATGACATTTAGAATCGAATAACATATGATACAAATTCAGGCTTCTAGGGATATGATAACATTCTATAACAATCAACCAATTTTCGACTGTATTTTATTAGTACTTTTTTAGGGTTCCTTTTTAACTTATTATTTGTATTTGTTTGATATAATTTGATGACATCTTAGTACTAACATAAAAGAACTTCTTGGCATAATGATTATTTTGAAACATTTCAGTAAAGGTAGCAAAAAGGAATGGAATTTAAGAATAAAAAAAACGCTTCCATATCTTTCATTCCATCTTATTCTAATGACATTAAATTACAGGAAATTAATAATCTAACTATTCACATAGATTGTATTATCACACTGATAGTCACATTCATAATGCTTTCGATATTTGCTATACTTTCACCAAATATCTGTGGATAAATTATCAATTGAAATCAACGAACCAATTGCAATGTTCGATTTTTCCTGTAATTTCATTTTGGTACGTAAAATCTTTAATTTATTTATTAAATGCTGAAATGAGCTATTAATGACAGCAGTAGCAATAAGAGTTATAGTTACCATCGTTTAAAAATAGCATCACTAACTGAGTGCACATGTGAGAAAGGCAATTTGTATCGTTGTCTATTTCCCCTCATCTACTGCACTCTCTTATACGTCCCTTTGTGTATAAATAGTTGTTAAAAATTCTATTCTGAACCACTCGGAATTTGATGTGTCGTGGAATGATATCTCCGAGTGCAGCACCTCATAAACTTACCTGGCTGGGAGGATCTCGCGATCAAGAAGGCGGGACCTCCATGGTGAGGCTTGGCCATTGCACTTATAGGTCTGGCTGACCCGTGTGGCTATCCCGAGTTGGGGTCAGCCAACAGCAAAATTTTTGCGTTTGGGGACAGCGTTCGCGCTTCCCCGCTTATTGGTTTCAGGGCATGTAGAGCGGCCGTGCTTCGGTGAAGAAATTTCATGGGTTGACAGTACATTGTGTCATGGTGTCTCATCAGGGAACCAATTACTACGTGAAACTTAATGAGAGATATGGATAGGATTCCAGACTTCAGATTATAACAGATAAATAAATGTGCAGACACACAAATCTGTCAATATTCGTCCTTCACAGACAAGTAACATATCGCATGTTACCAAAATAATTGTTATACATGCCACAGACTCATAACTTGTCCTATTTGTATTTATAGTCTCTTTCTTACTGAACGCAATTATGCGAACAGGAAACCATTCAAATCAAGAAATAGACGATCGGAATGAAGGGGTTTCATAGTCTCAACTAGGAATCAGAAATCTCCCTAAGATCTGTCGACGAATATTTTCCCACTCAAAATCAGAAACTTGAGATTTCACTCAGCCCTGCTTGCTAACAATAACTGAGAATCATATCAAGCCCTGAAGCAATGGATTTTAGTACTTAGATTTCCAGTTTGTCTTATAATTAATGCAGAATAACTTGGCTGGGAATTAACGATTTAATGAATAAGTCTGTTCTTCTTCAGATTTCCTGTGCGAGAAGAGCCAAAATTCTAACTCTCTCTAAGGTAAACTCACAGCACACGACAACTTCACATCACGTCAATATTTAAGCCAAGCCAGTAATAACCTACCTAAGATTCCCCAAATTGTTACTTTATAATTTTCAATGTTACTGATATTACAGCTCGCTTACATCCCAGATTTCCCGTGTGAGAAGAACCAAACTTCTACACTGTCTAAGGCAAACTCTCAGCACACGACAACTTCACACCACGTTAATATTTAAGCCAAGCCAGTAATGATCTACCTAAGATTCCCTAAATTGTTTATAATCTTCAATGTCTCTGATACTACAGCCCGCTTACATACCACCGTTACCTGACCTATCGCCCGCCATAGAACCGCCGAAACGCACCAGACCCAAAACCCATCGACAATATTCAACCCGACCACAGGGAAGCGCGAACGCTTTCCCCAAACGCAAAAATTAAGCTGCTGGCCAATCCCGACTTGGGATTGCCACACGGGTCAACCCGATCGAGAAGTGCAGTGACCGGGCCTCACCATGGAGGTCCCGCCTTCATGATCGCGAGAAGCCTCTCAGCAAGGTTAGTTTAAGAGCACTTGCTGGCACCCATTCGAGGACGCCATGCATCGAACCTCGAGTGGGTTCCTCTGTGCAACTCGGCGACTTTTCCCCTTCTTTCTATCTCTGTTACAAACGTAATTATTGAGACACCTCCATATTTTGCGTAGTCTTTTCGCGTTCAACTGCAGATTTATTTTTCGACTTCCAAATTTTTTGCTTAATTTATTTCAAACATTTATGTGAGTTGGGGATATAATAAAGCTACGCGAGAGAAATTTAGTTCGTAACTTGAGGAACAAAGCACAAAATTTGAATCTTCTGCAAAAACCCCAAAGTTTCCTGTTGGAACTTTATTTAAATTGCTAAGATTAGAAAGTGAAGAATGAATTATTTGTTTGAAAAGTCTCAAATATGATGAAAGGATGGAATAGAAGCAAGGCAGTTCTGATCTCCTACTAATATATTCTTTTGATATCCGCAATGGCAGCTTTAACATCTTTTAAAAGACACAGTTTGTAATGGGCAAGTTTCGAAAATAGTTAAATTTCAAATGATAATCGCCCACAACTAACCGGGCTACAATCGAACAAAGATTTAAATAGTGTTTATTTTGTAAACGGAATCGTAAGATAGTCGAAAACATTTGGCAGTTCGATAATCCTGAAAATTATGCTTTTATATCAATGGAGACACTTCTGCGAATATAAGGGTAATTATAGGCGGATAATTATATAACTGGGGATATATGATGAAAATTATCCTTCAAAAAAGAAGGCCATCTCACTGAGGCATACGAATCAGTGAAGGCTACATCAAGATTTTCTTTCCCATAAGACAAAATATTGCCAAGCAACTAAAATCTGTTAGTTACTGAAGTTCATCCCATTGCTCAGTCCCCCTTGTTAAGGACACGTTCACCTTCCTCAGAAACGTCTCTACCCACAAACTTTTGCTCCTGAAGGTGAAGCATGTGGACAAATTCAATCGATAGGATTGGGAAAAGTATGAAATGTCCATTAGCAACTAACAACTGGTCATTTGCTTTTGACAAATGCGATTTTCAAGGGAAAATTTTCCGCTTTGCTGACATTCGTGAGATTCATTCTTCATTCATCTTCGTCGTAACTTTTTGGCTGTAACATTTGGATGGCAAGTTTAAAATATAGCGAATTTACAAAATTTATTCTTTCACAACAATATTAAACAACGGTGAAAAGTAAAAAAGACTGCATATGAAAACTAACAAATCAATGTATGGATTTGCACGATGGTTTATGCGAAATTCGGCCTTGTATGGCGCAGTGTCTCTCTTCGAATCGATGCTGTGTGGAAATGTGGAGTGAGGGGAAAAACGAAATCGTGCTGTGAAACAGCTGAAGTACAAAACAGTATCGAGATTTATAACGAACCTCCTTTAATCTGTTCTCTCCAGCATAAAGTGTTTTTGTTTATTTCGCTTTATAACCTTTTCAACTTCATATTTAGTTCTTTATGATATTTAAAAGCGCTATCAGCAGAAGTATTCCTTGGACTATTTTTAATTTTTGACATCTCGTATTTGCAGTTTAAATGTCCAAAAAGAGGAAACTAACCGCATAACTAACCAACGAACAGAACGATTAACTAACCAATGCAAAATTCGAAATCGAAATTTATTTCCATAGCAAGAGAATAAATAGCAACAAACACCCTCTATTACATTCACAGAAATGTAAATTACTCGATCTTCAAAAGCAAAAAAAAAACTCTTTTCCCAAAATCCCATCTTTTTATCAAAAGATATCAGAATTATGGAGATGCTCATCAGATCAAATCCAATGTCAAGAAAACAAAGTGGACCGACAAATTCCCCTTCTGTTTACAAGCTTATTTGCAGAATAAAGCAATTCATAAGTATATAAACCAAACATGAAACTTAAAACAGTAAAAATGACATATAACCTTGCGCAATATTGCCGTTAAAAATTCTCTTTAGTGCCAGGAGATGGAAACTGAAAGTAAAAAGCCTCGAAAAAATGAAACTGTCAGAAGTTCCAAATCATTATCTGTTGTTAAGCATCGACTGTTAATAAGGCTTTCTGTCGAGGACACAAAAAAAATTTCAAGCATCATCCTGGTAATTTTTAGCGATGTTCACACTACTGAAAAATATTCAAACAAATCAACAATGACTAGAGAAGTAAAGGAGGCTTACAACGGCGAAGTTAAATTGAGTACCTAAATTAAGATATAGCGAATTTACACAATTTATTCATCCACAACAATATTAAACAACAATGAAAAATAAAAAATAAAAAAGACAGCATATGAAAACTAACAAATCAATGTATGGATTTGCACGATGGTTTACGCGAAATTCGACTTTGTGTGGCGCAGTTGCCGCTCTTCGAATCGATGCTGTGTAGAAATAAATTAAATGCAAATTATAAATTAAATGCTGTGGAAATAAACCAAATTAAAGCATGAAAAAATCGTAACAAATTATCCGTATATTATTCCTCCAGTGCATTAATAATTCGGGTTCGGGCTTTTTTCGAAATATGGGTCGCTACATTCAATAGTGTTATGATTTGATTCGTTGTGTATTCCTGTAAAAAATAGACTAGAGCATTCAAGTTAAGGATGAAACCTGCACATACTCACATTGAATCAGTCAAGCTTTCAGAATAAAGCTTACGTAGGCACTTATACAAAATGTTTATTGGCTTTTCAACGTTTTTACCTTCACCTTCTCAACAAAGAGCTAACTCCAGCAAGCAGTTATGTATGTTCTAAAATGTTGAACGATTTTATTTTACCTTCATCGAAGTGAGAAAGACATATAATTAAGAACATATCATGAGAGACTAAATTTCTTGTATGTCAAAACCATTTTCTAGATGAAAAAATCGATCTCTGGTTTCAAGTTTTGATTTTCAGATCTTTGCGAAATCTCTAATAAAGCAATGAATATTACTTTGTGTTGCAAAATCCATGATTCCATCGAACTTTCAGGCAAATAATAAGCTTTGATGTAGTTTTCAACATATGCTTTATGTGGAATCGGCATGAAATCGACAAGTTGTTCGAGTTTTGCAATTAACTGCTGGAAATCTAACTGCATTAATGCACGTCCTTCATTCGAGCATTTCTTCCCGAATTCACCATAGCTTCAAATAGAATTTTGTATCGAAATTTTAAAGTAATAACCAATTCTCTTAATATTGAGATGATGAAAGTTTATCCAATAAACTTTAACTTTGTTTAGATACAGAAATAAGAATATAAAAACCGCAATAACATTAGGGCAAATCTAAACTGTGGTGAGCAATATACCCTTTGACAAGTGCATTAAATGTACAATATATAACTGAGCTCCAAAAAGTCTTTTGAACAGACTTTGTGATTGGTATTTGTTCTGCGATTTCCGAAAGCAAATCTTTAATTCTTGAAAATTCCTGCAATGCATGCAATGTGAGTAAATTATATGAACAGCTGAGCTTTACAATAATATCTACTTGATACAGTTACAGTTGCAAACCGGCGAAGTATTTTATATAATTTTACTTCCATCATCAAAAACAGGCTGATAAGAAGATAGTGAAAAGAATCAAAGAGATAAACGAATCCGATTTAAAATATATATCTACGTTCATATAGAAAATGGTATAAAATTACCAATAATTAAAGATGATAATGCTAAATAAACATCTATTTGTAGAACGCTTGGTTTAGGAAGGCTAAAGGATGCAAAAACTTGGAGCCTGTAGCTGAATAAAGATCTGAACAATTTTAGCAGGCTACCCCTGCCCAAAAAAATATAATTAAAGTGAATTAATCAAACAGAAAAAACGCACCTGTAAGATATTATCAACATAGGCACTATGCTGCGATTGGAGTTGATCAATATTCCATTTCGTTGTCATTATATCATTCACAAACCAGTCATAATCAATTAAACGGCTTACTGCACAACCATATATACACTCTCTCATTTCTGGTATCACCACCAAGACCTGAACTCCTTTAGCTTGAAAAACTAATACGTTGAGCATACAGAAATCATAACTACGCAATTATATCAAGAATGTAATCATACAATAATTCACCTCCGTATAATACTTTTCGGTGACATCACGATTAACCAGCGCCTCGATGACTGGACGAATGAGATCAAGTTGTTTAGAAATAAAATTTCTGAAAATCTTAAAAACTTGATTTGACAAAGAATATCAAGTAATTAATAAAATAGGCAATGCTGTTAAAAATAACATTACTTACATGGATTCAGCGCCAACAATGCGTTGACGTAAGGCACAATTAGACCCTGAATCCAGCTTAAGATCTTGGAGCAATGTGCATGGAAAACGTTTACAACTCTGAAAAAAAATGTATAGTAGCATTCCAAATAAAAAATAGAAATGCTAACTATGCATATTTATCGATTTTGGATAACCATAAGTTATTGTAACGAAGCAAAAAAAGTGAAATATGAGCAAAAGACAAGAAGCAGAATTGCCTGCATAACTAATGAATAACACAAATAGATCGGCAATTTGATAAAAGAAAATCCGACTCACGCTTGCAACTTTTGAAGGTGAATCACCACTGAATAAATCACTTTCTAAACTGTCCATAACATTTTTTAAGTTTGAAGAGAAAAAAGAATTGGCAACACTGTGTGTATTTGAAGTGAAGGACGAATACATCTGGAAAAAATATTAAATGAGAAGTTAGCGACTAGAGTTCCGACAAAGCAAAATCTGTGATAATCAGGCCTTAATAGATGAAGTTAGATTTCAAAAAAGTGTTACCGCAAAGAAGAAATAGCTGCAGAGTTCAAAAATACCGTTTACAGCTTGGTCAGCAATTGAGTGAAGCATGTAAGTCATTCGAATGTATTTCCCTAAATTATCAAAAGCAGAATTAACAAAGAAAAGTTTCAAATGAATAGCAAACAGAAAAACTAAAACAAACCAATAAAGCGTAAGAGATTCAACGATGTGTTACAAAGAATTGGAGCCAGCTGTGAGAAACTATCATCCACACCATACCTATGAATAGAATAAAATGTCAGAAATTTAAAACAAAAATGTTTTCTTAATAACATGAGTGACTGAAAGATTTCTCGTTAAACAAAAAAACAAATGGAAGTATTGAAAATTCGTTTGAAGGCATATTTAATTGGTATATGGTAGAATTTGGTAGAGTTTCGAGCAGTGATATCAGCAATTTATATCAGCTATGTCTATATATCAGCTGTCTACTTTATGTTTACTTCCAGTGACATCTATGCAGAATTAATTATTTCTAAAACATATCTCTTTACGTCTATGCAGAATGATAGGAAAGGCGAACTAGAAACGAAAAGAGATCTCCGAAGCTAGAATACTTCACTTATCAAATTTTACAGGGAAAAAATGAGAAAAAAACCTGTCGCTATCCGTATCATCGTTCGACGAATTCTTCACACTTGTAATAGCGGCAATATCTATGTCCTGAATAAGTTTGAAACATAAAAAATATGTAATAGCTTCTCAACTATTAATAGCATCAAAATGAAAGAATAACATAGATAGACACTGACTTCAGTAGATGAACCTATATCTGCAACTCCCATTGTGAAAGGATTCACGTCGGTCGGTTGAAGAATCTGAAAGTCCGAGGGTTCGACCACATCCAGCTCAGTTTCGGAATGTACAGAAAAACCTACTCCTTTTTGGCATTCATTTGATTCTTTTAGGAAACTGAATTCCTTAAAATCAGAAATATGTAAGCTTTGAAATTCTGTGTTCCTGTTTACCATTTCAATAATGATTCGTAAGAAAATCGAACCACATTAAAGCTCTATAATTTAAAATTGCCAGGTGTTGAAGCGTTAATACTGTTTAATGCTGTTGGTATATGTGCATGTTCGTTCAATATATCAACTCACCATGCGCAAATACTCGCTAGCTCCAAATATATACTACAATACATAACCTTTGAAATGAACGATAATACAACATTAAATATCTCACCTGCAAATCGAACAGAGTAAACTGTAATGGTATCGGACATAAGGCAAAAGCTTCGTTTTCCAAGAACATGCGTAACTCATCCATTCGTTCATAATGGAATCTGAAAAAAATATATATAAAGCTGTTCGACTGAACTGTAATTCTTAACAAATTCTTAACAAACCTTTTGAAATATAAATGACTTTGTTTTTCCAATGACATTGCGACTTCACCACAAATGCTACCGAAGTAAGTACGACCAAACTGCTTGAACCTTCAATTTTATAAATCATCGTGCACAATACAGATAAGTAAATTTGCAAGATATCGTTAAACTGCTCGAATCACAAGCTAATATAACAATAGTAGTCAAAATTTTGAAGATATAAAACATTTGTAAAAGGAAAAGCGGAAAGTTAATAACTGAAAGTAACCGGTTTGACATTCCAATAATATCTAGAAATTGATCGATTTTTAGAAGAGACAGATCATGGCAATATAATAAAGTGTTGAATTTCACTGATGCAGTCTTGAAAATAGAGTGTAAAGAATCCACGAGAATCTTACGAGCAATGCCCAAATTTTCTAAAATGTTTTAGTAATAAATAATAAACAAGAAAACAAAATTAAGAAAAACCATCATTCTATAACTATAATCATAAAGATATAAAAATATTGGTAAAACGAATTTCATTCAATAAATAAGTGACGATAATCTATTAAATCAATAGTTGAAAAATGCAGCTAAAAACATGAAAATGTTCTGAGTTATACAACACCAACTGAACAACCAACCACATTCTTCGTGTGCATACTCCAATCTTTCATCTTCATCTATATGAAAAAGCAAAATGGAGTGATATGTAAACAACACTTTACAAATAACAAATCCCAGTTCACGCAAACAATCTAATATCTGCCCCATGTTCACAGCCTGCAAGAAATCTGTGTAAAACTAATGAAACTTTGAGAAACTAAAATAAAATGTTCTCATAAAATGGGTCAAGGCAAACCTCACAAAGCTGTTCATATGATAATTCTTCAATTTTTGCTTCAGTTTTAATCGAAAATATCTTATCAATGATAACAGTTCTCGCTGAACTTTCCAAAGTTGCATGAGTAAAGCCAACTACTTTCACTGCGCATTCCTTGAAAAAAAAATTGTTAGTATAAAAATCAATTGAATAATAGGAGTTTATAGTACTTCAAATGCACTCTTGAATATGCTATCTTAAAAAATAGGTGCTCCCAACATTACTGCCACTCAAATGGTGTTACATTCTACTGTTTGCACATACTGACTAGGCACTGAACTTTCTAAAGTTACACGAGTTACTGCATTTGACACATGTTGTTTAAAACTAAAAAAGCTTCATATAAAAATAAGGATGCAGATTCACTACCTTAGCTTTACCCAACAGTTTGTAAGCAGTATAAATCGATGAGTAACGATCAACACTGAATAAAATCGTTATTGATGCTAAACAATTGTCTAAATTTATTTCGATGTCTTCCAGAGCTTCATACAATTTTGTTGATAATTCCCTATAAATAATTCCCGGCTAAGAAATTAAGTTCAAGAAAAATATATAAAAAACTATTGAAGATCGCTTTCAAGGTGTCCTATTAAAGTATTTCGTCCTAACATAAAATGCCTTGCCTTGACATACAAAACTATTGATATGCTTTCAAAGTGAAAAAGCTTCACCATAAATTCTCTGAAATTTTTCATCTGCCCGATTTCAAAGCAACATCTCAACTTTATTTTCGAAGATGAGTTTGCATCTGGAACTGGAATCTCGATCTGTACTTCATTTAATGTTTTGAGAGTCTCAAATAATATATAAAAACTTCAAAAACATTTGACTTCTGTAGATCGCATTTATTTCGAAAAAGGATAAGGGATCACCAGTATAAGATATGATAAATAAGTCATTATGCATTATTCTTAAAATTAAATGAAAATTATTACTTGACACAGTTGAATCGACTAAAAGTTACTGTAGCTTTCTGTGCTTCATAGCACATACTAATAGCTGCAGGAAAATTTTCCTCCTGAAAACAGTTGGAGGAAAAAGATACACTGGTTAATGTATTATTGTTAACCATCTGTCTTCTGAAATGAAAACGACTGCATAAGTAGAACCGAAAAAAGAATAAAGAACATCAGACCTGCACAAGATCCTTAATTTGGAATTGCACTTCATATAATGTTTTAATGCTCTCGAGAGACGACAGTAATTTCTTTAAAAATATTCGATTTCTGTAATTTGCGATTATTTCCAAACCATTTTGATTTTCAAGTTTCGCTTGACCAAGTTTCCTGAGATGAAAGTAAAATTGAACATTAAAGAGCGAACATCACTTACAAAGAAAAAGAAACTATAGCTATGCAGAGACTTCTTGAACCTTTACTTTCTGAGCAACTATATTCATACACAGCTGATAAATATGAATACCACTCTATATTGTAAAGATGCATCAAATATTATGTCTAAATAACACGTTTTAGGAAGTGAAAACCGTTACTTGAAGAAAAGATACTGCAAAACATTTTAAGTAAAAAAAAGAAAAAACTAACTTTCGCATGTCCTGCATTGCCGATAGAATATTATCTAGATCCTTTTGGATTTCACCGATGCCTTTCAATTGGGATGAATAAGATGGCCAGTCCTGCATAATCATTGCCGACACTCGTTTAGAAACAACTTGTAATTGTTGTTTTAATTTGTCCATTTCTCCAGTTAGATCTTCAGGCAAAATGACTTTCTAAATTAATTAATAATCCATGACTTTCTGAATTATTTAATAATTTGGAGAAAGAAAATGTAAAACTGAAAATTTCGAAATTGCAGAACACTTCATTTACCTAAAATCTCAGAAAATTTCAACAAAATTTACTTTCAGTTCATAGTCGGTTGCATCAAACCCTTCATCGATGAAATACGCTGCTTCAATACTTTCCAATATTTCCATTTCTTTAACCGGATCTGTGATTGACAAAGCACGAGTTTGTAACTGCAAATTATTTCCCAATGAGGCAAAGTCATCATATAAAGCATTTCAACATAAAGCAAACCAAAAAACATACAATAGTAGATTTAGCTGGCCCGCGACCAGAAGAATCTCGCACCATGATTAAGTTATCCATTGAATCCATATGAAAATGTTAAAATTCATTCGTTAAATTTATTAAGATTTGCAGTTTTCAAATCGAAACTCATTAAAATGTCACAGAACAGAAAAAATTACTTAGTGAAGCGTTTCTACAATGATCTAGTGGTGCATTCGTTATGTTCACCTTATATCTTTCCATTCAATTTACAACCAATTTGTTAGAAATTATTTAGAAGTGATTCATATAATGGAGGACAAGGAAAATTTCGAAAACAGGTTTTAGAGAAAACTGATTTCATTGAAATATTGCTAACAAAATGAGAGCAAAACCTGATAATTCGATTTTTATAGTTGGAAAGATAATAAAAGTAGAACGGTTGTTTCTGGAATACAGAATTCCATCAAAGTGATACTAAAAAACTTACATCAGTCACTGCAACTTCATCCTCTTCATTTCGGCCAAGTTGTACTGACTTAAACTTTCTCATCTTCAGTTACTTCAGTGACTGCTTTGATCAATTTTAAATAATAATACTGAGAACTTCCCAAACAACGATGCTTTGATGTCATGTGATTGTCGTTCAAAACAATCTGAAATTACTCTAACTTACAATAAGAAAAGACATCATAAGATTCATCGGTGAATCCACTTAATTTAGTAATGGATTTCGCACAACTCATGCAGCACAGAAACAATTTTCCTCGTGTTGCAGAGTATCAAATCATGCAGTAGAGTTTTCAGCATCTTAAAATCATATTCCAAAGATTTTGTATTTTTAAGTTACAGATCTCGTACTTTCGGAATTTCAAATGGTAATAAAAAGAAGCGAAATAATAATGGAAAGAAATATTAAAAAAATGTACTTCCATATAAAATAAGGCACATATTTCGTTCGAAACATTAAATAACAACCATACTTGCATGAAATGTGATAATATCTTAAATTATACTAATATCACTATCAGCAGTGATTAAAATTGTAATAAATATAGCAAAGAAGGTTATTTAAATAAAATTTGACATCAATATAAGTACCTCACGCAAGCCTTTATGGAATGCCAGATGATAAGGCAATAAGACGTCTTGATTCGAACCATAACCGTTTATTTCGATGCATTAAGACCTAAATAAGCAATAGGAGCTCACAGAAATACTAAGGATAAAAAAAATAAGAATGTTAACGTTATCGGTAATGATAACGATACGATGATGACAGTATGAGATTTCTTTACTATTAATCACTTTCTAAATTACACACTTTCTAATTACTCATTACTTAACCACTTTTTATCATTACAACGTTTTCTTGCCACTCTCATTGACTTCTGTAAGCAGAAACTGCACAACAGCACTTAGTCTCAAACGCATAAAACCAAATCACTACGAGCATGATAATAGCAATGTTGACATGTTGCATCTCACCGATATGCGACATGACGTGAAATAAGCAGAGATCTGCTTTAGATCTGGATGTAACCGCCTTTCTTTTTCGTTCCTTGTATATTTTTCTTCTCAGTAAGACGGATATCATTTGCCAGGCGATCACTCATTCAATATTGGTTTATCAAAAGGCATAGATAAGAGGTTATCAGCTTATATTAGCTCTATCAGCTCCTTTAAAAGCATGCATCCGTGCAGCATAAAGTAGCATATTCAAATTTTTGATATTATGCAGCAGTTTCAGAATTGCTTCATAATCATCTATCATATGGAGCACTATATCAAAGCTAGCGAAATAAACGTGCCCTGTTTGCCTCCGTTTCCGGCTGAATTAACGACTGGTACGAAGGAGATGATAGTGAAGGAAAATACTAAATTCAAAAATATTCTCACCTTTGTGGACAAACTTTTTGAGGTATGATTTTATCTAAATTTCTTTATTGCTCGTACAGTTTCTGATATTCAGTTGTTATACGCTAGGAAAATATTTTATTTTAGTTGATTTTATTTCATTAATTTAGTTTTACAATTTATGGCATTTCATTTTGCCTTCACGAAGTCAAAAAGATAAGCATAGACATATTATTTTCGGCACTTAAAAAAAGAAAGTTTTGAAGATCCTCACTACTATTTTTTCACAGTGAAATTAAAATTCTTGTAAAGGGATTTAAATTCCCATTTTTGATTTCCCCCAATTTCACATTTCATTATTTAATTTAGGATACAAATTGTCGGTTGGTAATTTTTAAAGGAGTTGGCGAAGCTACGGCAAAATGTATTTCATGTGTGGAAGTATTCAAAAGAAATTACAAGGTCAGTTTTAAGTTAATTCTGACACTTTCTTAGTTTCCATTTTTAAAAATGCAACATACATTCTCTGTTGTTCCTTTCTTGTCTTAACTTTACTGTTTCTGTTGTTTTAACCATATAAAACCGATGAATGTCGTTTTGGAAATTATTTTTATTTTTAGCTTTCAATTCTAATTCCTTCCAAGGTCCAACGTCAGCAAACGTCAAAATTTTCATTTTGTTTCCTTTTTTAATCATTATGGTTTATTCTTACAAACGTCTGTTACAGGGTGGGGTGCTGTATCAATGGAACAAAATAGTGTTCACTCGACGAACTGATTCCTGGTTACCGATGGTTGAAAGTTTAAGCAAGTATGCATCGCAGATTATTATTATTTTCGAAGTTCATGGCCATCTCAGCTTTTCAATCATTAAACAGTAACTTGGGTTGAAATCATGGAAAAATTAAGCTGTGAGAGATTCTATTCTACTCTTCTTCGATATCAGGCATTAGTTATATCACGGTTAAGAATTTTTTCCATCAATATTTCAGAATACTCGTTCATGTAGATGTTCCAACAGTTTATATTTTGATTTCCAAAGATCCTTTTCCGGATGACTGCATCAATGAAAGGTTTTATTTTGTATATTTCTTAAATCACTGTCGCATATTTTAATCCACTTTTTGTTTCATATTTTATAAATTTCTCAAACTACTATTGTACAACGAAAGATTTTGATGTAGAATGATACAGATTTATTTTATCACCAACGATTTTTAAAAAAGTCTGTTCAACGATTTTTTAATAAATTTCGAACTATCACAATTTCTATTCATAATTCTGTTCTTCAGCTCTCAGGACTCATCTTCTGAAGCAAGATTTACATTCGATAATGAGGCGATGTCAAACGGGTTAGGATCACCTCAAGAAAAACCAAAGCTTCTTCGGACATTAGGGGTGAACAAATGGAATAGACCACTGAAAAAAAACTGTAGGATACAAAAACAGCAGTTGCTGTCGAAAGATAAATCATGATAAAAGTCAAAATCATTTATTGCATTAGTTATATTTGTCATATAATTGTAAAACTTGATCATTTCTTACATCAAAGCTCTTCCTACCGCTTGAGAATAGAATCTGGTAATGAGTTCTCGTCCTCTATTCAGAACGAGAATGCATTACCAGGTCGTTTAGAATTTTAATTCTTATATCTAAAGGATCTTTGATGTATAGTTTAATGAACTTATGTCTACGAATATATGCTACTAGTTTATTTCACGGTAAATTTTTCTCCTGTCTGGTGTTTAATAATTTTAGAGCAGAAAATTCCTTTTTCGTCTAGATTCATTTTTTTATACTCTCGATCTTTGAAACAGTAGTTTTGATATTTCGATAAAAATTACTTTGATATCTGGTTGATCTCATTTTACATTTCGGTATGTCATATTGTAGACCACTTCATAGGTCGCCAAAAAAAGCTTCTCTTATTGATAACTTGGGATGCTCATAGGATGAATTGGACATTCATCAGAAGAACCATTACAAGACCCGCAAAAGGTTTCACTTTGAATCTCCTCGGAGACAAATGCTAAAGCTAAATAAGCGGAATTGCTTATTGGCCAACCCAGTGGTTATGATCTGTCGATGTTGGGTGATCATTTGATACATCGAAGAGCTACTACGGTTAGTCCCTTTATTCAGATATGTACAGATCGAGATGAGATGCATTAAATGGTTATCTAGCAAAGTGTAGATAATAAACTAGAGCAGAAATAATTTCGATTAATAAGAGGGGCTCTATTTTCATGTTTCATTGTTATTTTTATCATTTCTGGTGCCGGTAACCTTTATCACTAAGTCTCTTATCTACAATCTGTGAATAATTAAGACTGGGATAATTGATTATTGATTGTATTATGTTATCTGATAAACGGCTTGTTTGCAGTTAGTAAAACGTGCTGTACTGCTCTTAATGTTAGTGTCACTTCATCTTTATCTTTTTTCTTCTCTCTTAGATATTAAATATTTTGTATGTTTAACATACATTACCCAAAATGCTATACAATAATGTCCAACTTTAATGAAAGTTGTAAATTGATTGGTCTTTATTGTTTGAATTACCGCAATCCTGTTGAGATCGATATGTTGCTTTTTAAGATAAGATATAGATCCAAATCTTGTGATTGAAAAACCAATTCTCTGAATTGCTGCCCCAGTTGCATCGTCGACATTTCCGTATTGCCGGTGCTAGTAATATTGACCTCTCCTCTCATCTACTCGTCATCATTCCTTTTTTCCTCTATTTGATTTAGCTACTAGCACTGTCATATACGTTGACCTTGGTCCCTATTGTCAAATCATTTAACTGTTGTATCCTCACGTTATTACTGTATAAACTAATAATAAATTGTATGAACTGTGAACTACGGCACTTTTATTTGCGCCTGTATACAGAGGAAATTTATTTTTGTCTGCGGCGAAATGATATATAAATCTGATGAATGTATTACGAGTTTTTTGCAACATATTTCAAATCGTCGTAGAAATTCCGACATTGTCCGAGGATAGATATTGAAATGTCCAGTTATGCTAGAATCGGTAAAGTCGGACTGACGATCTATTTTGATGATTCATGATTGAAATTTATACCTGATTAAATCATCGTTTATCGGAGCATAGTGGACATAGTCTATAGTCGTTGTTAAGGTTTGTTATCGTTCCTGTCAATATGATTCGCTCTTTTCCATGATGCTGATATCTTCCTTAGTTAAAAATGTTACACTTGATTTGACACCTTATTTAATTTAACATCTTATTCTAATTTCTGATTAATAATTAGGAATTCAATGCAATTTTGAAGGGACTCTGCTTCTTAAAGATTGAATCAAAAAAATTAGTTAATGAAGCCAACAGCTGAATTACATTATGCAGGTAAATGCATACAATTCATTGACAACGATAGCAACTTTAATTATTGATGATTGATTGAGGATAGGAATGGTTGACCTTTGATCTTATGATGGAAACATTGTGAAGTCATTGCTACTTTCTAATGTAGGAGGAGTACTAAACCACTGTTCAATGAATTATTTTATTCTTAAACAGATATCTTCGTTTATTTGTGAACAGTTTTTTATTTCTTATTTTATAAATTATTATCTTTAATCACCTATCTAATATCTCATTAAAAAATTCATTAAATCTCTTGAGTGTTATCAGATTTGCACTATATATTTCAGTATGATATGATATACAGATTAATTAATGTTAATTATAAATAAATAAAGCATTCTAATCTCTACTTTATCATTTCATTGATAAAAAATTGTTTCTCTCTAGCAAGATAATTCTTTACTTGCAATGGTTAAATATTCCAAGTGATGATTTTCAGTTTTAACTTTCAAGGATTATTTGTAGATCTATTCAACTAACTTTTGCTAAATTTCACACTCCATAGAAAGCTTATTTTAATTTCAGCACTGTCTTTTCATGTTTCACTTTTTAATTACATCTATCGTTTTTTATTTAAATTCACTCCATGCATTTTATTTTTAATGTCAACTTTGTTGTTGCAACACCTTTTTGAAATGAAACGTATAACAGCTGTTTTCGATGTCTTTCTCTCCATCTATTGTATCTCCTCCTATTGTATCTGTCTATTTTCTGCAATAACAAATGAAATAGCAGCAAATGCAAAAATGTGAATATTAGTATTGTTGTTGTTGTCGTTGTTGTGTGATATATTGTTCAGTTAGCTATACTATTCCATCGGTCATTTTCATTTCAGTTGAAAATATATATCACTTCCGAATTATTTGCAATAAATCTTTTTATTCCATTCTTCTTCCTTTTCATTTTCTACTATAAAGGGGATCATTGTATCATTGCAGGTGTATTATATGATTTAAATGTTCAACTTTCAATCAATTCTCGTTCATTTTTAATCGTTTTATTTCGTTTTGATCGTTCAGCAATGAAGTATTCTTTAATTAATTATTATTAAGTTGAAAAACTGTGCAACAACGATTAATAGTCAATGAATTGATGATAGCGATGGCGAAGAAGATGAACGTATGTAATTGTTACTAATTGGTTACTTATGATTTGCATTCGATTTTGTTCGTGGTATAGTTTAGTGCCATAAATGAAAATGATGCGATTGAATGATACCATCGTATTTTATGGTATGAGAAAGTGCTGAATATACAGCAATTAACTGTTACTGGTGAGTTATAAATATATTGACCGATGGTTATGGTTATAATACGAGTAGTAATAGTAGTAATGATCATATTGATTCATCCATAGTTATTCAAAATTTCATGAACAGCAGCAATGTTCATTAATCCTCAATATGATTAATGTCACGTTTAAATATTGACCAATATAGTCAACCAATACGGTCAATATTTAAACGTAGCGTTTTAGCCGAGAAGCCTTACAAAGATGCCGAGTGCAAGTTACACAGATTAGGCTCTTTTCGTATCTGATTGAAATAGCTGTGGTATTTTTTTTGTACAAGTTTTGTTTGCAGTAGGCTTTGAAGGTTTAGTGCTTTATATTTCATTTTTAATAAATGTTTCTTCTACGATCGCTTAAATTTTAAAAGATTGATGTAGCTGTATTGATGCATAAATTATGTTTCTATTTATAGTATTTATATCATACCTTATCTTTTCTATATTTTTTATCTGTTGATACTTCTTCATCTATCATTATTCTATCATTATTGTCCGTATGTCTTGGAGAAATGATTCTTATGTGATGATTTGCGAAGTATTTCAGGACAACCCAATTGAAGGAATGAAATACGTATAGAAATCAGTTTATACTTTAGCAATCCTAAGTGTGAAGCCAGCGGACGAAATAGGCTTTCGAGATGATCACTGAATTATCGAATTAACGAAAATGAACCAGACAAGGCATTAATCATTTCACTTACAATGATGTTTGCAGAACTACAGAAAGGTTACTTACAACTTAAATTCCTTTAAGATGGATTCCGTGTAAACTTTCATGACTAATGAGGTTAAAATTCCATTCACGCATTTAGATAATTAGGTATTGCATGAATTATATATCAATGAACAAAATGCAGGGAAAATTTAAGAACATGATAACACGAATTATATTTAAGCTTTGAACTTGTGCCACTTTTTGTTTGTCTCCAATAAATTCAAGCCTACTGGGCTTAAATTTTGCTTCATCAATCACTGTAGCATTGTTGTTGAATAACTCAAAAAAGATTTTTTCCATTTAAAAGAATTGATTAATCAATACTATGTTATTTCCAAAGTATTAGATTATTTTTCTTCCTAAGAAATTGTCGAAATTATAAAACCAAAAAAAGAATGATGTCATCTGTTTTCAAAATTGTCAATTGAATGATTTCATTAATTAAAACAATAGGGAAAAGAAAATTTTAATGGCCAAAAATACTATCAAATAATTTTTCATGAAAAATAATTGAAATTCATCGAATTTTTGTAGTGTTTTTTCAGCCTTTTTATTAATAATTTTGTTAGAATCGCATTTTACTATATCATTTATCAATTTGAAAAAAATGAAAAATTTATTTACATTTCCATATTCCTTTCAGTTAGTATTTGTCAAATTTAATCACTTTATCATCAAACTGTCAACAGTAATATATAATTGCAATTATTTTTTTGCATAATTAATTGTTTCATTCCTATTATTTACTAGCTGTATAATTATCATTGAACTAATTGTAATCATTTGAAGTCTATTTATGCTCTCATAGATGTGTTATCGATGGAGTGAGAAAATTTTTTTATCGATAAGATAAGGTAATCAGTAATGAATAGTATCTCTTTATGAGACGAATTCAATTGAATGTTTAACTGTAAACAATCAGTCTTAAAGTTAAATAATTTTCAAATTGATTATCTCATCAACAATTATAAATGAATGATTAAAAAAATGGTAGAAAAAGAAATGGATGATTTAAAAATAATCAATAACTTTTGCTTTATTTATAAAACTACCTAAAATGATAAATTATCAAAGAGAGA